TGTGTATGAAAATAACCCTACTGCAATTGCAGAACTCCAACAAGCATTCCTGCAAAAATTTGAGCCATACCCATGGGGAAGAATGCATCTGTGTTATGAACAGTTTTCCTTGAACATTGCAAGTTTGTTTTCAGCGAAATTGACGATATATGGAGCATATTTTGAAACAACCATAACTCGATCAATATAAGACTAGATCGTTATTAAAACTTTGCCAGAGGATCTCACATTGAATGAAGTTCTTGTGTGCCAAATCTCAGAGCAATTTACCTCCATTTAAGAAAAATATTGAAGAAATGGAGGGTTGCATTTTTTGGGTCACCCTGTATCTGATTGTACATTACTTGCCTGCGAAGGGACTCTGCATTGAAGAATCTTCAATTTAAATAGCGGAAAGGAAGCCATAGTCTTGTGAAGGAATTGTTAAAAAGTCAAACTAAAGTTAAAATTATTTTGCTAGGATAGTCTAAATTAAGACGACCGTGTTTCTTCCTGTGATATCATTACATCAACTTTATTTCATTAGCCGGATTGATTGATGTAGGATTGGCAAGTGACATTTCCAATGTTCTAATTCATCTTTTTGCAAGTTTTTGTTCAAATGTGACAATAGTTTTTCATCAAGCCTCCAAGAGGAAAGGAGGGAGAAGTAGGCATAGGTATAAATCAAGACTTAGGAGATGACTTGTAAGTCGAAAATATAGGTAGTATTACTTCTATTCTATACTTAGATATACTAATTGGATTTTTCGTTAATTTGATGTATTCTCGTAAAATACTGGTATTCTCCAGGCACTCGGCACTATGGAGAAAAAAGATCGTCTTTTAAATGTGCTTTAAACTAACCACGCGTCTTTCTCATCCCATGACTATGACCACAATCAGAGATTTGATACGAATTCTATTTATGTATTACTAGCTATTATCAGACACAACAAGTATTCTCATATTTGTAAGTTGAGTTTCATCAATTTTGCATTTTCTTTATCGGTATGTGTATCTACTGGATACTGAGGTTGTAATTAAACTCCGATAGGTTAGAGTCTTATGTTCTTCGGAACAATTCATAAACCAATGAATTACTTGAATAGAATAGAAAGTAATCCGCCCTGATATCTCAGAAATATGGCCAATAAATCGCAATCCTCTAATCATATTAACTTAACGGTGATCTGATTTGAATAAAATGTAAAGCTACATTCATTATTGTTCCATGATACAATCCATCCAATCCTTGGGTAGATTGCAAATGTACTGAAACATACAATTAGGACTTATCTCTTATATCTCTCTGCACGTCTCTAGATCAAGATTAGACCCAAACTCAAATATTGGCTACATACAACGATGAACGATGCAAACATTTTTATACGATGGGGGAAGTGTGATGAGTTTAATAAATCGACTCCCGGCGTTATATCTGAACAGACTTCTAGAATTGTCTCTGAGATCGATAGAAAGAGAAATACGCGGCTTGCCACCAGTCAAGAAATCCGCATCTTTACGTACCTGTCAAGGTACCCTGCATGCAGAGTCTAGTTAAACTACACTCTGCCTAGTAGAAACCATATTACAGTTTAGTAGCCCCGCCCCCACGACGGGTGCCGATGACAGTTCGGGTAATAAATCACTTCTGACCTACGCGCTGACCTTTCTTCCACCAATCAGCGAGCTTGAAGAAACACGCGCCAAAATAAATTCTGAATTGTCATTGGTCAATTCCGGGCTTAACGATGACGTCAGAAGGAATGACCATATATAGAACGTCGGTCAAATTTGGCCGACGAGCACTGATTGGCGCGGTGAGTTCACAGGTTTATTTTAGTTTGAAAGAGTGAAGACGGAGCTCTCTTTTAAGAAGTGAAGTCGAACGAATGCAAAGGGTACTGTCAAGGTTACAATTTCAAAATTCTATTTGTTTATTTGGAAAGTCGAAGATAAGAAATCTACACATTTCGAGAATATGAAATTACGAAATCGTCCGACAAATCCCTTTGTGACATCAATCTTACCATCCGACACCAAGATCTGTTATGACATATCTTACAAATCCCAAGAGCTCTTAATGCTGCTAAGTATTAAACAGAACATCGACGATGTGATGGGATTCACAAATACATGTCAAAGGATTTCGAAGAACAGTATCCTTTACTCAGAAGTTGTAATTGAAATATTTCAAGGATTTCGAAGAACAATATCCTTAAAGTAGTTGTAATTGAAATATTTCACTTGTACTAATTTAACTAAAAGGGGACGATCGAATCAAATCTATCCCTTTGTCTGTGTTAAAGATGCCATCTCTCTTTCTCCAATGTTTATTGATTCTCTAATTAATAGCTGTCTTATATTGCTTTCTCGATACAACACTTTTGTATTATTTTGTCCGAATCTATAACAGGATTATATCATGATCTATGGTATATTGTATCGTATGTTGTTTACTATCATTTAGGAAGGGATTTCCTAGCAATTTTAGCCGGGTTTCCATCTCTATATGTTCCTTCACCCTATTATCGAGAGTTCTACTCGTATGCTACTTATGTTTTGAATAGCCTTTGGTATGGGCTTTGATAGCTGATTTCTACGTTGACAACCTTATCTTTGTGATGTACTTAAATTTAATCATCCGGATCTGTCTCATAGCTACATTGATGAAATGTCTGTTCTGTTCATCTAGTAAAATATGGATGGGAGTGGGTGTAGAATATAAGACAGCAACTTCCTGTGATCCAGTGTGGGCAATACAAAAGGGGCAATACAGAAGGGGAAATTTTGGGGGTCGTACACCAAATGCAAAGATTAAGGAAGGGTTGATGACAAAATAGGAATCATATTTAGACAAAAGCTGATGAGGAATTGAAGGAAATGGTTAAAGTGGGAAATCACATTTGGGATAAATAAAAAGTAAACCAAGTAAAATATGCTCCCTCTTGACTCACAATTTTTGGTATTATGCAAATTGACATGAAAGAAGACCCAGACACAATAAATTTGATGTTTTAGGAAAAGAAATAGAAATCCCAATGGTCAGTCATGTTAACCAATTCAATAATTAACATATTATGATCATGGCCACTCCTAAGATGTAAAAATCTCGCTCCCTTCCCGCGATCTCGCTGAAGTTTGTACGAACAATACCTGTAGTTTTCTTTTCGAAAAGGTACTAGGTATTAGGTACAAAAAGATTAGTGGGCATAACAAACGATAGGAATCAAATCTATATGATATTCTTGTCGGGTGAGCACAATATAAAAGAGGGCTTAAGTAATCATCTTAAAAATAGATCAATTTGCTAGAGTCTGACTAGATAAACCAGAGACTTCCCTTTCCCAAGTTGCTAAATGTTAAATGTCGCAGCTTTAAGAATGCAGATTTAAGGATATATTTGTCATGTGGGCAGTTCGTATGTCTAGCTTTTCACTTGCGTTTCATTATGGATCATCTTATCCTGAGCTTTTATGCCTTTGATGGTATCAAGTAAATTTCTAATTCAAGCAACGTCAACGAAGATTAGCATAAAAAGCCTCCAAGAAAGAAATGACAATGAAGTTAAAACGATTCCTTTGTATGTTGCAGCTACCATACGAAATACCCAAGGGCCAAACTTGATTTGAAAATATGTCAGTTTAATTGTTTTAATAGTTATATTTTCCCGATTGTAATGTTAAGATACTATGATTAATGTAGTGCTTAATTAGAGACGGCAGGGGCTTTAACGAGAATAATGTGATAAAGAAGAACAACGTCGACTAGGAATCACCTTATTAAATGGTTTCTTAATTCATTATTTATCAGAGATTGTGTAAAGTTGTTCAGTCCGATTTTGATGGTCTAAATCCGATACAAGTATGGAATGATCGTTACGTGTAAAACGTGCAGCAGAAGAGATTTTAAAATCAATTACGCTTTAATAATCAATCATTGCATCCAGAGATTGTTGTAACTCATCCTCAACAAGCACATTCTTTGTTTCTTACGCACTCGTGGAAATGTGGGAGGGGATTATAGCTTAGTCCGTGAGGATTTACACGAATTAATTGTTTGCTTGGAAATATTTACACCTTTATTTTACTACGAGGACATACTTTGTCTAAAAGGGGAAGGTGTAGCGACAGTTGTCATAAAAGTACAGAACATTTGTTATTTATTGGAATCCCTACAAATCAAAACGAATTGCGATAAAACATGATCAACTAGGTTGTCTTTATAAACAGTTTTATTGTCAATCATGGTGTTGATAGTGGAAAATAATGTATCTATCATCATCTAATGTTCACAAGCGCTTAGTTTTATGAGCATCAGGCGCTATGTGAGAACATAAAGTGAGTTCACGATGATCCAAACAATGGATTAGGCCTAACCATATCCTTTGTCTTCTCTCGGAATTTACCCATCACCAAGCGTAGTAAATCTTATTTAAATCTTGATATTTGGATGAAATCTAAAATCTGTTTTCTAATGTCGGCTATTAGTTTTAGTTGATGACTGAGATTGATTGTTCGACTTAACTCACTCGGAAATTAAAATATTTTGTCGATCAACACCGTTACTTCATTTTTCTTCGCGACGGAACTTGACCAATACATCAATCAGAGTTATGGAAATAATTGACAAAACGTATTTTGTTTAAATGAACATTTCTACGATATTCAATTAAAGATGCGACCCCCAAACGTATAGTATTAGTGAACCTGCCCATGGTGGGAGGAACCTTTGAACTTCTTGAACCATTTCATTCTCCAAACGCAGAAGAGGAGCTCAGCTTGTATTCGCGAATGCGATTTTCGACTGTGCTTCCGGATTAACCTACTCTTTTATGATCAACTCATTTAAATATGAATGGTTTAGTGGCAGGTACTATTCAAGCTTTTATCCACATGCTTTGGGGATGAAAAGGTATATTACTCAAATGAACAGGCATGCGGTATCCAATTGAAGCTTTGAAATACACCGTATACGTAGTTTGTCCCCGCCCTCTAAATTAAACAATTTAATTTCAGAAAACATAGTTGAAGACAAGGATGTGGAATCTGCTGATGCCTCTGTACGTGCAAAACGCGAGACAGGCATATCTAAAGTTGCTAAACGACCCGTAAGTTTAGGCTACAGACATATCGGTCTTGGGAAACGAGAATTAGACTCGAGTTCGCAGGAGAAAAGCGAACGTCAGTTGTCTGAAATGGAATCTATTTGGAAACGCCTTTTGGATCATGAAACGTTGAGCTCAATCTGGAGACGAGGGATGGATGATCCCGGTATGATGGCAATATGGCGACGTTACTTAGGAGGCGATATGGATGGTATGAACGCCATATGGCGACGTCATCTAGGCGGCGGTCAGAATTCCATCTGGAGAAGGGAACCATTTGGGCAGAGCAGTATATGGAAACGTTCTCATGTCGGACCCCAGAGCATTTGGAGAAGGTATCTTGAAAATGGTGGACAGAATTCAATATGGAGGCGTCAGTTGGACAATCAGTATGGTATTTGGCGACGTGATTTAGACAATGTGGCGTCCATCTGGAGAAGATATCCAAACGAAGACTTTAACTCCATATGGAGACGCTATATTGATGGACCAAGTAGTATCTGGAAAAAGGGAATCGGACAAGAAAGTTCAATTTGGCGACGCTATTTAGATGACAATAACTCAATTTGGCGCCGGGAGTCAGGGCAAAGTAGTTCTGAGGAGGACTCTCCATTATTGGGTAGAAAATAGAAATTACCGAAAATAAACAAAATATGATTTGGTAAAAAAGATCGACACGTTTTTGACAGACAAATCACAAAAGTCATTACATTTATCATCTGTAAAATCGCTATCGAATATAAAAAAAATGTTGCAGGCTAGTGCAACATCATTTTTCTTTTGCCATTTTGCCATTTGACCTATGAAAACCCATCATATGGCAAAACTGCAGGGTTAGATAAGTTAAAGGTACTTTACCTCTAAATAGCTCCCAGAAAAGGTAAATTTGACATTCCTTTCTGAAAAGAATTGTATTAAAGTGTATCTTTTGATAGTACAAATACATATAAATCGTTATGATCTAAATAAGGAGGAATAAAAAGTTTTAAACAAATGATTGGAGTAATTTAAGATCAGAGATAAAGGAACGGCCCCTTTAAATGGTTGAAAAATAGTTTTAGTTTTGGGATATTGAAGGATGATAGAGAGCGTCTAAGTTTCCAATGATTTCTGAAGTAACGATATATGAAATAAATTCCATACTAATGTTGAGGTTATTTTATTGTTCAAAGAAATACAATACTTCAGTAGTAGTACAGGGATAGTGTTTCTTGTTCTCGTTGAAATAATTTGATCTCCCATCTAGCTAGCGAGTCATCAAGATCTGAAACATCAAATGTGATATGGAGATACTATATTAGTGCAGCCAGTGTGGTAGAAGCGGAAGAGGGTGGCCGGGGGGATTGAGCAAGCAAAATGAAACTTATTTTTTAAAATTAAGTATTTAGTATTTTTCTGTCAACGTTGGCCTATTTTGGAAAATTGGGCCCATATTGAGGACCATTTTTAAGTCCAAAATCCTCCCGGAGCCTATCCCAGATTCAACTGTCTGGGACTACCATATTCCTCGGTAATGCCTCACATTTTATCCACGGCAACCGTGTGGCGGCCGTAGCTTCCCAAAACCGACAGAAATATGCGGCACGAAATATAGAGATAAACAGTACGATGTAAATTTTCTATCGATTTTGTGAAGCTACGGACGTCGTACGACAGCCGTAAATAAAATGTTACTGAGACTTAAACCATGAGTGACAGAGGAAACAAAATAAAGTCAAATCAAACTTTACGTTTTCACGGTATATCTCAACAATATTCACTTAAACATGTAGTTCAAACCAAATTAAAGTATTTTATTAGTTTCATGATTAAAGGATGTATTAGCAGACTATAAGTGAAAGAAAATACAGTTTGTAAATGATAGAAAGGAAACTGTTTGGGCGCTACTTAAAGTTTGGAGAGAGCTAATAAGCTTCTAAAATCACATGTTATTAAGGCTATACCCAAACAATGACGTATTTAATCAAACTTCTTTGTCCTCAAATCAAAATCAATAGCATTAATCAAAAGTTAATAATTATCCAGTCTACAATCGTATATAAAATAGTTTACAATACTATTTAGCCCACATATATACATGTAATCACAGAACGACAGCTTGTACTGATATACATATTGTACTTAAGTCACAGTGTCAATTTCTATGTGGTTAATTGCTGCTATCAGAGGCAGGAACACTTTCTTTCTCAACAAAGAAATACAATAATTGTTTTTCCTTGACTCATTGCGAAAAATTACAAATTACTCAAAATTATAAATAACTTGAGGAAATAGAAGCGAGTGACTGGTTCTAGTAAGAATTGAACTGCCATTTGACAACAAGGTGACAAAGGAGGAGCTGAATATTAATGGATTGTCTTTCCCCATTAGCAGCGTTATCACTGGCGTTGGTTTTAACGTTTTCAGGTGAGTCAAAGTTATTAAAGAGAATTTCAACTTTATTCAAATTTGGTGAAAATAATAATATTAACTTTTAAGTGTGTTCTCACATTTTAAAATGCCGAATATGTAAGTTTTACGTTCGATCGAGTTCGTAACATAACAGATTACGTCAACTCATTTATGTCTTAATTTAAAACTTCAATAAGGAACCTTCCAAAATCACAAAGGGCATTAGTTTGTATGGCCGCAATGGAATTCTTTTTAACGGGGTTTGTTTTTATTTGTTTTCTTGACGTTGGCCAGTGTTTTCTGATCGCCAGAAAAGCTTTCAGCAGATCAACATTCACACAGAAACAACAACTTTTAGTTTTAATGATTATTCTCATAGTGAATGGTTTAAAATTACCAAGACTAAAATATCGGGGCATGAAAGCCTAAACGGACACGTCGACATTGATTTCTTCATTTTGACGTTCAAAGACTGCACTTGACACGCGCTTCTTCTCCATCGCAGCTCGGATAGAACTCATTTCCTCATAGACCACATCAGCAATAACAGACGGAAATACTTGAAAGTATCACAACACTAGCGTGGAATTTTACTACAGTTGTCTGCCAATGAAAACAATAAGTCAGTGGTGCTTTCAGATCAGATCTGGACATCAAACTAACCGCATTTTTATCTTTGGAATCACATCAAAACATACGGATGAGTACTGAGCAGCCTTTAAACACAATAAACCGGACACCAGTACAATTTGCAACATGACTAAAACAGATTCAAGTACATTGTACAACACCCTACCACACAACCGTGACTAGCGCATCACACTAGCACAGCACACTAGCAGAAGCACACCACAAATGGCGTGCCACATTAGCACACCGCACATCGCACAGGCAGCTAAGGCAATCGAAGCACACAAAAATAGCTATTGGTCTTTTCCATTGAGATTTTTAATATTCGTGATTTGAATGTAAAATATCAAAGTAACATCGTTTCGCACTGAAAAATAACACTGCCAACAACAAAAGACCATTCTGATACTCATCACATATCTCTGCCTTCTGACAAAAGATAACTCATCCTAATACTTTTAGACATTTCCCCCCTCGCACTCACCCATCATTCGATACATGCAGGTACACCTAACACGTGTCTTGCATCATATTGGGCCCATCTGGCAATATCGCCACTCATTTAGTCTCGAGCATTGAAATGTGACATTGAAATATGACATCATGTGACAAACGCACCCATGACCCATCACAAGACTACACCGGCGATATCATCGGTGATACCACGTTTCCCCGCACCCCATGAGATAATGCAACTCTCAGGAAGTACTCAACTTCAGATAACATGAGAACCAGCACAATAAAACTTTCCTGGTCTAATAAAACACCTGAATTCATTTGAGTGTTTGATAATTGAGATAACAAACGTACATATGATTGTTTAACTTTACAACTCAACAAAGGGAAGAACTAGCGTTCCGATAACACATCGATACCATCTGTCGGGATACATTATCAGATTGTGATGTTTCCTCATTTTTAAAACATTAGGTCATACTACTCATATTAAATAAAAGAACAAGATACGACTAGGATTACTTGTTAAACTGTTTGATATCAAGTTTCTCTGTGTATTAGTAATGTACATTTTCAAAGAATGAGTAGCTCGTCTTCGTCGCTCTTCTAAGTCGCGTTGTGTTTTAGAAGTATTTCCCACTGGCGGATCCAGGGGGGCAAACATTTTGTAGGGCCTCAAAAAAGGGCCTTTTGGCCTTAAATTTTCAAAATTTAGGCCCAATTTTTGGTTTTAGGGGCCCAATTTTTATGGCTGACTCGAAATGTGCCCCCTCCCCTTGTTAGTTTCTTGATCCGCCAGTGTTTACTGCATTGGAAAAATCAAGAATTGATTTAAAAGGCTTTAAAATGATGTCAGTTTCTTGCACTCCACCGCGGAAGCAATCTTTTTAGAAAATATTTAAAGAATCAACCAATGATCCTCATTTTATTGTCTGAGATATCTCAGATTATTCATTTCTTTTATTTATTTATTTTTTAGATTAAACTTCAGGAATTGAAATGCAGGAATATCCAAATTTATAATTAATCAGAAAAGTAAAAAAGATGGGCCATGCAGTTTGTAAAACGGACACAATTTTTTCGTTCCTCATTCAGCTCGTCCCCACTATCTGTTACCTATATTCGAATTTAATAAACCTATTTCAAACAAATCCGTGGGTAATATAAAATGCAATTAATCGACATACTAGTATATCAAGGTAATGTGTAAATCATACAAGGTCCAGATTAGTCACTTTCAAGAGTACTACACGTGTAGCATTTTCATACTCTCACCTTACAATCGTATTTTGACCATTGGGAGTTGAAATTAGGTTATCGGAGAGTAGCAGATTTATTAATACAACATTTTTAGTAATATACGTCAGCTCGTATATAGCATCTTGATACGATTCAAATACAACGGGAAATAGAGGTTACATTTTGACTTCAAACACACAACCCGGGTACTAACAAACAAATACAAGGCATCTGAGACTACATGTAAAGGCATTAACATTACAAAATGTCACCACTTTAGTTGCTCACAATATCATGAGTTCAATCTGAAGTCAGATTTGAACATTAAGAACTTGTAGCTGATCTAAAAAATTAGTCAATTTGAAGCAAGTTGAAAATACTTTTTTAGCCAACCACCAGAAGTTGGAGACCATAACAATATGTCACCACTCTTTGTGGTGACATGTCAAAATCTAGAAAATAATGGTCCATGATAAAACTAGGCTAAGTCAGACAGATCGTGTTCACAACTTGTACAATGTAGGAATACCATTTGTTCCCATTTGCAGTCCAATAATGTCGAATTGATGATCAGAATTGGGTCGAGTAAAACATTTATCAGTCTCTCTTTATCTAAAGCTCCGAGTGATTTGTAGTGGCCGGCGCGGATCCCACAATGTTAGATCGAATATTTTTGGTATATGGTTTCTCAAATAGGATGCCATGGCAATAAACGGTACATTTCGCCACTTTTCATCACAGTTTCATCCCAGGCAAATCTTAACTCAGCAAACAAACTTTTTCCAGGTGCTACAGAGGTGTACCAATTTGATGAACAATGCAGACTTAGATCGAAATCTGTTGGAGTGTTTCTGGACAACAAGGTACTACACATTGACCAGGCAGCTGTATTAGACTTCGACCATTCCAGCCAAAATGAAGAATACATTGATTGTTACGTAACTGTGAAAGAAATCGGAATGAAAGTATCCCTTCATTTCCAAAAACTCAATCTCAACCTGTACACTGAAAGGTAAGGCTTTAAATGTGATCTGGCATAACTTTTTCTGGGGTCCGTTTTCGATACAATTGTATGTAACGATTCTTAGAAAGTCATTGTCTACTGTGAATTATGATATGTGACTGGGGTTCGTTTTTCGTACGATCGTAACTTACGATTCCGAAAAAACCATTTGTCTCTGTTTTGATGAACAATGACTTACGACCAAATCGTAAGTTACGATGGTTTCAAAAACGGACCCCTGAATCCTAAGTTGCGATGGTTCCAAAAAACGGGCTCCTTAGTCTCAATTGTTTAACCCCCGGAACTGGAGTATCAAGCCTATTATACACGAGGCAGACCAAATATGCAAAGTAAGCTGTGTACATTTATTACGTGAAGGTCATCTACCACGGTCCCCATCTCCATCTATCTCTGTCAATTCATATAGTGACCTTACATAACAACTCAATCAGGGCCAGTAAGGATCATATGAAATGGGGACCACAATCCATGCGGACCATAATTTCTTTCAGTATGAAGAATCCACACCAAGAAAATATTTTAGTAGCCAAAATAATATCAAGCTGCTTGTTGAATCTGAGAAGTATTTATCATGATTTGGATAAATACCATTTATGAAACATAGCAGAGCTCTCATCAATCAATAATAACTGAAATATTGGCAATGGCATTTCTAAATGAGACCCATTACAGAAAAAAGAAGTCCCCTGGAGGACTGCTCCTTGCATACTTTTTAAGACTCGATTCCAATATGAATCAATGAGACTGCATAATCAGAATAAACATGTCATATCCTTACTCTTTCGTGAGATCATGTTGACACATTGATGATGACTTTAAGTTTTGCATCAAGCCTTCAGGGGCGGATCTGGGAACCAACAATCGGGGTGGCAAATTTCAGGTCAGAGAAAAAAACTTCTGGCTCCTAAAACCCAAAAGTGGGCCCAAATTTTAAAATTTAGAGGCCAATGTTTCGAAATTTGGCCTGAAATTAAAAAATTAGGCCTTATAAGGCCCAGTAATGACCAAAAGGCCCACTTTTTGGGGCCTTGAGGCCTTTTTTGGACCCAAATTTTTTTCCGGGCCAACATAAGGGGGGAGGGGCTGGGCCCCCAGATTCGCCAGTGAGCCTTTGTGTACCTCACACTCAAAACGAACGAGATACGGAAATAGACAATGGGCGTGGAGAAGCTGATGCAAGACTATTACAAGACGTGATGATCAATGGTAGAATACATGACGTCTGCTTTAAATCAAGCAATCTGCTTTTACATTTTAGGTTGTTCATCTATGAGAACATTGGTGTACACAGACTTAATGCTCTTTCACCGGTCGGGGGAATATATGGGAGCCTAATTCCCGGAGAAGAAACAATCCATCCTGGTGTCCATGACTATAGCACTTCAACGAATGACGGAATGACAGTCTATTATACCGCCACTCCAGCCTTGCGGTCCAGTCATTTCAGATTGGTGGTCACTGCCTATATAGGTACTAATTTATAACCGATTTGAGACTAATGCCCCAGCTACATTTGATCTACGGCAACCGTATGGCGGCCGTAGCTTCCCTAAATCAAGAGAAATATGCAGCATAAAATATAGGGATAAGCAGTACGATGTAGATTTGCTATATCGATTTTGTGACGCCTTCGGCCGCCGTAGACGCAAATGTGACTGAGGCTCAAATGGTTGTTCGTTTTCATGTGAGTACATTGTAAAACATTTTAAAAGAACACACACTCAATCTAATGAATCATTTCTTCACTTTACAATTCAGACTCTGTAGCAGATACCTGTCCACTGGACTATTTTCTGTGCTCCAACAAACGTTGTATTCATTCGCAGTTGAGGTGCGATGGTTATCCCAACTGTGGAGAATTAGATCGCAGTGATGAAGCTGGTTGTTACACTCCACCAGGGCAAGAGGCGGTCTCCGTAAAACAAGAATATAAAGGTATGTCACCATGTACATGTGAACATTGTTGGCCAGCATCATCAAGATATTTTTCATGTTTTGAAATTATCTCTTTTCGACTAATCTCTGAACGCACAAATCAATTGATTTGGGGAACGGGGAAACAATTCGGTCTGGATTCGCGGTCGAAAGATGCTTTTACAATGTGCAATGAATTGAACATTTGTTTACGATTGTCCTTCTAAGTATACTTAATTGAATTGCCTTTCTTAGCAATATGAAACAAAAGTAGAGCGTTAGATGCAAGCTACCTGTACATTGTAAGCTGGTCAATTGTGTCAAAATAAAAATCCAAATATACTTTCATGAACCTATATTATATTTTTCTTTTACAGAAGACGGGTCTGTAGATGACAGCTCCCTGAACTATGACATTGGTATAGTTGCTGTTTGTGTGGTTGTTGGGGCGCTGGTAGTGGTGTTACTTGGTGTTGTCGCTGGATCCTGCTACAAGAGAAATAGGTAAGGCTATAGCTATATCCGACTGCGAGTGTGTTGTTTTCCTATGTGGACACACATTAAATACATTCTTTGAATCTTTAATCTAGCCTCATGCCTCAGTCACATCTGAGGGCGGCTGTAGCTTACCAAAATCAAGAGAAATATGCAGCATAAGATATAGGGATAAGCAGTACGATGTAGATTTTCTATATCAATTTTTTAATACGCCCGTCGTAGAGCAAATGTGACTGAGGCATTACTAAGGTCAACATGCATACAATTCTCCTTATTAATAGCTAAGATCATATGTAGAATTTAGAATTTATTAAGGCACGGCCACTGTGTTATCAGGGCATGGCCAGACTACAATTATACAAACTACATTTATACAGTTACATTTATACAGTCACATTAATCTACAAAGATATTGTGTTGTAATGGTTGCGATGTTATAGGTTTCTTTTCTTAAAGCACATGTCAATGAAATGCAGGACTTTCTCCATATTTGATTTGTATGACATAATGTATAGGAACTTGTTTTCCTCAGTCATGTTAGAAAAGTCCTTATTTGACGTTTTGTATGTAAGTCAGAGGTGGGGTAGTATGACAAGGGAATTGAAGGTAGCCTGTAGTCTAATCTTGAGAACATCAATCCCGACTTTATATTGATTAGAAAAATATCAGTTGGAAAAGATCTAGTACTACACAGTTTATGTATATATCTGGAACGATAAAATTGTTGATGTTGCTCTTATTGGATGCTTTTCATCTCTTTATTTTTCTTATTACAGACAGATTGCTGAGAGCAGACAAGCCAGCTTGAATAGATGTTTTCCCTCGGACTTATTCTCAATATTTTCACCTCCACCCTATGAGGGGCATGAACCACGCCCAAATGAGCCACCTCCTATATACACAGTCAGCGCAGACGATGCGATTCTCAGCAATCAGGGGTCCGTTAATGAATCTCCACCCCCATACTCTCCTACAAGTAGATCTCAACCAGCTTCTGTCACACATACAACATTCTCCAATGTTGCCATGGCAACCGTTGTTAACGCAACAACATTCACACAAAATGTTACTCAGGCAACGTGTGATCTAGACAATCATTCCAGCCAACCCGCAGTTAATAGTAATGCCACCAGACTTTCTCAAAACTCTAGTCAATCAGACACGCCTGTTACCGTGTCAGGAAATGATGCATCAAACTCTGAAAATGAAGAAATAACCTTACATGAGATAGTACATGAAAGAGAGCCGGTTGTGATAAGCGATACAGTACATTTGGTATAAAAGATCGGATGCATTCCCGGGGTTTATATTCTCAATTGGTCAATATGTAAAAATAACGAAGGAGTTTAAGCTTGCATATAAAATCGAAACGCCAACCAATACGTATAACCAATCGCCCATACAAATACATCGCTTGGATATTTTCCGTTCACGTTTAGGTTGTGAAAAAACATTGCAAGCTTAAACTCCCCATTAAATAAGTTATGAACTTTATTCACCGTCATACGAGAAATTATTACTTGTTGGGCATTAATTTAAAGTGTCAGTATGACAAAACTTGGATTTTTATGTGTAACATGAACTTCAAGATTCTTAAGTCCCTGGTTCCACCACCAATATCATTCTTCCACCCCATATTCCAACATATATGTTCCAAGAAAATAAGTAATATCTCTTTCATTTTTCGGAATATCACAATATGCCTTGATTCCTAAATCCATGAATCTTTTTATCCATCTATTTATGAATAAATGAGGCAAATGATATACTGTACTTATTATATAGATATTTTGTATGAAATAATAAATTATTTGCATTTTTATATAAATTTTGTTTTTGTGCACTAGATAAATGATAAAGAATATGATAAATGTGAAAACACTACACTTAAGACACTTAACTGCAAATGGATGTGTTTGCAGTTAGCTCCCGGGGATTAAAGATAACTTACTTTCGTCCAGTGTATTATGTCAAGGTCATGTCAACAAAACTTGAGAAAAAATTGCACGAGATATGTCTTAGTTTTTCACTGTTTTTATGATTACCAGCAGGTAAATAAAGGTTTGGTAAGTACCATATGATTATTGAATATATGATGATTCGTAAAGTATAGTTTGTTGCAGCATCAGCACAGATAAAGTGATCTAATTTTGAAGTCAAAGTTGAAACAATTTTCTAAAAATATCTTTATTCGGGTGAAAATGGTTGTACAGACTGGGACTACTGTACCTGATTTGATACAATACGAGTACTTGTTTTTTATTTGCAAAGATTTGAAAGGTCATATATCTACAGCTTCCATAGCTTCCATTAGGGATCAGAGTTTTGAAATCTTAAAAGATCCCCTGGCTACAAAATATATATTGGATAAACTTACTCGAGTCTCAGTGGCCATACATGTAGAATAAGGTAAGGATCAAACGATGCCAAAGGCTTACAAATAACTTGGAAGAAGGTTTAACCACGGACCTTCTGTATAGAATATAGAACCTCCTACTCAGTTATTTGAAAACCTTTAGATTCAAGAAAATAAACCTTCCCTATTTTTCTATAGAATTCCATCAGCTAATTAATTTTAAAATATTGAAAAAATCCACAACATTCAATTTCTAGGGTGTACAACCATTTTCGAGCGAATTTGCCGATATAATAACAATATTTTTGAGTTCCCCTAGGCTATATATAAAATTCATCAATACACAGTATATTCAACATAGGTTTTGCTTCTCGATTTTTAAATATCACTATGCAAAGACAGGGACTCATTTTAGGTAAAATCATTGCTTCACCAATGAAAATTAAAGGGAACGTTAGCTCACAAAATAAATAAATCCATTACAATGTTAAGTATATGATTTGAAAGATTGTCTGGATTATATGTGTGATCGATTGATGCATAAACAAACATATTCATTTCAACTTGCAGACCTCCATTCTGGCTCATGTATAGGCCTAAGACGCCATATTGCCTTATGTATTGTACTGCCCATGCGTGCATACTTAATACGTGAAGTCACATCGACAGAGATCAGCGATCAAGTTTGACTAAAAAATTAAAAGATCCACACTTAACAGCACAAAAATGATATCAATGATCGCCTATTTCATATCAAATAAGTGTAGGATGTAAGGTTTAACATTTTTCATGTTATTTAGTATTTACAGAAGTACAGCTTGTAAAGAAACCAAGTTTTAAATTCCGATTTTGACTGTTGACAAAAATAAAGAAAAGAGAGAAAGAGGTGACTTGTTAGAAACAATGACATGAAATTGTGAATAAAAAAGATATTATTGTGGGTTTTATTTTTTGAGAGTTCATCAAATACACTCATGTGTATTAATTTAAATATGTATTGTAATACCTCTCAGTTCTACCAAGGATTATAAAAACTGATCGAAATGGCTTCGTTTTTAAAGTATAAAAAACACTACCCTACCCGGAAGTAGTATAACATGTATATTGAAACCATGTGTAAACTGTAAATCACGTGAATTGGCTGATGCAATCAGGATGTGACAAGTACAAAGTAACTATGATGCAATCAGGATATGACTTGTGCAAAATAATTGGCTTCACCTAGAATTCGCGATCTTTGCTCTTTAGCATAACATGAAGACATGTTTTGTGTTTAAGTAGCTAGATTCAAATACAAACTAAATGAATAAAACATAAACCAACCATCATTTGTTCCAATCATGGCGAATTTTCAAGGAAATACGTGTAACTGAATGTAAATCAACAGCGGAGCTCTTCAATTATGAGGTGAGAAAAATATAAAAATAAAAACAAAAATAAATCTCACAGAATAGAGCTATTTATACGATTCTAAGTACATTTTAAGTGCTCCATACATTAATGTAAGTATAAAAGCCATTAACCTCAACTGGGAAGCACTTTCCAACTATTTTTACGGCTTGAATTGTAAGAAAATGGCACTTATCTCAAAAAATGGAAATTTGAAAGAAGCTCAATTTATTGTGAAGATGAAGTTTATATATATCTGTAGACTATATGGGGGTGCGAATATATAGTCATAGTATGGGCTAATTCGCTTAAAAATGGCGATATATACCTCAGAACTTGTATTTTGTGATTTTTTCAATATTTTAAAATTAATTACCGTAGTTACACCATAACGTATCATAACTTCCGGAAGAGGCGAGCTGGTAAGTATATTTCAGTTCTTTTGACAGTTCAATTTTACATGTCTTTAGTATTGTGCACATGCTCTATGTGGACAAAATTCAGCTTATAGTGTTACACCATTTAGTGTCTTCTACCTTTTAGGAGCTATGTAAGGGTCCCATTCATGAGATAACTCTTTTATTTCTAACTAAACTTCTTGCCTTTTATCATGCTTAACAGAGTTTAGGGCTAATCTTAATCATTTGTACTTTACAGCTATGCTTGACAAGATTTCATGTCTATCAAAAGCAACAGTGAGAAAGCTTGTACATGCATATAAGGTTCAAAGTCTTCGAATTTGCAAGATGAGCACCACCAATGGCTTGCCATCAAATACTGAAATTACTGGTCCTGGAATTGTTGCTGTTTGCCAGATGAATTGCAAACCTAACAAAGACGAAAATATAAAGACAGGGAAATCGTTGATTGAGAAAGCTAAAGTTAGAGGTGCTAAGGTAAAATCATTGTTACACAATATATTTACCACCACAAGTTCTCAGAAGTTCAAATCTGACTTAAGATTGAACTCATAATATTGTGAGCAACTAGGTGGTGACATTTACCTTGTCTATAAGTAATCATGAAGTTTGGCAAAATTTAGCAAAATGATGGAATTAAAAATAATCCATTCAATTGAAGTTTTAAATGTTGATCTTGATGAAAGGATATAATCTTTCCAGGAATTTATTGATTGCCAAAACATTATAGTTTATAATTGTGAACTTTTATCTTTAATAATGAAAACTTCATGCACTGTACCTAGCACATATTTTGCAAATAAAAGCTGCTCCGATGAAGTAAAGAGATTAAATTAACTTGAAGATTTAATGGACATTGACGGCAGATATATCCAAAAATGGTTCAATAATCAATAAGGGTAAACATGATGCTTACTTGTAATTCTGAATATGTTTCAGATGGTTTTTCTACCAGAGTGCTTTGATTATGTAGGTGAAAGTAGAGAGCAGTCAATCTCCATGGCAGAGAACTTGGATGGCCCTGTTATAACACAGTATAAGAATATTGCAAAGTCCTTGAATGTTTGGCTCTCTCTGGGAGGCTTTCATGAAAAGGTGAGTCATTCATCTTTTTTTGTGTATGCTGATCCAATGTTGTGTCTCTCCTCAATAACTACATTCCTTAGACTGATGTTCTTATAAGATTTAGAAGAGATAGAGAGTTGTTTTAAGTGTTGGAAGTAATGCTTTCAAAAATTATGTCAATGATTTCCTTAATTTTATTTTCTGAAAAAAAAGATTTTTTTTCATTAAATGCATTCAGTGCTAATATTCCTTCAGATAATTTATAATGACTGAGGTTGATATAGTTTCACAAAATTTTGGATTATTGATAACATTTCTTTGAAGGCAATTATAATTTTTCCCTGGAGAAGATCCCTAATGAATTGAAATTAGGTAAATGTTTATTACATAGGCACAACTACTTTTATCTTATTCTTTACTTTTAGGGCCCTGAGCATGATGCCAGCAGAATATACAATACTCACATCATAATCAACAGCAAAGGAGACATTGTCGCCACCTATCATAAGACACACTTGTTTGATGTGGACATTAAAGGAGGTGTGAAGTTGAAAGAAACAGACTTTACAATACCTGGCAGTGCAATAGAACCCCCTGTTAAAACTCCATTGGGAAACCTAGGAATTGCAACAGTATCCTTTTTAGAATTCACGTGAATCTACCATTCATAACCAGGGGTCAATTGTCTAAACACTTGAGCTAAAAAGTAAATTCCATGAAAATTATGATTTTATAAAACTGGGAAGTAAAAATAAAACATGTTCTTATTTTCAATAAAAATCCATAAATATAGAAATATTCATTAGTAGTCAAACTTTATTTTGTTGCTTTTAATCAGTCCTCTGAAACTGGTAGATCCTCAAAATTCTTCTCCAAACAGTTTTGTCATTTTGAATGTTTTCAAGATATGGACCCCGGATTATTGATCCCTTTTTCTTGTAAATAGCCAGGTTCATCTTGGAAAAAATACATAGATATGTCTCCTTTAACAATTGCATAGTGCTATGATCTACGGTTTCCAGAAATGTCTGTTGCCCTGAGACAACAGGGGGCACAGATACTCACCTATCCCTCTGCCTTCACACAACCAACTGGTATGGCACATTGGGAGGTATGTACATACAATACATAAAACCCCTGTCTTGCCAATTCATCCACCTCCACTCATGTGGGAGGGGGTGTCCATGGATTAGTGATTTCTGGTTTATGACTCCCTGCTTCCATATTCTTGAACTTGTCAATAATTATGTTTTATATTAAAGAAAGTAAAACATAAATATATTATAATATAATAATAATAATTATATATTTTAAGTACTATAATCTGATGTTCAAGTATTGTTTATGTTTGTCATATTTCAGGTTCTTTTACGTAGTCGTGCAATTGAGAACCAATGTTATGTTGTAGCAGCTGCCCAAACAGGCAAACATCATGCAAAACGTTCATCATATGGTCATGCAATGGTATGTACAATGTCTCACCCTGTATATGTACTTTATATCATGAACATCATAGTGTACAATATTGTCAAAAACATATTTTTAGCAATTTAGCATCTCCCCATGAGGGAATTTAGGAGTCTTGAGTTTCATTTCAAAATTGTATCCTGTGTGATTTTCAACAAACCCTTATACAATTGAAGGTTTAATTTTACCATGAGACCATATTGTTGTAATATGAAGGTGGTTGATCCCTGGGGAGCAGTAGTGTGCCAGTGTAAGGAGGGTGAAGATGTTGCAGTTACAGAAATAGACCTCACCTACCTCAATAAAGTACGCACACAAATGCCTGTACAGCAGCATAGACGTTGTGACATCTATAGGCCTACAGTCACATCACAAAAAGGTAGAATATTGAATTTGATGCCATATACAGTTCATAGCTGTTGTTCTGTGCCTTCTAATGTTTCCCTTTATGCTTTTCAATTATTGTGTAATATATTCTGTGTGAGTAATAAGAAATCCTACTGACTTTCAAAAGTTCTAGTACAGTAGTTCTTGTACAGTTTCCTTATATATTCCACATATATTATATGTGTGTTCTTCTTTGAGCAAATATTAAATACATGTACAGTGTGCATACATATGTATGATGTGTTGTTATTGTTTTCTAATTTTGCAGTATTATTTATTTCAGAACCCATTGTAGATAATGCCACATATGCATTTGGTCAGCACACCATAAAGCGAGATATTATATTTTACAAGACACATCTTACTATGGCATTTGTCAACAGGAAATGTGTTGTACCTGGTCGTATCCTCAAAATGATAGCTAATAAAGTAGATCTACTTGTATTAGAGGGATGCTAGTACTATTATTTGAAGGGGGGGGGGGGGTGTAGCATACAAAAAAACAAATATAGAAGGTTCCCTTTGGAGTCTAAAAATGAATGATAGAGTACCTCTTTTAAATGGCTTCTCAAAATACCATCATTCATTTTTATTTAAAGTGGCTCAACCTGTTACTACCATACTGAATGCTCAGAAAAAGTTAAAGGGTAGCAGTTTGTAAGGCAACAGTTGAAATAACAGTAAAATTATCAAATGAATACTTAACTCTAAGATCAAATGAATACTTAAATCGAAGATCAGATGTATTGGTGTCACCTATACGTGTAGTGCAGAGGTTTTCTGAGATGACGCCTGAAGAAGTATCAGACTTGTTCACTGTCTCACAAAGAGTGGCAACTGTTGTAGAAAGTCACTATGGATGCTCATCAGTGACTGTTGGCCTGCAAGATGGTCCTGATGCTGGGCAAACAGTAATGGTAAGCTACAAATATCTTATGATTAGATGGCTGTTCTTTATCTCTTTAAAAGCTGGTTTAGTCAAGTATACTTGTTCTTTTTCCCCAGCCGTGGAGTTAAAAAGAGAAGAAAAATTATATGGGAGATTTAAAAACTATATTATATGACTCATAATTTTGATTGGGGACTACATGTACGAGGGGGGATTCATAAGTAGTGGGACAAATGCTATAACTTCACTTATATCAACCAAATTTTATTCAAACTTGGAACACAGAACCACAAACATGTGATAATCATTGTGTGAAAATTTCAAAAAGTTACACCCAACTTCAGTAAAGTGAGAGTTCCAATTATGACGTCACAACAGGGTCCACAGAGCACATTGTTTGTCACTAATTGCTCGTTAAATATACAAGTCTCAACTGATATTCAGGACTTGATCTAATCCGTGACTTCTAGCGAGTCCTTTTGTGGAGCACATCAATTCTGTGCAAGACTATTGATTCCTTATCCTTCTGGTGCAATCCCACTCTTTCTCAAAGTATTCGCCATGACAATCAATGCATTTTTGGCATCTCCTCAACCATTCTAGGTATGCACCCTCAAAACCATATTTTCCAAGATTGGTCATCTTGGCTCTCACAGCATATTCAGAATACATATACAGAATACCACCTATATACTGTAGATTTTTTTTGCTTCTTCTTTCCCAAAGACTTCCAACAAACCTCTATAGGTCCCAAATACTGAAAACTTCTTCAAAGCATTAAATTTAATCACAGCACGGATGTTTATACCTGATTCTTGCTTTTTCATTGCTATTTTAATCAAATTTTGCTCCATCCAACAAGGACTGAAAATGGCAGTGTCCTGGTGTCACTGCTTTGTGTGACATCACAATAGCTTGATGATGTAATATATGTTACAGTTGTCATGACTACAAGGCTTGAGACAATATGAAACCAAATATTTGAAAATAACTGTCATTTTGAGATATTTATGAGCATATTTATGTTGATCAAGCCCTTCATTTTTTAACTGCTCTGTTAACCCCTACTTTTGGTTACCATAGCAACCATTGTTGCTAGTGAACAAAATGAATTAAATTGAAATTTCACCAAACAATGCCTTATATCCTAGTCCATTCATGTGCCAACTTTGGTTGAGATATGTACACAGGGACTTGCTGCCTCAGAAAAGTCCCACTACTTATGAATCTCCCCTCGTATATTGGTTAATCTGAAACAGGATTCAAGGCATTAGATCAAATTAAATAAATTATTTACAAAAACTTTTCTTGATAATGATTAATCATTAAGATTAGTACAAAAAAACAAAATTAACACAAAATATTATTTTAATATAACAACTTTTATCTTTTGTCATGTTTCTTGTTGAACATTGCAAGAACATTAAAATATTTTACTCTGTTATTTTCAGCATGTCCACGTTCACATATTACCGAGGAAACCAGGAGACTTTAAGAGAAATGATGATATTTACAGTGAGGTGAGTTCATGCTTTTCCATTCAATGGTTGTTCCATAGTATTTTATTCAATGGTTGTCCAATTGTGTTACATACATTCAATGGTTGTGCCATAGAATGTAATAATATGCAGTGATCTTACAAGTATATTGTATATTGTTTTTCATTCATTTGTTGATTTAAATAATGTTATTTCACTCAATTGTTGTTTATGTCACATTCAACAGTTCTTCCATGTTATAGCGTGTACTAAATGCATTCAATAACTGCTCTAGCAATTCACCATGGGTTGTTAATAATGTCACAGTTCTGTGTATAACCTTAAATGAAGACCAATGTAACATGTGCTTGATTGCTTTGTGTACGCACAATTGATTAAACTTTTCAGATGGAAAAACACGACAAAGATTCCAGTGGTGAAGAACTTGAAGATTCATCTTCAGAATGGAGAACACCAGAGGATATGGCAGCAGAAGCCAGCACCTTACGCCAGCTTTTTAAAGACTCCTGACACGAAATATAACAAAAACAAAAATGTAATGCAAATGGAATACTCAACATGTGAAGCATTTGCTTTTGGGAGATCACCACATTCTTTTCAACACATTCGAAATGGGACATTTCTCTTAATTCAGGGTGACCCAAAAAATGCCACCCACTATATTTGAAATAATTTTCTCAGTAATGAAAGAATCTTCATGATTTCTTTGTGATTATACAGTGTTCAATGGAAGAAAGATTGCTGTACTTGTTTAGCATCAACTACTTTGAGATTTAGAGATCTCACATTTTCCGTCTAGGTATGCTTTCGATGAAATCTTCAAAAAATGTTCAAAAATCAAAAAATTTCTGAAATTGGGATTTCTGTCTTAGCCATTATTTGAGTCATTTTTGGATTGCTTTCACTTCTATATTGTCATAATAACTGACTCGTTTGTTGATTAATTTTAGAAAAGACAGATTTCCTAATTTACATTTCTGAGTGAGCATACCTCCTCGGAAAATGAGATATCTCTTAATTTTCAGGTTGTTGATGTTATGCAACCATACCAGTCGCTTTCATCTGTGAACACTATATCTACACATAAAAAATCATGAAGATCCCTTCATTATTGAGAAAGTTATTCCAAAAATAGTGGGTGGCATTTTTGGGCCACCCTGTATATACTCTAAATATATTAGTATTTAGTATCAGTCATTTCTCCTAGTCACGTGCTATTCTAATGATGAAACTTATGTGGGTATATCTCCATATAGCTGCATTAAATATCAACACACGACCTTGATAAGGGCACATAAATAATTGAAATAAAGTCAATGGAATAAAATGGTGGAGCAGCGGGGTCATGTTTCTATATTTATATTAATTCAATTCTATGTGTTTTAAACTCTGGCTAACTTGTTTTGAGTAACCAGTTTTGACTTTGACCATAATAAATAGATAGTATATGTGAATTATAATGTATCATGCCCATGCCAACGTATGTCAAGTTTCCATAATCCATAAGTACTCAGTCAGTCTTCCCATGTTTCATTCAGTGTAAAATCATCCCTATTCGTTGTAAAGTTGCTTTTTTACTTGCATGAAGAAGACTGATACATTGATTTTCCCAAGATTATTTCCAATGTCGTCTGCATGTATTTCAGCAACTTGACAAGCCAACATGTACACGCGATTGTTGTATATCCAACCATTGTATCAGATGCTGGCACAGTTTTGCCGGAAGTTTGCAAGAAGTAACTTTTGGCAATGCAGTATGTTAGATTAACCTAGTAGGTGTAAGAAAATATAAGGTGATGGCCTTTAAAGTGGTAAAAACAATTTTCACGGACGAATTGGACTCCAATTCCTGCGATTTCAGGGGGTACTATAACCCTACTATCACACCAAACTAGTTCTCACTACGTTCTCGAAAACGGGCTTAAACTGTGCACGAACGGATTTGACGTACTAAGAACCAACTAAGAACCGTTTGGGATCTGTTTACAAACTTCATGAAACTACTAGAACGAGTAGGTCCTCCAGCACTTAGAGCATGCTCAACATTTTCTGGTGATCATCAAAACGTTGCCGAATCGGTTTTAAACTGTGTGCGAACTGAATGAACGTAGCTACAACGTTCGACGGTCTGTTTACGAACTTCATGGACTTTCCCGGACGGGGTATGTGATTTAGAATTTTGAATCGATTCAAAATTCGATTGCGACCATACCGTTCTGTAATCAGGTCATGATGACCTTCTAGACTAAGGGACGGTTTATACTACGTTGCACACCGACGTGGTGCGACCTGAACGAACTACGAACGTGATGGACGTATTGAAGACTGTTTACGAACGAAGTAGCTAATTATTTTAGACATATCATCCCTATTCGTTGTAAAGTTGCTTTTTTACTTGGATGAAGAAGACTGATACATTGATTTTCCCAAGATTATTTCCAATGTCGTCTGCATGTATTTCAGCAACTTGACTAGCCAACATGTACACACGATTGTGTATATCCAACCATGTCTCATAGCGAACTTGGGCTCAAGAAACCGAAGACGCCTAACTGGCTAACGACTTTGAATGAAATATGTTTTAAGGTTCAGCTGGAAAGTAACATTTTGGTAAAAAATTGCTATACCTGCACATGTTATTTTCTGGTACAAAATTAAGTATGAAGGCATGTGTGTATTTCCTTGCTTTTTTCAGGAAAGTATCATTACACTGTCTTCTTTTAGAATATCTAGAAACAGGTCAATGGTAGCTCCTGTGTTGTCTGGAAACTTTGAAAGAAAATTTGGAAAAATAGAAAGTGTGAAATATCAGAATTTCCTGGAGGTCCCATTGAACGTCTACCAGATATTCTAAAAGAAGACAATGTAATGATACTTTCCTGAAAAAAGCAAGGAAATTGACACATGCCTTCATACTTTATTTTGTACCAGAAAATAACATGTGCAGGTATAGCAATTTATTACCAAAATGTTACTTTCCAGCTGTACCTTAATTCATTATTATATATGACTATTTATGACTTTTTCCAATAATAGAGTGGCGTCAGTTAAATAATCGATTACATATTCCTTCCAGTACAATATTCATCTCTACATGAAGATAGGTTTATCCCCGGTGTGAAAAAAATTATGATACCCCGGGGATTATGGTCCCCTTTCTTAAAGGCCCTTACTGGCCCTGATTGTGGATACAATAATAAGGGAGAGTTGTATTTAGGTCACCATATAAATCAATGGAAAGCATAGCCGTAGGGACCGGGGGTTCGATGGGTTCGGACGAACCCCCGGTCGGGATTTCTCAAAAAAAAATATTTGTGGAAAAATTCATTGCAATAACCAGAAACATATATTCAATTTATATGGCCAGTAGGTAAAATAGTAAAGGAAGAGGTGCGATTATTGGCAAATCTGTGCCCCTCCGTTTTGTTTTATTTCAAACAAAAAAAATCTTGTTAAGTCCCCGGGGCTGATAAGTCCTCAAAAGCAAATATTAAATAATAGAAACATTTTGAAATGAGTTATTATTTAAAGCATATGTATCATTTATAAACACAAGCATTTGATCGAATGGGTATTTATTATCCATTACTTTTTAAGGAAAAATAAATCCATTGCGAAAAAATCAGTTTTGTTTTTGCAGATGCACGTTCATCTCGGAGATCATTTTAAGATTAAATTGTTGCTGTTTCAGTGTATTTAGTGTTTACTCTATTTTCAAGAATATCAAACTTTAGTGAATCGTGTTAATGTCATTAATTATATATGTTTAGCAAATAAATGGATTAAGGGAGGCAATTAGGTGAGTATGTCTCTGGTACTAGATACAAGTGTAAGCTAAAATGGTACACACATTACTTGCAGTGGAAAGTTCTGTCCAATAAAAAAGCCAGTTGCAGTCATCTTTTGCTGAGGAAAACAAAGTCATAAGGAGGATTATATCTAATAAGTCTAGATTTATTAAGTATTTCGAATGAGTATTTTATTTTCACAGTTAAGGGAAAAAGTTCATCATAAAAAAATATTAGAAAAAAATAACGTGATGTACCAATATGCATTGCTTCCTGATAATCACTTTTCATTTTCTAAAAAAACTGATCCACTAATAATTGCCAACAGATTATCGAGATTTTTAAACTTCAAAGACCTAATTACAGATGGCCTGCGGTTGAATCTAATCTACTAATTAAATAAAGAGCCCATTGGTTCCTCTTGGTTTACATGGGAATGACGATTTTCAAAAATTCATCTTTAGAAGAAAGGGAAATTGGGAAAATTTGGAGGCATTGGAAATGAAGTCAAGTTACATTTTCATCAATATTATAAGTATTTTCTTCGCAGGTTATGTAAATAAAAATTCGAATATAAAGAGGAGGCAGGGAGCTAAGGTTGGAGGGGAGTGTATTTTCCAGAAAGACTAGAGGATTAGCCTACCACAAGTTTTAAATCGTGTGTCTAAAAAGGATTTGACAGCATTCTTTAATAAGATAATAAAATGTTCATTTCTCAAAAACAAATTAACGTTTATACATGTTATAATGATTCACAAGTTCATCTAAAATGTTTTCATTTCTCAAAACGTTCATGATTCTCGCCTATGTTTCATTCTATTAATACAATACTATTTGTCATCTGTCACTTCTATCGTCAGTACCAATTGAGAGTATTCGTGCAGCCATTACGACTTTTATTGTGCGCCATGATTAAATAAGTATTACATTCTTCAAAAATATTTGCTTTTGAATATAGTATTCAGAAACTAACTGTAAGTTCATGAGGTCATTATGAACTCCTCTATTCCAAAATGAAATGGCAGATAAAATTCTTTTGATTTGGATTCTTTTCAAAAATCATCTAAAAGTGTGGGAATAGCATGCCAGAATTTGACATATCTTTGAATGATGAATTGGGAATGACGATTTTTCAATGGTAGCTCGTTAGAAAGTATGTTCCTTAGAGATATGTTGTAATTTTCCCTTAACAAAAGTTGTCTCAATGTATGCTAACCCTTTATTTGGATTTCATTGAACAATTTAACAATTGTTATATAAAATGTATGATTTTGCTACCAGATTTCAATATCTTTCAGTAAGATTCACCAAAAACTATTTCAATATAGAAAATCAAATTGTTGCCAAACCTTTGGAGGGGTGTAAATTGTATGTATGACAAATACAAAAAAATGCTTTTATGTGAGGTACACCAATGAAGGGGGAGATTTGTGGATACATAAAAAATCGAACCCCTGGTCACCAATTGCTGGCTACGCCATTGGAAAGTAGGACCATACTTTGATAGGACCTCCCCCTTCTTTCTACTGGTCTTGCCCAAAAAATTGCATTGCGCAACTGCACTCTTTGCTGGGTCTCATTAAGATATAATTCTTCAGTTTCACATTACTTCAATGAGTTTGGCAAATCAAAAGCTTAATAAGTAGTATAATAGTGTGAGTGTCATATTTTTATGAATACCGTAAACCAAGACGACTAAACGCCTCCTTTGCCACGGGTTTGTTTGTGTTATTCAGTTATAATGACATATAACACTTTCGTGAGAAAAATTACTTGCATTAATTGTATTGCATAGTCTGTTCATTGTGTATTACAATTTTATCATCTTTTCTCGAGAGGTGAATAGAAGATGTCATGAAATTCTCCATGTAGGCTTAAAATCCTTCAGATAAATTGTGTCACATAGGTTAGGTTGGAAGCAAATATGGAGGGAGGAGTAGACGAAATCAGGTCTGTTGTGCAATAAATAGAACTATCATTTTATAAGTATGCTTGGAAAAATGAAGGTAACATTTGGTTTTATATATTTTGAACAACGTTTTGGAACGTTAGCGAATTATTAAAACTACTAGCTATACACAGACATTTTTTATTTATACATCGCATCGTTTTATCCATGTAGGATCTTATAACTTGGTTACTAGTATGTTTTCCTTAAATATCTTCTTCAGATGCAAGCTATATGAGTAGTGTTTAGTAATGGACAATTAGCTCACGTACCTGGACGTAATGAATAATATCGTTTCATTGACAATTATGACCTTGCCCTATTCGTTTTTTATTAAAGACCCCATATAAAGTTTAAACCACAGTGCAGTGTTAAGTGTTGATGATCTGAAAATCTATATTTTTGTTTCTAAATATGCCTAGCAAAAATTTCAGTGGCCTAGCGTATTTTGTGAGTGTACGCCACGAGTTAGCGAAGCGAACGAGCTTTGAGGGGGTTGAAGCGTCCTGGGGTTTTTCAAATAGGAAATCCCGACTAAATATGGACTAATAAAATGTAAAAATGCCATTCAATATAGAAAAATTAAGATTTTTCTAAGTTTTGAGAGTTCGCCATGTAGTTTTATGTGTATATGACGCTACGCCAACTTGAAAATTATTAGATGAACAACCTTTTTTCAAAAGTCATATTTAAGTCATGAAAAGTAATATTTGATTTTGAACTATATTTTCCAACTTTGCACTGGGTCTTTAAGAAGAAACCGTAATGCGGTACTGTTAGACTTAGTCAAGGTTATAAAATAGAATCACCTTGGGAAAATGTCGATAAATAGACTAGATGCGAGTAGAAATAAACTTGATTTACGAAATTAAATATTCAAAATTCAGTCAAAGTGATGTCATATTAGAAATCTAGAAATATGGTTTCAAAAATTGTTTATCAACTTTGAAAATTAAATTTTTTGGGAAAATGTAACTTCTAACTCAGCTTCTAAGTTCGGGTGGATTCCCCATAGGCCACATGTTACAAAAGCACCAAAAGTGAAATATCTTTTCTTGTATTGGACAGATAACATTTTCTTTTACTGGACATATGAAAATTGAACCACTAACGAGATGTTATTTAGTTAAAGGGAACTTTCTACCAGAGATCTAGACATAACATTATGTCTCTGTTTCTACTATACCCGCCATGCTATCTGACCCGAACGAACCACCTGGTGGTGAAACTGGTAACTACCTACTCGCATCTGCGTTATTATTGTCCCTGGCAAATGCGATCAAGAGTCTACATATATCGTATTGTACTTATTGTAACTACATCATTCAGTTGATCTCATATTTCAGGAAAACAGGTTCCGTAACTTCCTCGATTGAGTTGAGAAATGCTGTGCTTCTAATCGTAGGATTTGGTCTGATTTCCATGATCATTGCAGCAGTATTCAGATATGTAAGAAAGACTATTTTTCACGATAAGGCTAACCTGGATACTACCTTCGATGCGGGTGGTAAAGTGTCTATTGGGCTAACTGCAACGACGCTTGTGTCTCAAATGACGTGGGCAGCCAGCATTTTGCAATCTGTCACCGTAGCGGTTCAGGTAATAAAATGCAATGGGTGTGTGTATTGTATTGGGAACCGTTAGAGAGCTTAAGCTTGCACAAGTTAAACGTAAGCGGAAAGATTTTAATGTGAATATAAAGAAGTTATTCACCGAGAGGGATTTAATATTGAAAATATCACAAGGATGATATCAATATTTCCCGAGGGAACGCAGTATCATCCATATCATCCTGACAGGTGAATAACCATCGTATACCATGCACAGTAGTATTCTTTCTGAAGAAGATGATGTATGTCATGCATGATTTACCTCCATATATATCACCAAACGAGCTTGTTTAAAATATGTACCTCAAAACCTCTGGTATCTGGTACTGATCTTACATGCATATTCAGAGACATATAAAACATATATGTCTCCGGCAAATTAAGGTTACGAATATTATAAAATCGAAATGCTGTGCTTTGAGCAGTAACACCAAATCATTGATAGTACCCTGCGCGTAGAGTCTAGTTAAACTACAGACGAAGACGAAGCTCTCTTTTAAGAAGTGAAGTCAAACGAATGCAAAGGGTACATTGATAGTGGTGATATGATATCTCATGTATCTGGGTGACTTGTTTTTGTTTTATATGTCAAACTGTGTTTTAGTATGGCATTAGTGGAGCGTTTTGGTATGGCGCATCCGCCATGTGTGTTATATTCCTCTTTGCAATTTTGTCCATACATCTTAAAACGAAGTCACCGGGAGCAAAAACTTTTCTACAGGTATGACATTTTTTTAACAATGGAGTCATTATTTCAAACGCATTTTGGATGACGTGATCGTGTTTATATTGGGTCCGCAAGAAATAATTTCCTCGTTCTAATTTATCTTTACCTAATTACATTTACATGTATTTCCCTGTACATGTATCTCCATATGTACCAAATCAGGCTAGTAAAATCATCCTTTCTAGAATAAAGCACATTACATGTAACAAGAATTCAAATTCTAGCACTTGTATGTCAATTTAAATAATAACAATACAGGGTGGTCCAAAAATGGGACATTCGTATTTCAAAAAATTAAAAACATGACATATTATACCAGTGGATAGGGAATTAACTTATCTTTAATTTGATATGTCATAAGTTCAAATTTATTATAATGTCTATCAACCAGCGTCCATAATATAAATGACGTCATTTTGGTTTCAAAACAGGTTTTCCAAAACTTGCAAAAACCAAATTTGAGTCAACTTTATTTACATAAACAGACGTTCAATATGTCCACCATTTTGATAAATTATAGCCCTCAATTTTGACTTAAACTGGTCGCAAGCTTCATTAAAATGCTGTTGAGACAATGAATTCAACTTTTCGACAATTCTATCCTTAACAAGGGACTGAGTAGATGTAAGGGGTTCGTGGTAGACCAATCTTTAGTTCTTCCAATACGTGGTAGTCGCAGACGTTTACATCGGATGATGTAATTATGTTGTTTTTGAACCATCCTGATATATGAGCTCATTTACGAATCATTAAACCGAACAGGATTGGGCTTCCTTTACATCTATTCAGTCCCTTAAGAACAGAATTAATGAAAAGTGAAATTCATTGTCTCAACAGCATATCAACGATGCTATTGACCAGTCAAGGTCAAAATGGTGGATATATTGAACGTCTATGTATGTAAATAAAGTTGACAAAAAACTTGTTTTTTGCAAGTTTTGGAAAACCTGTTTTGAAAGCAAAATGACGTTATTTATAATATGGACGCTGGTTGACAGACATTAGAGAGGTTAAGCAAGACGATTTTTTATGACGCGAACCGCAAACGTAAACCTTTACGTTCCCGTATACGTACTATGTGCAAACGTGCTTTAAGCTGAGCACTTTAGACGTAACGCAAACGCAAACCTCAAAATAATTTTTTTCTTTTTCTTAGCGGCGTTTCGTTTTATTTTCTACTTTAAAAGTATAAAAAGATTACTTTATTGACAAAGAAGATGTTTCACACCCTGGTAGTGTTCTATGACATCTTGAATCTTACAAAATACAAGTGGTCGCAATAATATCTTTTAAGCAAGTCAAGGAGGATTGGCTCCCAGAGTGCAACATCGATATTCTGTTCCATATATGGGCATGTCGTGCTACAAAATTTGAATTCCAACCACCGCCATTTTGTTCACTTCAACATTTGAATCGGGGAATTTTGGTCTTATTTCCTAACGAAAAATTCCAAAACTCACAGGAAATGATCGAGATATTGGTTCGAATCTTTTGAACTGTTTATTTTGAATTTATAATCGGTTATAATTTCAGAAAATAACGACATTTCGGCGTTTTCATTGTTGGAAAATATCAACTTCGATTCTGGGAGCCAATCCTCCTTGAAGCAAGTCTTCAAGGCATTCATAGTTTTATTACTATGGTGTCACAATATGGATGAGTTGACATGTGGGTAATTGCAATTGCATGTAATCTCATCAAATTTTACATATGGAATGGGTGCCTCAATATTCAAGTTATATTTGATTAGATTGGACACAAATGATCTCGATATATACACAGATTTGTGTCAAACATATTTATGTATTCGACCTATATCATATTTATCTCAATCGAACTTGATAAAGTATGAAAAATCCTTTACGGAACGACCTACCTAGACTTTGATTTTTCACGTTTGGATGTACGTAAACCGGGAAATAAGTAGAACAATATGACGTCACATCATGAGATAAACCTGCGCGCGCCTTCCCGTTCGCGGTTTACGTTGTAAAAAGTGGTGTTATGATATACCAAATTAAAGGTGAGTAAATTCCCTATCAACTTGTATACAAGTAGAATATGACATGTTTTGATCAAGAAAATCAATATTTATTTTTGAAATACGAGTGTCCCATTTTTTGGACCACCCTATATAAAAACGGGATAAGGCTACTTCAAACCAAATCCCAATGTCACTTTTTGAAAAGTAGCCTGTAAGACAGATAGTTGACGTAGAGAATCGTAATGATAGAACCACTTCCACACTGTATGTTTTAGACCTATCTATGAAAATACGTTTTATCTTCAGGTTATTCGCGTGCGATTCGGAAAGGCAACTCATATCATCTTCTGTGTCTTCGCTGGCCTTACGAATGTTCTTGTTATGTTGATATTGTTGTTAGCTGGCTCGGCTCTTCTCAAAGGTCTTATTTTGGATATGTCCATAGAACTTGCTTGCATGCTCATGGCTTTCGTGATAGGCTCGTATACTCTCATCGGCGGTCTTGGCGCAACGTTCTACGTCTCTTACGTTAACACCACTCTTGTGTTTTGCTTCATGATTGTTTTGATAAAGGAGGTATTCTTAAATGATTCCCCGAGAGAGGATGACTTGCCAATTGGTAGCGCAGATAAGATGTTCACTCATCTTATAAACGCAACTGGTCCAGTTGGTAATTACAATGAAAGTTTTCTCACCATGTTGTCATCCGGGAGCCTTATGTTTGGTATTACTTCAGCATTACTTGCAGTAGGGGTAATTGTGTGCGACCAGTCTTACTGGCAAAGTAGCATTGCGGCTAAACCTTCGCATGGTGTTTGGGGATTTGTAGCAGCTGGATTGACGTGGTTTACAATCCCATTCGTTATGGCCACGACGTTTGGTTTGGCATACATTGCTATAGAAGAAGCCCAAGGAGAACCATTATTGCTAGAGACTGATGTTTTTAGAGGCAAGTACCTTGTATAAATTGGTATTAGGAAAAGGGAAACAGAGAAAGACTTTGGTTGACCATACCATTGTCCTGGCAAAATAATAATGATTACGCACTTCTCCCGTGGTTCGTTTCTGTCTCTCGATTATTATCTGTACATTTTTCTGTAGGTTTGGCACTTCCACGAGTGGCGCAGATTTTACTAGGAACAACCGGAGAATATCTCACTTTCCTTATGATTCTCATGGCAATTATGTCCACGGGATCTGCAGAGGTGATAGCAATGTCATCCCTGATCGTATATGACATCTATCAGCCCTACATTAACCCCTTTAGGTGAGGTTTGCGTCATTGTACAAATCATTATCAAAGGGATCCGGATGCAGCTTTCTGTTTCACTAAATATAACGACTTTTTGTTTTGAAATCAACTGGTTTGAGAAGTCAAATGTCTAAAAATTACACAATAGCGTCTAAGATGTATTTCTAAAATCATCAAAAAGTCGTTACCTAGCTACATTAATTTCAAAAATGCCCCAGAAACACTGTTGCAAGCCCCCGAGGGGGAGCGTATGATCAAACAATAACCATATCGTTTACCTCAGGAAAGAACTTGATGCCTCAAGATGCATACTGTGTGGTAAAACGAATTTTGCCTCCGATAACTACAATGATCAACCCCCGGATGATGATAAGCGCGACACGTGTAAATGTCAGCCTGTCTTTCAATGTTCAGAATGCGCCAATGATAACGACTCACGTTCCAATACATCAAAACTAAACGAAATTGTAGGAGTTCCGCCACCGTACACGTGCAAAGAGCATGGTCACTATCATGAATACCAGGACCATCTCATGACGTATAAGAACTTTTGCATTATCTGGATCACCATCTGTACCATACCGCTGGTCTTATGCGCTGATTGGCTCGGCCTTGACCTTGCTTGGGTGTTTGTAGCCATCGGAATACCAGTCAATTGCGCCGCAATACCTGTCATTCTGAGTGTCACTTGGAGTAAGGTCACGTATCAAGGCATGATATCTGGTAAAATATAATTTACTTAGTTTCGTTCATTATTAGTAACTTCCAGTCCTCTGTTCTTTATGATGTGACTGTATATTTGAATCTTCCAACACGATACATTGTTTGTCCAGGTGTGGTATGCGGCTGTGTTTTTGGCATTTCTGTGTGGCTAATAATAGCGTCTACCTACGATGGAGGCTTGGCCGATTTTCTTAAGAACACGGGGAGGCAAATACCAACGCTTGCTGGTAACGGTGTATCAATGCTGATGGGTGGACTAGTATGTATCGTAGTGTCAATTTTTACACTGAATAGAGAATCATATAACGAGGAACGAGTCTGGGGGATATTGCAAAACATCGAAAACCCATTGCACCCATGGGCGATGACTTATACACAAGAGTTTGGTAAACCAAAAGGTGAATCTGGTGTATATGAACGTCCGACCCAACAGGAACTGAGGAAACGATACAGGAAGCCATTCATCATCGTAACTGTGACTGCTATAGGTCTCAGCATAGGGTTCTTTATCCTTTGGCCTGCTGTCATGCTTCCCATCAAAGTCATGAACCAGGACCAATTCCGTCATTGGATCAATCTCACCCTTACTTGGGCCTTTATTGCCGCCGCATTCATTATCATCGTCCCACTTGTACAAGAGATACACTCGATTGTTAACAAAGCAAGACATAACAGAAAGAAAAAGGTGCCCCCATTTAAAATCAAACATGACATAGAATCTCCAAGTTCTGCATTTCTCCGTCATTTTGATTAATTATAGACAACCTCACCATTGTCATTTTATAGCCAGAGCGTTCCAAAGCTACGATTTTAATCAATTATAGCACTTGAATTTGTCTACAACGACATACACGTCGCACGAAACTGGGGACAATTAGAGTAACATTATGGCGTCAAAATACCAAAACAATACAATGGGCAGTATAGGGCGCAATCAGCATTATAACGTCAAAAACGACAAGCGTTACATTTTGTCAAGTTTAGTCAACCTAAAAATAAGATGCTTTATTCTTATTCAATCCTGGTAAAATTCACAGAGCAACAAGATCTCGAGGACAATATTTCTAAAATGTTTTTGATTTTTGAAAAACAGTCAGGAAATCCACTCGGGGCGTTAGTAAAAATTGATGTGTATTGGATTTGTGGTAAAAAATCGATGCGTTACATTTTTTCAAGTCTCTAAAAGCAACTCTTATTCTCTTATTATTTGAAAAATAAAGAAATCGGTTATTGTTTTGTAAATTTCGCCATGACAATATTGTGCAGCTAAATTTTTTTTGAAATCAGACCTAAATTAGAAGGTTAAATAAAGGTAAACTTATTGCTTGTCTCCTTCGCCTTCAAAACCTTACACAATTTTGAAAATCTTAAAAGCGTTCATATAGGACGATTTGAACTGTAGCCGCTAGGAAATTGTGACGTCATAAAAGCACATGTTTCAATGAATAAAATGTGAAATTTTAGTAAAATTCTGATCAGTATTTCAAAAGTTATCCCGATTTCAACGAACCATGTAAGCGTGAAATGTTACGCCTAACAGCGTATTTGACGATGTCGGAGTACATTTAACTTCAAAAATATCGTAGATCCCATCACACTTTTCGAGGAAAAATAATTTCAGTGAAATGCGAATAAAAAATACTTTAAAATGATATATAATGCACATAGTTAGCTTTTTAAATAAGCCAGATATTAACGCTTAAAGCTGAGATTAGCCCGTATTTTCCGAGTTGTCCCCAGGTCCATGCACGTCATAACAGCAATAATACACACAATCATGAGTGTGAATTTTTAGTCGCTTTTTGTTATTAAGTACACGTGCTTTTTGTTTCATGTATATCACCCTTGGTATACGCAGCTAACGAAAATTGACCGGTACGGGTCAAAAGCTGGACTGGTACGGGTTAACGGTTTTATTTGAATTTAAAACAGCCATAACTTGCTCAATATTGACTTCCTCGTGTCTAATTTGAAATATATGATGCCTCCCGATGCTTTTAAGTACCCCAATTTTTTACAGATTTTTAAACGGACCAAAACTCTCTAAATGCGCATTTATGCTCTTTTCTCTCGAGAACGACTGTCTCATTTTCACGATAACTTTTATTTAGTACTTCTAACATATAAGATCAATTTTTCCCCATCAAGGTATGATGTAAATGACATGCTATTTACATCTTGTGAGTTTCAATGACGCACGTTTAATTTTATAAAAAATGCCAAACTTTGTGACAAAGAATTTCATCAGCTATTGCCCCGAACCGGTCCGTCTTCTCGCTGCAAGCAGATTGCCCCGAACCGGTCCGTCTTCTCGCTGCAAGCAGGATGAAATTCTTTGTCACAAAGTTTGGCATTTTTTATAAAATCAAACGCGCGTTATTGAAACTCACAAGATGTAAATAGCATGTCATTTACATCATACCTTGATGGGGAAAAATAGATCTTATATGTTAGAAGTACTAAATAAAAGTTATCGTGAAAATGAGACAGTCGTTCTCGAGAGAAAAGAGCATAAATGCGCATTCAGAGAGTTTTGGTCCGTTTAAAAATCTGTAAAAAAATGGGGTACTTAAAAGCATCGGGAGGCATCATATATTTCAAATTAGACACGAGGAAGTCAATATTGAGCAAGTTATGGCTATTTTAAATTCAAATAAAACCGTTAACCCGTACCGGTCCAGCTTTTGCCCCGTACCGGTCAATTTTCGTTAGCTGCGTATACCAAGGGTGTATATTATGTATCACTAATACTATTAAATAAAAGCTTTTAAACTCATTATGGATTTGTTGTTGTTTATGATTTTGCATTCACCGATCCTCTTTCAAGATTCAGAAGCATCTTCTTCCTATTTTTTACTCAGCTTAACTGCGCAATACAGGGTGGGCCAAAAAACGTCCACATTTCTATTTTTGTAATATCTTTGCTGATATCATAAATTATATCATAAGAAAGATAATTCAATTTCCATCAAAATGATGAATGATTCATAAAATATGAATAACTATATTGGTGACTCAATGGTAATTTCGTATCGCGATGTAGTAAAGGCCCCCTCACATATGAACGAATCCACTAAACGCAGTCTTACAAAGTCAATTCTGGTGATTGGGAACGTAAACATGCGAACTGAATCGCATCTTTGCGCATGCTTCCGAAGCTTTCCGAAGGGGTACTTACATATACGAACACCCCAACGATGTACAACGTACACGTACTAATGGGAACGAATTTTACTCAATTCCTATTCGCAAGACTGCGCTTAGTGGATTCGTTCAGTCGGAAAACAAGAATTTTGCAATATGCGTTGAGCTTATTGCACAATATTGCATTGCTGAATCAACACTTTTAGGCTTTTACATATAAAGAAAAAGTATTGAAGTTGAGTTTTGTTGTTTCTAAGTCATTTTCTATCTCTAAAGTAATCATAGAACCTATTTTTATGCATTGTTGTTCGTTATAAAGTTAGATTGTTAGATATATTGACATTTGCTTCAAAACTTAACCCGGCCATGATATGGGATAAATTTCCATTTTTCCTCTTCAGGTGTCTATCATTGCATTTGCATTGTCGGTCACTACATTATTTAAGCTACAGGTATATAACCAATAAAATTCAATTGTATTTGTAAATCAATTTGCTTTCATTTGATACATAAATCAACAATCAACAAGTGTTATTTTAAGACAAATACTCATTTATGTGAGATGAATTATATATAATTTAGTTGGAAATTGAATTGCCCCAATGATATATGATTATAACATTTGTCTGTAATATTAAAAACGTGAGCAAAAACAAAAATGTGGACATTTTGGCCCACCCTGTATATCTTAAAATCAACGGAGTAATCATAGTAATATAGTGTGCTTCAAAAAATGCAACACATCTATCAATGCATATCTTTTTAACAAATGGAGTATGCAAATCTTGTTAGGCGTAATTAAAGTGGTTCAATTGTCTTATTAAGTTGACAAAGTTTCATCCTGTGGTATGTGTATATAGAGATTAGAGACCCGAAGCAGCTTTTGCCAATGGGGGCCAGTGGGTCACTTTGGCCCAACATCACAAAATCACCTGAGAAGTGTTCAATATAGTGAAAACTGCATGGTTACGATTTTTTGGTAGGGACCTGGAGAAAATAAGAGGGTGGGTGACTTAGCCTGCAAGAGAAAAACACACAATGTTGCGTCATGTGCACCCTTTGATCAAATTTGCAATCCCAAGACTAGACTTAACGGATTTGATCCATTTGCAAATTTTGAAATAAGGACACGTGTGACTGTTCGTTCGTTTCGAACCGTGTTTACTTCTTGTTTTATTCTTATATTAATCATTTGCAAGGGTGTTGTGTTCCCGGGATTGTGTTTTGGTTCCGGTTGAGCCTGATAGGTGGCGATAAAGAAGTAGTGTCGAGGAATATCTCTACTATTTTGTCTTGATATGTGTACAGTTAAAGCTGCGTATCTACTTGCAATGAATATATATTATTTAAAATAATAGTTCAGCTTACGTCTGATAAATAAAAAAGCTTTAGTTTGATAATTTGGATGAAGACATTCTTTTCAATATAATAGCGATGTGCTCTGTCATGACATATATTTGGCTGATTTTTCGAAAACCTGTGCGATTTACACTCAATATTCCTTGATTTTAAAGGTAAGAACTACAGTTTAATTCCATATATTGGTTTTAACAAGTCTTAGACCATCCATGTATACTAAAGACTCGTGTCTTACAGAATTATTTGCAAAGTTATTGTACTTTTTACAGTTTATCAAAATGTGAATATTTTTTCAAAGATTTTTCATTTCTTGAAAAATTGTTTACATTGGCAACACCTTTGGATTTGCATACTTTGAAGGGTTTAGGTCAGATATTAACTCGAAAATAGACTTGTTGATATTTTCTGAACTGCAGACAGGAGGATTTAATTTTTCCAGATCATTGCACCTTGTAGACAGACAGTCCAAATTACTTTTTTCGAGAGCTCATCTGTTGTAGGGGAAATGGTCCTATCACCGCACGGGTACTCTGGAAAACTACTGACGATTTCAAATATGATAACTTCAACTTACTTTTAGAATATGAGATGAAAGATCAACCTTTCTTCTAAAATTTAAGTAGTGTTTGACATTTCTCAATCTCCGAACGCTAACACTTAAAGACCCCTTAGACTCGCATGTGCGGTGGTCCTAATTATCGCACAGTCGTCCTAATTATCGCACAGTTGTGTTTCAGATGTCAATTTACGATACTGTATACATTTCTCTATTTAGAACAGATACATACATGTACATATGCTATAATCATTTTTCTATCAGTTTTAGTGTAAAATATCAACAAAATATCCATTATACACTTACTTTTCTATCTTTATTTGGAAGGGAGTCAAACTTTGTCAGACGAATTTCACTTTTTGCGCAATAGCATACATGACAATAGCGGAAGTAAACAATTCTTAAAAAATGAAGAGATATTTCTAAAAATATGAATAAATCATGAAGATTGGGAGTAATGGTGTTAAACTGTTTTTCGTAACACTGGTTTAAAAGATGGTGGGTGTATATTTTAGCTATTTAGGACAATTGTGCGATAATTAGGACCGTGCCATAATTAGGACCACTTCCCCTATATGTAAGTTTACAGGTAGGCTAGATGTTTTTCTTTCAAAGGCTGACTGATCTGATAGAACAGCATTTATCCACTCCCCCCAGTTTTCTGCAAGTTAAAATGCTCAATTCTGCAAGTGAAATTAGTGAATTCTGCAAGAAGAAAGGGCTAATTCTGCAGAAATTCCGCGGATATTCGCGGCATTTTTTTGCGGTTATTATAAAAAAAATCAAGATTGGTTTAACAAGAACAGTATCATATATTCTAAAAACATGATCCATTTTAAATGTTTTATTCAGATTTTATTTCAAATTTCACATTTTTCGAAACTTCAAACACGGAGGATCGGGCGCATAATGGGAATCACGATATATGTAAATCAGGTTTTAAGTGTAATATCTCATTGGAGTTCGAAGTTTTCGATCAATAACTTAATAATATAAATAACTGTTATTAATTTATGTCTTTGTTTAACTTTCTGACGAGAACCGAAAGAAAAACTAATGGTTTTCGAACCAGTAAACGGGAAAATATCGTGATAGTCAGGTAGTCAGTCACTACATACATGCTGCCATCTAACGGCAGAAATCAAACGATGGCGTTTAGAATTTTCACTTCGCATAATTTGGGTTATTTCTGCAAGGGATTTGACTGAAAACGTGTCAAATTGTTACAGGTAAGACTGACTTTTTAAACTTTTGGAAAATATATGGATTCTGCGGAAAATTCCGCGGAAATTGACCAAAATAGTTGATTCTGCAATTCCGCGGGCAGAGGCAAATTCCGTCCGCGCTCTGCAAACACGGAATCCTGGGGGCAGTGTTTATCATGCCACCTATCACTGGCTTTAGAATAGTCAAGGATTTTGAACGATTCTTCTTAAATTTCCATCAACTGCTATCTCTAAAAGAAAGCAGATATTATATATTGACCAGGAATATAAGGAAAATGTTGTATTCATAGGCTTTCTCAAGCATTAAATAAAAGGGAACTTTTGATAAATCAGAGTGGAAATAAAGAATTCGGAAAAACCCCATTTCTGTTTTGAACACACTGGTATTTTAGTTAAATGAACATTCAGATCAGCCGATTTCACCCCAGTGATACTTAAGTATGCAGTCAATGAATTTGCACTGCACTTTATTTACAGATATTTTTTATATGTTTGAGATAAAAAGTAAACAAACATAACACCCAATACAATCACTTTGAATACTAGTAGAAAACAATATTCAATACAGACAGTTGAACGGATAATAGGAAACACTGCCAGGTGATCCTTTCTAATATTACAGTGTTCTCTCGATCTGGGCATAATGTGTTCATTTGTTAACTACACTGTATTCTTAAAGTAATCATCTGAAAATATTCCTGTTTTCCATGCTTCTTCAAATTTCTTCAAGGTGTTTTATGTTTTCTGTAACATCATAATGTTATTACACTAGTAGGAAGGTCAGTCAATTATAATGGCAATTGGTACATATTGAATACTACTTTTAGTGTATTCAATCATTCCTGCTAATACATAGAATAAACTTCTTAATAATATTTGGAGTTGTAAGAAATCTTTAAAGGCCCCATGTAAAGTTTAAACCACTTTGGCTTATAATGTAGTCTTACCCAATGTTATCAAAGTGTGATATGTGAAACTTTTTTTTTAAATTTCAAAAAGTGGTTTTTGATAGACTTTTTGTTCCAAAATTTGTGAATTTATTTAAAACCAACTTTTATCACTCATATCTTGTAATTAGCCACAATTCACACCAATGCATAGCATTCATCCTCCCATGTTTTTTGCCCAAAAAATTAAGAAAATCGGTTCATAAATAAGCGAGAAATGAACTTATCAGTGCATGAAAATGGTTCTGAGAAAAATGCATTTCAAAATTTTAGTTCTCATAGAAACCAATGGTACAATGATATCTAAAACATAATTTATTCTTCCTTTTAACCTGGTTAGACAATCAACATTGGTTTTTTATGAAAGTCTAACATATTTAGAAAAGATTGACATCGAAAAAAAATTACAATTTTTTTTCAAAAGTTTTTGGTACCTTAAAACATTGAAGTGGCCCATTAAATATGGCATTTTATTATTGAAATAGTGTGTCCTTTGTTCAACCTTTGCATTGGTGTTAAAAAGATAATATTTTTTGAAATGCATTAAGAAATATTTGATGATTAAGAAATTTCAACTTTTTTTGAAAAATGGCGGGAAATTTGAATATTTGAGAAATGAAATGCTCATAACTTTTTTTGAATTTTTTTTTTTTTGTTCAAAAGTCTCTAAAATCACTTTTTAAGTAATGACAAATAGTAAATGAATGATAAAAAAATATTTTCAAACTTTAGACGGGGACTTTAATATAAAATTATTTTATTAAGGGCCATTATACTACAATGAAATTAATGCATTCAAGATATCCAAGATTGCAATTGTTATCATTTGTCTGGGAAATATAGGATTATTGTGGAGTGTTTGTCTTAGTGTAAATAAAGTTGTCATGGCTGCATATTGGCAAAGTCAGGGAAGGTTATAGTATAATGGAAATAGTGTATTGAACTGGAGTGCCTAAAAACAGAATTGGCATGAGTATAAATAAACCCCATCTTGTTTGTCTTATACTTCAAAAATACATGCACTTTTTTCAAATTGGGATCTGGTTAGCTGGCACAAAAAAATTCATGATAATTTTTATGAAAACTTGACTGTATATTCAGTGTTGGTATGTGGATTGTGCATGCATGTTGTAGAAATTTTAAACTATAAGCATTAGAAAAATTCAATTTAAAAAGATCTGTGCATCTCATATTTTATTAACTTAAGTAATGCAATGGGGAAAGAGTTAATTTATTCACTTAAACATATCAGACATCAGTCTTAATTGACCCTTTTCCATATAAATGGAAAACTAGATGGCATCATGGGTATTGGTAGGGCTAAATAACATGGCAACCTCATAGCAAGAGTCACTTAATTTCTTGAAGTAATTCCATTTGTATCAACTTTTATCAACAAACACCATTGGAATGCAACTAAATAATATTATTGACATGTGGATTGTGATTTCACATTAAAATTGTGATCCTTATAAGAGTAAATAAACTTTTAAAGGTTTTCAACGTTATGTCAATGGGAAATTTAGCCCAACCATTTTTAGAAAACTTGAAAATCTTTAGAATTTGAATAAAGGTAAATTACAGTGAAAATCAAAGTTGTTTTGATAGAAAATTACACACAGCATTCAAATATGCTACCAAAAAAAATACAAAATGTATGTTAAACTTAAGTGGTTAAAAATTCAGATCTCCTAAAATCTAATTTAAAACAAGACTTTAATGAGATTTCAAAGCTATATGGAAAATACTCTATTGATAGAGGATCTTGATTTTGATTGTTTGGATCTGTATTAGTGAAGTATTCCACTCTTGCCTTTACAAATTCTTCTTCTGTGATCAAACCATCTTGGTTGGTATTAACATAGTCAAACTGCATTCTGGCGAACCTTGTATCCATCCCAAGTACTCTCCAGTAAACAATGAAATCATCAAATGATAAGTAACCATTGCCCTTGGAATCAAGAATCTGTAATACATATACATGTAACAGATGATATTTAAGAAAATACAAATATTGTTCAACAGTCCATGCTCATACTTTGGACTTTAACCCTTTCACGACGATAGGCTCCATATGGAGCCCTATTATGTAATACCTTTCAGGACGATAGGCTCCTTTTGGCACCATTATTTTTATTTATATACATCAATGAAATGACAATATCTCCAGTTCTATTCAGTATTTTTACACCAAATTTTGACAAGTTGTTCTTATGTGATAATCCTTACTAAAAATTGTATATCAGTGATGAAATCCAAGGTATAGGTCCCAGGGCATAGGTATTTTGCAGTTTTCCCCTAAAAAACACTCTTACTTATCCGTCACTGGGGACAACATTTTCCTCTTATATTCACATCGGGAAAGGGTTAAGGTAGACCTAGAGTACCAAATTTTGACCCGTTTGAACATTTGAAATTACAGGTCAATGTTAACTTATTCTAGCTATGCACTCCTTAACCTATGAGAGTTTGTAGATTGTGAATAAAGTGAGTATTATACCTTGAAAAATCCAGATGATTCCTTCTGCCATTGTTCAACTATAGCTGGGTCATCCATCAGCTGCCAGTACTTTAAGATTTGTTTCTTAAATGTCATGGGTCCTTCAGAGCTTTCATTGAGAATTTTGTGTCTTTTTCTATGTATCTCTATGTGCTCATTCTTTGACTTCTCACTTTTAACTAGAAAATCATATTACGTTTTATTGTACTATCGAATTATATTTAACGATAACCCAGAGAAACGAAACCTACAGGGTGTTAAAAAAATGAAAGAAAAGAAAGTTGATTACTTAGGTCAATAGGCACATTATAATCAAACTTTTACAACAAAATCCAACTTGAATAATCTAAATAATTCTGAAATATCAAAGAAGAAAATGCAAAATTGACCGAGTTAATCAACTTTCTCTTTGGTCCTGTTTTTTGGACACCCTTTTTAGCTCACATGGTGAGCTTTTGCAATCACTCACTTGTCCGTCCGTCCGTCCGTCCGTCCGTCCGTCCGTCCGTCCGTCTGTTTGTCCGTCAACAATAGTGGCACGTTTTAAAACCTCTGTCGATAGGATTCCTGTTTTAAGTTATTTCTGTTCAAGATCAATACAGAAAACTCCCCTATAACTCCTGGTTCAAAAGCTTGCCTATTTTCAAAATGGCCGTCACTTTTGTCTCGCTAAATTCACTTTTGACCCATTTCCTTTAAAACCTCTGTCGATAGGATTCCTGTTTTAAGTTATTTCTGTTCAAGATCAATACAGAAAACTCCTTTATGACTCCTGGTTCAAAAGCTCGCCTATTTTCAAAATGGCCGTCACTTTTGTCTCGCGAAATTCACTTTTGACCCATTTCCTAGCTTTACAAATAATTTCAGGTGTCCTACACTGTAAAAATCCATGTCAATGTAAAGGGTAGATATATGTTATAATATTGTTACAAAAAATCAGCGAAAAATTATATCCATTTTTTTATTTTCAGCCATTTTAGTTAACATTGATTTGTCTATCTGACTCGCGAAATCCACTTTTCGTCAATAACAGTGGCACGTTTTAAAACCTCTGTCGATAGGATTCCTGTTTTAAGTTATTTCTGTTCAACATCAATACAGAAAACTCCCCTATGACTCCTGGTTCAAAAGCTTGCCTATTTTCAAAATGGCCGCCATTTTTGTCTCGCGAAATTCACTTTTGACCCATTTCCTAGCTTTACAAATAATTTCAAGTGTCCTACATTGTAAAAATCCATGTCAATGTAAAGAGAAGATGTATGAAATAATTTTGTTACGAGAAATCAGCGAAAAATTATATCCATTTTTTTATTTTCAGCCATTTTAGTTAACATTGATTTGTCCATCTGTCTCGCAAAATCCACTTTTGGACCATTTACCTTAAACCCTCTGTCGATAGGATTCCCGTTTTAAGTTAATTTTGTTCAACATCAATACAAAAAACTCTCCTATGACTCTTGGTTCAAAAGCTCGCCTATTTTCAAAATGGTCGCCATTCTTGTTTCGCGAAATTCACTTTTTGCCCATTTCCTAGCTTTACAAATAATTTCAGCTGTCCTGCATTGTAAAAAGCCATGTCACTGTAAAGAGTAGTTGTATGAAATAATTTTGTTACAAAAAATCGGCAAAATATTATATCTGTTTTTTTATTTTCAGCCAATTTAGTTAACATTGATTTGTTCATCTGTCTCGCGAAATCCTCTTTTGGACCATTTACTTAAAACCTCTGTCGATAGGATTCCAGTTTCACGTTATTTTTGTTCAACATCAATACAATAAAACTCCCCTTTGACTCCTGGTTCAAAAGCTTGCCTGATTTCAAAATGGTCGTCATTTTTGTCTCGTGAAATTCAATTTTGGCCCATTTCCTAGCTTTACAAATATATTCAGGTGTCTTGCATTGCAAAAAGCCATGTCACTGTAAAGAGTAGTTGTATTAAATAATTTTGTTCCAAATAATTGAAAAAAAATTATATCCGTTTTTTTTCAGCAATTTTACTTAACATCGATTTGTCCATCTGTCTCTCCGTCAGTCCAAAATAGTGGCAAGTGGCTTGAAATAATTTTGTTACAAAAAATCAGCAAAAAATTATATCCGTTTTTTTCTGTCACCATGTGAGCCCAGTACCCACGGTACTAATTTTTATCGCACTTTGAAAAAGTGCTATATTGTCGTCGTCTTGTGCTGTTGGGCGGGCGTACGGGCGTACGGGCGTGCGGGCGGGCGGGACATAAACCAAATCTTGTCATCAAATTTCCAGGATAACTGCTTACCTGTTCAACTTGAAATTTTTACAGATGCAAGAGCAGACTAGTACCAAGATCTGATTAGGTTAAGGGCATGCTGGGTAAACTACGTGGCGGCCATTTTGAATTTTTCAACAAATCTTGTCATCAAAATTCCAGGAAAACCACTTATCTGTTCAACTTGAAATTTTTACAGATGCAAGAGCAGACTATTGCCAAGATCTGATTAGGTTTTGGGTATGCTGGCTGAATTACATGGTGGCCATTTTGAATTTTTCAATTTGGCGGCCATTTTGAATTTTTCAACTTGCTCCAAATTGACCAAATTTTTTTTTTAAAAACATCTACAAGTTCTCAAAAGTTCAAATCTGACCTTAGATTTCAGATTTGACCTTTCATTCACCTTCAGTGACCTTGAAAAGGTCAAAAAAGTTGATTTTCTAAATTGATACTTTGGATTTAAATTTAGGTCAGCTTAATTACAAAACACCTACTGAGGTCTGAAAAAGTGAAATTTTCAAGGTCGAAGGTCAAGGTCATTAAACTAGGTCACAAATGATGTTATCCAAGTTTCTCAAAGTTTGAGACTACAAATCAATTCTTGTCATCAAAGTTCCAAGAAAACCGCTAACCTGTTCAACTTGAAATTTTTACACATGCAATAGCAGACTAGTACCAAGATCTGATTAGGTTTAGGGCATGCTGGGTAAACTATGTGGCGGCCATCTTGAATTTTTCAACAAATCTTGTCATCAAAATTCCAGGAAAACCACTTATCTGTTCAACTTGAAATTTTTACAGATGCAAGAGCAGACTATTGCCAAGATCTGATTAGGTTTTGGGTATGCTGGCTGAATTACATGGTGGCCATTTTGAATTTTTCAATTTGGCGGCCATTTTGAATTTTTCAACTTGCTCCAAATTGACCAATTTTTTTTTAAAATCATCTACAAGTTCTCAGAAGTTCAAATCTGACCTTAGATTTCAGATTTGACCTTTCGTTGACCTTCAGTGGCCTTGAAAAGGTCAAAAAGTTGATTTTCTAAATTGATATTTTGGATTTAAATTTAGGTCAGCTTAATTACAAAACACCTACTGAGGTCTGAAAAAGTAAAATTTTCAAGGTCGAAGGTCATCAAATTAGGTCACAAACAATGTTATCTAAATTTTCCCAAAGTTCAAGACTACAAATAAATTCTTGTCATCAAAATTGCAGGAAAACCGCTAACCTTGTCAACTTGAAATGTTTACAGATGCAAGAGCAGACTAGTGCCAAGGTCTGATTAGGTTTTGGCCATGCTGGGTGAATTGCATGGTGGCCAGTTTGCTCTTCAAAGTGCGATATTTATCACTGTGTGTCTTGTTTAGTACTTTATTATGGGGCATATCGGGTGTCCCAAAAAAAACGTCCCGCTTTTTGAGCTCTTATAACTCTGCAAGATATAAACCATTTCCTTTGAAATTTATCAGGGAGTAAGATAAGGATATTACCTATAAGTTATTTAAATATTAAATTAATTGGATGTACATTATATGAGTATCCCCAAATACAAGATAGCATAGCAAGAAATGTAATATCGGAGGACAACTCACTTATTTCACCTTATAATATAGATTGATGAGCATCGCCAAATACAAAAGTTAAACTGCATAAGATAAAAAGCAAAAGATCGACAACTCACTTATCTTATAACTTGTGCTCAATGTGGCCTCCTTCTTCATTCACAACTAAACAGAGTCGTTTCTTGCATACAGAGATACTGCTCTTGATTTCATCCTGTGATATCTCCTGCCATGACACACTTATTCTCTCTTTTAATGTTTGTTCTGTAAACTTATCCCTTATACCACTGTAAACTTTTTGATTTAGAGAATCCCAAACAGAGTAATCCATTGGATTACAGTCTGGACTTTGTGGAGGCCATATAACCTTTTTGATAAATGGTGGGTTGGATCTCTCCAGATAGGCATGGGTTACCCCAATTGTGTGGGAAGGGGCCCCATTTTGTTGAAACACATAGTCATTTCTAGGGTAAATCCTCCTACAATCAGGTAGCAGATTTTCATCTAATAACTTAATATCGCTTTCGCTGTTGACTTTGGCTTACAGTATTAATAAAATAAATGTCCGTCTTCCCCTTCCAGGTTACTCCTGCAGAAACCATTATCTTTTTGGAAAAACGTGAAGTTTCATGGTAAAGACGTGATGGCTGAATTTGACATTTACGCTTTCCATACACCCGATCATTTTGCAGTGCATGAAATAAGGATTTTTTTAACCTAGACATTTTGGCAGGCCAGCCAGATTTTAACAAGCCATATCATTTTTTCTCAGGCCAATTTTTGGCAGGCTGTTTCTTACTTCTCTGGCTAAAAATTTCACTTAAAGTCTGTTACACTGCTTCAAGGGCAAGCAGTTAGACCTGAAATATAAGAAATCTAAATAATAAATTGTTTATTTCTATTGCACACGAATGGCATTTGTTATGTTGGATTGCTTGTAAATTGGCTCATAAAGTCTGTAACCTCTTATATTTTGATGCTTCTCTACCGTGTTAATTCTCAAAAAATAACATGCAGGCAGACATCAAATTACAAGAGGGCATAGGCTTATTGCACTAAACACTAAATAATCTGAAATATACAAATGCCATTCGTGTGCAATATGAATATACTTTTTTATATATTATGGCACAATGGTCTATAGATTTCTTATTTTTCAGGTTCAACTGCTTGCCTTTGAAGCAGTGAAACAGACTGTACCATATTTCTCCACAATCACTCTAAAATGAGATTTAGTTTAGTACAATATTAACAAAGATAAAACTAATTCCATTGCATGTCATGTATTATTCACTATACTGTACTTGATGACTTAACCAACAGCCTGGGTGTGCTGATTTCCCCCTAGATTCACCTTACAAAAACATGAGGAACATGTACATATTGATCAAACTAAATTGTACTGATTTTGGTCGGTTTAGAATTGCTCAGAACTCAGAAGCTTCAAGGTATTCAAAAACACATACTGTGGACACAGACTCCACTAAAATTCAAGGTATATATTAGAGGTGTCACAATCCAAAAGAATTATTGGTACGGAAAGGTACAATTTGTCTCGGGACACGGTACTTTCGGGACGGGACAAAACATTAAAAATGATACAATGTCTGATGATGACAGTTTCACTTTCAGTTTCACTTTTCAAAATCATATTCAGAAATACGTCAATTAAAATCGAATATAAAGCATCTGCCGCGAATGTGGTCGGCATTTCACATAGTCTGGATTGTGTACTATTACCAATTCGTCTACCTTGTGATATCAGAGTCCCAAAATACTTCCAAACTGCCGACTTTTTCGACTTAGATGCCGGCTCGATTTTTCAATTTCTTTCCTACATCCGGCATACTGATAATGCACTCGATTTGCGAACGACGATGAAGAAATGAGTCATTCATAGCCAATCAAAATCACCGTAATTTCAACACACAACAACAGCCAATCGAAAGTCACGTTATATCTTGGGCTTCCGTACGAAAACAAAAATATTTTGAAATTGTTTTCAATTTTCAACAAAAGTCATGGAATAAGCCGAAAACGCGGGGAATTCGGAGGATTTCCGGACTGAAATGTAAGTTCTATTCATGGGTAATCTAACGAATGCTACAAATGTCTGGCAGGCCAAAATGTCTGGGTGTTTTTATCAAAACAAGCCATCTATAATTTTGTCAGGCCAATGGCCGATGTCGGACGTCTATTTCGCGCACTGATTTTGACGATTTTTGGTTACTGAAAGAGAAAAGTCCTCATCAGTGAAAATGATCATCTTGACATTTGCGGCTGAATAACGATCATATAAATTGCAACATCTTGTTTTTCTTTTTCCTCTAACATTGTTGTCTCTTCTAGAAACTTGTATTTTCTTAAATGGTTTCAGATTCAATTCTTTAGCCATCCTTGAAACTGATGATTTGCTAACTTGCAAGTCATACGTTGCCCAACTTCTAGCATAACTGATATTTTTCTCTGATATTACATTTCTTGATATTCTATTTTGTATCTATCAATACTCGCTTGATTTACATTGGATTCCTTGTATATTTTCACAACTTGTGAATAATACCCTAATATTACATCCTGATAAATTTCAAAGGAATTGGTTTATCTATTGCAGAGATATGAGATGTCAAAAAGCAGGACGTTTTTTTTGGGACACCCGACGCATCAGTGATCACTCACAAAGAAACAATGAAACCACTCATCTTGGAAATCCTCATAATTTAGATGATTTAAGAATTAGTGTAAATATTGTTGCATTCTCAATTAAAAAGTTCAGATTGCAAAACAGTTGCAAAATTTTTCATAACAGCAAGAAATTTAAAGAAATATACCTAATTTTCCAAATCTGTCTGCTAGCAGCATAAGGTCATTGTATCCTATAACGCCATCTTTATCAATGTCCTGCAAGTCTATGAAAGTCATTATCTTCCGCATCCAGATTAGTGACAAGTCCCTAATCTGAAAGAATTAATGTTAAAGATAGAATCTGAGAAAAATTGTTTCAGTTTCAGAATTCTTTCTTTTGTCGTGCTTCCTTTCTTAAAATACTGTGGCTTCCTCCAAATCATGGACCTACATGTAAGCAATATACAGTAGAATAGTATTTTTCGTATGTTATTTTTAATTTATAGTTTAATTATACTATTTTATATATCATACTTACATGTGGTTGGTGTTTTTGAGGAGAAACTTTATCAGACATATTTAATATGCTTGTCTTCAATCTACGTATATGAAATGTCATTCACCATTCATAAAGTGCTTACGTTACATGATATGTCTTTCACTGAGCTCAGTAACTGTCTATGCCTTGGGTGAATTCTCATTCATTCAAAATAAAAAGTATATTCAAAAGAAATCCTTTAAGTATTTTTCAAGGTTGATGATACCTGTTATTTTTTGATAAAAAATGAATTACGATACATGAAAACATGATTTGAATCAAGGTCTCTCAATGTCATCCTTTGAATACTTTTGGTATAATAGCAAATCATAAGCTAAAACCTGTCTAATCTGAAAATCACTCGAACCAGGCAAAAGTGTTTGAATAGCAGGTGTTCACATTTCAAGGTTCACATTTTAAATATGTGAGTCAATGATAACAAAATTTGGGACTGAAAGCATTTGTCAAATCAAGAGGTGTTTTGATGAGAGAGGACGTTTAGATGTACAGGTTGTGCTGCACTAGCTTCACTGTGTCTATTTCATTTTCTAATTCAACGAACATCACTTGAAAATCCATTTTTCATAGTTTAGCTTCCACCCTCTGTTACAACCCCACAATAAAGGTAAAGTAACTGTATAAGGGAGAGACCATCCTCCTAAGCAGGTATCCAGAATCGGTACCTCCTTCTTCCCCCCTGCTATAACCAATTTGGAAGTGCCCGATTAAACTGAATCATGTGATCTAATTATGCGCAATGACTTATACATGATTTCTGTCACAGTGTTGCGACAGCCAATCAGATTGCGAGTTCTTAATCGGGGAAATGCCAACTTCTAATCGCAGGGGGTAAAAAGAAAGAATATATTCTGGATTTTGAAGCCCTGTGATCGGAGGATGGGGAGAGACTTGTTTATATTTGGTTCATTTTCAAATCTTTTTTACAAAAGTACAAATCTCTTGTTGATGTTTCAAATAAGAGTATGTCTTGTCTATTGTTTCTTGCAGAACATTTAGCCAGATGGTGACATAGTGATTAATAAGATCATATTGCAATTATAATTATCAAGACTGGTACATATTTGGCATTCTGTCAGATTTTAGCATTGAGATGCCCTTTAATTTATAGTAAAATACTGTACTTCTTGCATTTTTCACGTGATTTAATTTCATGCAATTGGCAATGGTGGTAAATCACAAAAAATAATCATCTCAAAGTTTGCCAATTTAAACCCTGGGAAATATGACATTGGATAGACATGATTAATAGTACAATAACGTCATTTCTAAGGGCAATACATGTATAGTGAAATATTGGACCTTGGGCCTTCGGCACTATTATTTGATAGTGGCGGAATTGTGAATTCTCAAAATTCATGGAATAAAATAGCGTCAAAATATATGGGGAGTACAGTATGTTATTTTCAGATAGACAACATTTTGCCTGGAAAATTTAAACCAGCCTTAATGTATATTGTATATATGTATTAGTGAATCTTGTAAGCTATTCGTAACATGATTTTGTTGACATTTACTGACATTCTTCTATTATAGTTGTGTGTTAAACTCTTTATAATACACCTCCATGATCAATTCGTAGAGGTGTAATGAACTTTCTAATGAAGGCTTTTTGTTTCAGATCAATAGATTGAATTCCAATATCCATCATGATCTGAATGTACCTACAAGCAACCATGGCTTGACTTGAATACTGAAGTGCACCTACATTTGGAACTGTACTGGGTATATAAACATGTGGCCTGTTCGCCTCGACTTCTCCGGTTATGGGGAGTTCAGCCTCAAGTGAAAGTGAATCTTCAAGGCCATCATCAAGGAATATACCATCACCAAGATCTCAAGCACCATCAAGAAGAGAGCGGTCTACTTTTAAGGAGGTTCAACTCAACCAGAGGGATTCCCAATTGGGAAACCCCTCTGGTGGGGAAACCATGGCGACCCAGTCTCATTCTGGGTCCGAGCAGACGGACCAATCAAATATCAGCCCTCAAAGGTCAAACACACAACAGCAAGGTGGTTCACAGCCCCAAATAAGAATAACACGCCAGGAATCCCAAAGTCGATGGCAGGGGGCATACCAGCAATATCAGTACCCACAAGGATACTACCATAACTCTGGGCAGAGATATGGCCAAGGGGGGCAATATGGGGGAATGTATGGTGTGACTCAAGCGGCAGTGGGTCATCAACAGCAACAGCAGAGACTGCAATATAAGGTCAGTAAATGGATTGAAGTGAGTCAACTGTGCTCCTCATGTCTGCAAAAGTCTGTTCTAAACACTGATCATATTTGCATATATAAACATAGAACTTGATTCAAAAATTTATTGAATTCAATTTTATTGAATTGCCCAATATTAAATATAAATAATGTACATGTATATCATTTTAAAAAGGATTCACCCCAGAAAAGTCTAAATAATGCCAAATGAACAGAAATCTTTAATTTTTCAATTTTATTAAATTGAAAAATTTAAATGACAAACATTATTTAAGATTATATCTACTTTGATTGAGTCTAATTTTTTTTGATAAGGTAATGATCTACTATTGTTAACACTGAAGAATCTTATTTTCAGGAAGATGATATAGTATTCGAGACATTCTACCATGTTAATGGACAAGCACTTACATGTATGTACAAGAATGGGCAGAGATACGTACTAGACTCCTGGCAAACACAGGTAAGGGCAAATTATAAAAGAGAATTAAATTGATGAGTGTGTCATGATAAGAAGGTCAATTTTGATTGCCAATATCACTAAATTCTCTGTTTATGGCATGTGTGAAATTGGTCCCACGTTGCAGTTGCATATTACATTGCCTAAATCCTCTATAAAGTCAACCATTTTTTATTATCCATTATTGTTAAAAAATAAGACATGATTTTTATGTTACCACCGAGAAGTGGTGTTTTTTGTTTGTTACAGACACTGATTTTGTGTGACCAGCATCAGTGATTGGTGGTTGGCATCAGCATTCAGAATCTGTTACAAGATGTTATGGCCTAGTCACATAGCCCGGCCGATGTCCGGCATCGGTAGAGCTCGGTGGATTTTTTTGGTGCCACCGAGCTCTCCTCATCTTAAGCAGAGCTCGGTGACGTGAACGGACTCCGTTCGGACATCTTCAGGCGACCGACCGAACACCGGCCGGAGTCCGTCTCAAAATGGTAGTTTTTTTCTGCCGATGTGGCAGCAACTACCGGCCGGAGGTCGGCCGGACATCGGAAGGAATACGGCCGGTACCCGAGCAGGTAACAGGACACCGTGTGATCGCCGGCCGGGTTGTTAACGGGCTTTGAACAGTGACCGGCCGATGCTCTGTCCCACATCGGCCGGAGCTCGGTCGGAGCTCAGCCGCTGTCCGTTAAAAAACCTCGTCCTCTGGTTGTCTCAGATGCACGGGACACCGGCCGATACTCGGCCGTGCACCGGCCGACGTGTTTTCCGATGTGGTTACGATGGGGCTGCGATGACATGATGAGGGAGCTCGGTGAGAGAACGGTGAAATTTAACTCCGAAGTTAAAATTTCACCAAGCTACCACCGATGCGGTTTTAAGCAACAAACGCCACGGATGTCCGGCCGGTGTCCGGCCGGTGTTCGGCCGAGTTCGGTAAAAATTTTATCGCTGGCTCATCGTAACCTCATCAGCCGGGCTATGTGACTAGGCCATTACACTCTACAATTTTTACTATGTTGAATCAATATGCAAAAGGATTGATTCTTGCCATTACCATTCAGCACTTTTTTGATGTGTCATTGTAATTTTTCATCAGATCTTGAGAAGCCTTTTTCAGAAATAAAACTCTCTTTCTGAATTTTGAAGGAAAAAAACATTTTTACAATTGTTACATTGATTTTAATAAGGCAGAGAAATTAAGGACCATTGCAAAGGCCCTTCAGTGGGAAATAAGAGTGTATTATATGTTCACACCTCCCCAACTCTTATTCCCCACTGAATGGCCTTTGGGTCATCCAAAGCCTTAAAAGCCCCTTAAAGTTAGTTTACTAAGATGCATATTGATGAAAGATTTTATTTCTCATTCCAGACTTGGCAGCCTTTCCCAATGCAGTGGTACAACCAAGGTACCCTTGTGACTAATAGTGTAGTCAAGTCTGATCAGGTATGAATAAATGTTCTTGTCAAATTACAAAGTAACAAACTTGATTTTATAATGTGCACATAGAATAAACTGATTCCAAAGATCAAATATTGATTTTGACCAAATTATGTTAATACGATTACACTACAATAACCCAGGTACCAGTAGGTAGTTACCAGTTTCACCACCACCACCACCATCTATGGGGAATCAACCCGACCTAGAAGTTACAATGTGTTTTAAAGAAACTAAATTTTCAGAGTTGATAAACAATTTTTAAAACCATGTTTATACTAGTAATTTTAAATATTAAATCACTTTGACAAAATTTGAATATGTAATGATGTAAATCAAGATTATTTCTACTTGCATCTAGTCTTTTGTTTAGAATAGTGTTTACTACATTTTTATATTTCTTCATCCTGAATAACAGAGATTTTAATTACATGTAATAATAAGTATTTATTGAGATTTGATGAGCAAGCATTGTAACAGTCAATATATATACAGGTGTAAAATTCAGAGTCCATATATACAAGACAAAATATAGGACAGTGTTTGTGTCTTCGCTCTTTTGCTTTCTTGCTCTTTCTGTTTGTGCTGAATTACAATCTTCATAATCTGTTTGTTCGTAACATTTCTCATTCCTCGTCTCTGTTTTTTATTCCATCCATATTTGGGCATAATATCTCTTACTGGTTTAGATTTCTTCGATATGGTGTCGTCTTCAGAGAGCAGTTCCTCAATATGTCTACAGTAAGCTTGATAATCATCTGGTTTGGGAGGGGTGTGTCCTGAAATTGCAACATACAATTTCCATAAAATATTATTTTCTGAATACTGTATAGTACTTTCCATTGAACAAAGGACAAAAGGCAATTTTCAATCTTCTACATTTCAATCGATTTTGTTGTTGTGGTATACCAAAAATATGAAAACTAGACTATGTTCTTATAATAATGCCCTGGATCTTAAATTAAAGTAAGGCCTATTTTGTTTATGTTCTCCTTTTAAATAAAGGCCCATAGGGCCTTTTTTTTAAATAATTTCAATAAATGACACAAGTGCCATATATGGTATGTTTAACAAATAAGCCTTATTGAGAGAAAGTCTGTACATTTATTTTGAAAGTCAAAACATATTTTTAATAAAAAATAGTTTCTTACTAAGTCTTGCTGTCTCTACTATGATGACTTTAATGGAAAATGCAATGATACACAGCATGCCTACTAAGTGGATAACAGCTCTTTCAAACAGGTCTCGACTTTTGAAGGGATCTGAAAAAATCATAAATTTTATTTACATGTATGTATCACATGTACATGATTTTGTCATTTTGTTTTGTTGGCTCATTATGTGCCTTTCTTTTGCCGTCTCATGACACTCTGAGAAAACAAAAAAACACAAAAAACACTGAGATTTTTAAAGATTATTTTTGTTGTATAAGCAAACTTGTATTATCTAATTTATTAAAATAATTAAATAATTATCTCATGTTCAATTTATCACATGTTTCTTACCATTTTTTATCAACCAGATTCCAAATTTGGATTGGGCCACGGAATCTATCAACTCATTCACTTGGTGAATGGTATCATTCATGAAGTCTGTTAGGCTACCACTGATGCTGTCTGTTGTTGCATTGATCCATTCATACACTGCCGCTATCAGGTCTTTCATTCCACTGATTATGTCCAACGTAGTTTCATTGACCCATTGGAGCACTTCATCTGCCAGTGCAGCTGTTGCTTCTTTGATGTTATCAAATGTGTCATTAGCAACTACTTTGAAATCGTCTGTTGTTGATGTTAGTTTATCAAATGTGCAAGTCATACTGAAAAATAAATAAAACTTAACATACAAAAACAGTTCAATGATATAAGATGCAATCAGCCCATTTAATTTGGAAACATCTAAGCATCAATTACACCTATCCACAAAACAGCAGTCGAGCAGGTACAAGATTTGTAAAAATTGATAATGCATACAAAATGAGAATTCACAAAGTGCAACAACAGAAAATAACAAACCAAACTAATTTAAAACACATAAATTGTTAGTTATCAATAAATAATCATTTATACCTTTCAAATATAATGTCGTTATACTGGGCCATATCCAAACTCCTAACTTTATCATAGACTTCTTTAAAACCTTGGCTGTATCTGAAAAAACAAATTTTTTAGAAAATGTTAAACCCATATTTTCGTTTTCTTATCAAACATTTCAAAATAAAAGTCTATAATATTGACTAAGATGAATTCTTCTTACTTCAGGTCTTCAATGTTGAGATATGTTGCACTCCTGTTAGCCACCATTGCAATGCAAATATTTATTAAAATGAACAAAGTCATATTTTTTGCCATCCTCAAATGCTGTTATGTCTTTTCAGAACAAAAGCTAGCAAGGAAATGCTGTTTTTGTTGATATTTTCTATGGAAACCTTAACATTGACTGTCCTAGTGATGTTGATTGTTGATGTAAACTTAATTGTGACATCACAATAGGGTTGTGGTTGCTACAAACAGTTGCGCTTAGCAACTCCAGGAACAACATTGACAACTTCAATATTTATGATGTCATAATTATATGCAAGCTGCTTTTTGTTGCTAGGATACAAACTGCTTTTTGTATAATTGTGATGTCATCACTGTGTTGTTTAATGTCTCTGATGATATCATGAATATAAATTTGCTTTGGCTCTTTTAGAATTTCAAACATTCGGGGGGGGGGGGGGGTACTCCCTTTTCCTATATATTGGCTATATAGGGTTGTGTTGCTAAACTGGGTCACTTTTTCGCCAAAAATCCCTAGGAGCGGTGAATTCGTACGATTCACGATCCGATCCGGATAAATTTCATTCTGGTAATGATGCATTGTGGGATTAATCCAAGAATTAATCCAAAAATCGGTGAATTTGTACGATCTTGGGATTAATCTCAGGATAAATCTCAATCCACCCCTTGAGGTAGATTACTTTTTGGATAAATTTTATTCCAATGCAAATTGGATAAATCTTGGGGAATCCCCCTCATAATCCTTGGATCGTACGAATTCACCAAATATTTATCGGATTAGTAATCCAAGATTTATCCTAAAAGATAAAATTTATCTGGATTGGATTGGGAATCGTACGAATTCCCTAGATTTTGGTCCATTTTTGAGGAAAAAACCTAGATATGGGTCCCATTTTGATGAAAAACTCCCTAGAACTGGGTTTACTTTTTGGAAAAATCCTTAAACTGAGTGTTATTTCTGAAAAAATTGCAGGAAGTGGGTCTTGTTTTTATCACACCATCGGTGGGATATAGTCGTCATACTGGTCGTGGTCGTGATCGTGATCGTGATCGTGGTCGTGGTCGTGATCGTGATCGTCCCGCTTTTTGTCATCGCCGTTTAAGGAAAACTTCTCATCAGATTTTCTCCAAATTCGCAGAGATGATAGAGCATATGAAGTACTAGAGCTGATTAACTTTTGGGTGGCCATCTTGTTTTCTGGCGGCCATTTTGAAGGTTTTTCGAAAAATCTTGTCATCGCCATTTCAGGAAAACCGCTCATTGGATTTCCTTCAAATTTACACAAATGATAGAGGATATCAAGTACTAGAGCTGATTAACTTTTGGGCGGCCATCTTGTTTTCTGGCAGCCATTTTGAAGATTTTTCGAAAAATCTTGTTATCGCCATTTCAGAAAATCAGCTCATCGGATTTCCTTCAAATTTACACACATGATAACGGATATCAAGGACTAGAGCTGATTAACTTTTGGGTGGCCATCTTGTTTTCTGGTGGCCATTTTGAGGTTTTTCGAAAAATCTTGTCATCGCCATTTCAGGAAAACCGCTCATCGGATTTCCTTCAAATTTACACAAATGATAGAGGATATCAAGTACTAGAGCTGATAAACTTTTGGGTGGCCATCTTGTTTTCTGGCAGCCATTTTGAAGATTTTTTCGAAAAATCTTGTCATCGCCATTTCAGAAAATCCGCTCATCGGATTTCCTTCAAATTTACACACATGATAGAGGATATCAAGTACTAGAGCTGATTAACTTTTGGGCGGCCATCTTGTTTTCTGGTGGCCATTTTGAAGGTTTTTCGAAAAATCTTGTCATCGCCATTTCAGGAAAACCGCTCATCGGATTTCCTTCAAATTTACACAAATGATAGAGGATATCAAGTACTAGAGCTGATTAACTTTTGGGCGGCCATCTTGTTTTCTTGTTCTTGAAATTTGTGAACATAATAGGAGAACAGTTTTCCTGGTTCATAGTGTCTGCCTATTTGATGGTGTGATCCCGTTCACGTCCTGTGCCTTGTTTAAAAGTTACCTAGTAGTGGGTCTATTTTTGAAAGAAAAACCCTAGATGTGGGTCCATTTTTTGGGAAAAAATCCCTAGATGAGGGTAGATATTTTGAGTCTCAGCGGCACCCCCATGTACAACAATTTGGCCAGTGCTCCTCCCAGTGTCAGTGTTTGTTAATTTCCAAATGGTTGAACAGCTTAGATTATGATTTTTATATTCTTATCTTCTGATTTTTCAAAGTAAAATCAACACTGCTTTGCAATTTTACATAGTGTTTGTCTTTTCTTTTTTTAATCACGCCCGGTGATCGTGAAAATGGGACGGAGGGGGGAGCAGGCAATTTCCGCTAGAAAATTCAACAAATCTGGTAAAATTATTTTTTCAAGACAGAGTTTACGATTGAATTGCAAATTGAATAAGCGCACGGTATGATAAAATATGTTAGGTATTCTAGGATTATTTTTCAACCGATACTCTTTTAAGATATAAGATCTATTAAAAAAGGCGCAGCGCAACCAACATGCAAAAGTCAAAGTTTTTGCTATAAATCAAGCAACAATGGACTACACGACCTGTAATAAATACTTGTAAGTGATGTTATCATAACTAAATTAATGTCATTGCTGAATTTATAAAATAAGTTTCCATACGTAAAATAAAAAATAATCGAAAATAATTAAAATGGGACGGAGGGGGGGAGTAATACTTCTATAAAGTGAAACAACTTCACACGAATTCTTGTATTTGAAAAATGAACTCATTAACTTAGTAAGAAACTGGATGATATACCCCTGGAGACTGAAAAATGGGGACATTTGGAGTAAAAGGACTTAAAGTCGCGAAACATCTCTAATCATGTCTTATATACATATTGCTCCCCCCCCTCCATCCCCCCCCCCCCCCCTTCGTCCCAAATTCATTATTTTCGATTATTTTTTATTTCACATATGGAAACTTATTTTATAAATTCAGCAATGACATTAATTTAGTTATGATAACATCACTTACAAGTATTTATTACAGGTCGTCCAGACCATTGTTGCTTGATTTATAGCAAAAACGTTGATTTGTGCCTGTTGATGGCCTTGCGCCTTTTTTAATAGATCTCATACCTTAGATGCGTATCGTTTCAGAAAAAATCCCAGAAAACCTAACATATTCTACCATACTGTGCGCCTATCCATTTAGCAATTCAATAGTAAACTTTTTCTTGAAAAAATAAATCTTCCAGATTTGTTGAATTTCCTAGCAGAAATTGCCTGCTCCCCCCCTCTGTCCCATATTCACGATCACCGGGTGTGTAATTGTTTTCAATATTCAGTTTTAAAACGAGTAATGGCATTGACAAAAAGGAATCTTCATACTGTAATAATCATAATTACCTTATGCCCTCAATATCAAGATAGGTGTTGCTCCTGTCAGCAACCATTGCGATACAGATATTTAGCAAAATGAACAAAGTCACATTTCTCGCCATCCTTTAAATGCTTTAATGTCTGCTCAGACTAAAAACTAGCAAGGAAATGATGTTTTGTTGATATTTTCTGTCAGAACAATAGAATTATAAGGGTCCTGGTGATGGATTGTTGATGCAAGAACAGATTGTGACCTCATAGTAGAGATTGTGGTTGTTACAAACAGTGGCGCTGAGCAACAACATTGAAAACTTATGATGTCATAATTGAATGCAAACAGTAGATTTTGTTCCTTGGATAGAAAGCTGCATTATTTGTAATTGTGATATTGTGATGTCATCACTAATTTGCTTAGTTATTTGAAAATATATTTTTTGTTTTCTTTGTTTTCAAAATAGCATTGTTTGGCTCTGATATCAGTTTTATGAGTTCTGATGAGGCTATAACTTTGGACTCGTACTTTTGGGAGGAAACATCTTGTGTTACCATTCGATGAACATACATCTAATTACCATCTTCCCAAAACTATCAATGGGATCATTTTACAATAATTGCTTTTATATATTACCCCTTTTTTCCCCCAAATCAATGACTTCATTTTGAAAAATACATTTTTTTATTAAACTTTACGTCTCACTCACTTATCTTTATTGTAAAAAACTACTTTATATGTATTTCTAGCCTGTACAGAATGAAGCATCATCTTCAAACAACACTACCACAGCAGGCACATCTATAGATGACAGGGAAGGAAAAATAGCTCACCCCAAGAGAGGAAAGCTACATACTTATCTATTTGAGGTAGATTTCACATTCTAGGGGACATTTTGAAGTCCACACAAAATTTTACAAATAATCCATCCATTTTACCCTCGTAACTCGTTTGAAACAGACTTATTGCGAATTCAGATTAATGGTTCAGACTTCAGAAAATGGGATGTCATTTGATAATCATTATTTCAAATATATTTTTATTTCTGATTTTTTTTTTCCAGGAGAAGCGTAATGTCCACTGTTACTATGACACAAACAGTGGAACTTGGATGAAGATGCCAGTACATTGGGAACTATATTCTCCACTTGTAAGACAGATGGTAGCTACAATAAAGGTAATCTTTTGGAGATTCTTTGTACATAAGCCTAGGGAAAATTCCAAAGGAAATCCATCTCAAACTGATGAATCGGGAGGGTTATGTTCTCACTTAGTGCAAAATCATGATAGTATGGTATTTATACTGCTCTAGTGTTTTGATTTTATATTTTGTCTTTCTGTCCTGACAGTTAATAATACCAGTAGACTGATTTTGTGCATATTTGATTATGTATTTATATTATTACAGGATGACTGCCCAGAATGGAAGAATGAACATGACATTATAGCCACACTTCGAGCATGTAACTATAAACCTGATGATGCAATAGCAACTTTCCTTGCATGGGATGAAATCTTTGGTAAGTAACACTTTCATTAATTTCAGTTAAGAGCTCCTCAAAATGACAGTAGTTGTGAATGGATATGCATGAAGCTCATTTTTATGTCATCTCCCCGGGTCTCCAATTTTTATGTGGACAGTGTTCGGTGGTTGGTGTTCAGGGTCTGAAACAAATGGCAGGTAGTCACATTTTGCCTTGTTTACCTTGTCCAACCCTCATGAAATGTTTTGAAATATGAGGAATTTTCATTTGCTTTATCTCACCCTTTCAATAATTTTTTGAATAGAAAGGCCCTTTCTCCCTCCCCTTTATGTTCACTGTTATTAGATTATTAATTTTAATTTCCATTTTTATGTCATCACTTTTGGTTGTAGTCTCCAACTTTTACATGGATATTTATCATAGTGTTCGGCAGTTGGTGTTTGGTGGTCAATGTTCAGCCTCTAACAAATGGCAGGTCGTGACATTTTGCATGTTAATGCCTTGTTTTCATGATATCAACCAAAAATTCTGCAGAAGAAGATTATGATCAGATTATGTTGTCGGAAGATTATGCTCAATTGTTCTTAGTGTATCTTGCTGTATACTTACAAATGTGTTAATTTTATTCAATCCAGAATTGATAATTTAAAAATGTTATTCTTTTATTTAACACTAGGTGCCCCAGGTAAATGTGTGATTTACATTGATTTTAACATTGCTTTTAGACTAGTCATTGACTAGACTCTAGCCATTGACTAGATTAGTCATAAACTAAGCTGAATAATATCTAGACATTAACTAAACTAGACATTGACTAGACATTACCTTGATGAGACATTAGTTAGATTATAAATCACATAGACATTAACTAGACTGAGGCCATGTAGTGTGCAGTGGTTTAACCTCTTGAATCCCATGCTCTAAAATTGGTTGAAACCAGAGAATTTTTTCATTTTTGCCACCTTTTGACATTTTTCTACATACCTACACAACTTAAGATGCTCAACTTAGTAAAATTAGATGGCAGAGATCATTTCTACATGTTTTAAAAAATTTTTTGTGTAAATTGTATGAAAATTGTTCAAATGAGAGCAAATTTTGTGAAAAATTTTGTGACAGATTTTCTCGTCCCTCTGGGTTTCAAGGTCATTTCTGAGATGACGAGAAATCTCGTCATTCTGGGTAGTCAAGAGGTTAAAGAGCACTGTTAACAAAATTAAAAAATTTAACGGAATTATCAGAGTTTCTTGAGTCTGGATGTCTGTGTACTAATGAATGTATTTGCTTTAACAGTAAACTGATCCATTCTGATACTCATTACAAGCCCTTCCTAAGTATGTATCTTTTTATTATTCTTTTTTAAAATTTATACTTCACAATAATTTAAGATCAAAGAAAATACCAACTTGGGTAAGGCACATCTCCTTACAAAGACTAATACCGTATATCCAATGTAAAAAAAGATAGTAAGAGTATCAGCATGAGACACCTATGAGGCACCTTGAGTAGTTGCTTTTATGACATATTGCTTGCACAATGAAGTGATTTTAATTAACCAAATCATTCCAATCATTTTGTTAGCCATCTATAAAATGTCTATATCTCTGAAACATGCATGTAATCATGTATAATATTTTATTCAAAAAGTCTCTGAACAGTATCTTGATTTATTATCTGATTTATTTTCTTTATAGTCAATTGATTACTATATATTGATTCTGGATTTACTGGAACAGAGTTTAACATGTTGTTAAACCAGTGTTTTACTTCAGTCATATGTAATACTTTGATAGATCAAGATGGAGTTTAAATGCATCATCAATAAGGAGATCTTCATGTTATTTTGTTAAATGGCATACAAAATGCATATACACTGTACTGTATATGTATTTGTGAACATTGTCATGTGTAAACTGCATTAATCTTAAAGGATGTTTAAGTTGACAGGTTTTAATGTATGTTTCACTAATTGTAGACCAGAGTGCAGGAGGTACCAGTGACATTAATATAATCCTGGAAAAAGATGAAAATATTGCCACTCTGGAGAAGAAAAGAGATGTTCTGGTATGTGTATCTTTTATCAATGAGGGTCTTTTTTGATCTGCCATGCATTTCCTTGGCTTATTCAAGTTTCATTGTTCAATATTTTTTCTATACTCAGAACACCACGATTCAGCTCCTCAGATTATTATGTCAACTCCACAAGTGATATACATTTAGATGTATTGTTATAGTCTCCAACTTTTTTGTGAACTGAGTGTTCTGGGTTTGGTGGTCGGTGATTGGTGTTCACCATCTGTAACAAATGGCGGGTTGTGACCATGTTAAAGCCATCTGTATGAGTCAACATTTGATTGGTAACACTTATAAAATATTTAGGGCAATTTCTTGACTTCCTAATTAGCTCAATGTACTATAAAGTACCCAGCCTCATGTTCCTATAAACCACCAGCATGTTGTTGTATTCCAGTGTGTCCAGTTAAGCAAGTCTTTCGAGGACCTGGAGTCTGAGAGAAAGCAGAAGCAAATCCTCGAATCTAGGGTGAGTATTTGTTCTAATAAACCTGAAAGGGAATATAAAGGGAAAGAAATATTAGGGACACTTGGAATCATTTATTTGGGGGTTACTTTTCTCAGCCATATACTGTCTCAGGCTGGTCATAATATGGAAACTTCAGTTAAGTTCATTGTTTTCCTTGAACTTGTCCATGTCAGACAACAACAATATTAATACAACAATTTTCAGTTTACATGCAACCAGACCTATAGCCAGAGGGGGTTCAGGGGGTTTGAGTGAACCCTTCCTGGCCAAAATTCTTTCAGCACTTTTCAAGTGATTTTGGGCCAGAGTTGTCAAATGTGAACATCCCTGTAATTTTTTTGAAAAGTGAACCCCCCTTGGCAAAGGCTGACTAGGGGCTTGTGTAACATACCTGTAATTTACAATCTAGGTTCATGAACTCCAAGAGCAGCTATCCAGCATGGAGGTCGAGGCAAGGACAGCTACAGTGGCTCTGGAAGCCTTACAAAACCAGAGACCAAAGACAGCAAGACCAAAGACTGCTAGGCCCAAAACTCCACAGGTACATGTTGTATTCAATTTGAAAATTTCTTATTACAGTAAAACCTGTCTAAGTGGAACAACTTTGCTACCTCTAAAAAGGAGGTGTTCCGCTATAGAGATTCATTTAACATTAAGTCATTTGGTCTTTGAACTCTGAAAAGTGTTCCACTAACATAGGTTTTCGACTTATAGAGGTGTTCCACTTTACAGATTTTACAGTACATGTCATAGTCTCTGTCATTTTCCCAATTGATTTTAATTTTATAATACCGTATCAGTTTTAAGGAGTCGTTTAATGACATATTTTAAATTGAGTGAAAAATGTGTTGAGACCATGTAGATTGAATGCAACAGTAAATATATTATATGTTGAGGTCTTTGGGATTTTTTTGATTAGATGTTTACTCAAATTCAGGGGTCAGTTTTCTAAATAACCTTATATATTGAAACTATGTAATGCAGGTTGAGTACAGGACAGAATACATTGAGATAGAGAAAGATACAGTGGACCCTGCACTAGTTGAAGATACTGCCACTGCCACTAAGGATCTACATAAATCATTCCTAATGCTCAAGAGAGAAACTCAACAACATTTACAAGATCTTGGCAAGATGTTAACACAGGTAATATCTGATGTTTCTGAAAAACATTACTCCAATTTATAATGCATGTTAAAGACCCTGTTTTAAATTCATAAAACTAATGAAACATATATCTACATGGAAAGTTATGATGTATGATTTTATCATGTTTTGAAAGCAGTTTTTGAAAAATTATTAAATCAACCAAAAATGAATTACAGTACATTGAACATATAACACAGATTCAAAAATGAAACAACTATGAAATAATGTGATGTTGATCCTTACATTTAGTGAAAAATATTTTAAAGTAAAATGAAGGTTGTTTAAATATGATATCACATTTCAAAAAACTTACAGGTTGTGACTAGTGTCATGAGTCTGAAAACAGCTGACAGTGGCCAATCCAAAGAACTTCAGGAAATTAAAGAACTATACAGAAGAGAAACTATGCAACGTAAATTGCTCTACAATAAGTTGCAAGAATTAAAAGGCAATATACGGGTGTTCTGTCGATGTCGTTATGACAACCGAGTTGATTGTAGCCATAATTTCCCATCAGACCAAGAAGTCACACCCCTGGGTAGCAAGAAACCATTCAGTTTTGATAGAGTATTTACCCCGCAGGCAACTCAAGCCGAGGTAAATATCAGAAATCTAAAATTAAATATCAGAAATCATATATTTGCTCATGTACTAAAAGAGATTTTTCTTAACTTTGATATCTCTGATCTTAAATTTAACCTTTCTGTAAATCTAAGCTTGATAAATTTGCTCTTCTGTACCTTCTGTACAGTACAAATGCTTGAAAGTTACTCTTCTCTACAAAGCCTTTGAAAATTACTATACTTTGCAAAGACCATACTGTACTGTGTTAAATGGTACTGTTATATTTGTAGATATTTGAAGACACATTGCCAATCATTACATCATGTGTAGATGGATACAATGTGTGTATCATGGCATATGGGCAGACTGGTAGTGGCAAAACACATACTATGATGGGTCCTAAGAATGACCCTGGGGTGAATATTAGGTAATGCTTTAATTTTGAAATAACACACAATTACAATATATTTGCATAAATTTGTACAGCCACTGCATGCTGTTCCTTGATAGTGTTGTAAGTTGGAAAATTATGTTGTTTTGCCTTTAGAAGATAAGTCTCTTCTGGTCTGTAATGTTTCTCATCACCCCCCCCCCCCTATATATTTCTTAACCAGTTGACAAGCTCCGGGTAAAAAAATAAATTAAATGAAAAAAAATAAAACCACTCATATGTACAAGATATGTCAACTTTTTTCCAGGTCTATTGAAGAACTGTTAAGGATTTGCAGTGAAAGAGAAAAAGTGCAGTATAAACTTGAGGTAATGCTGATCTCTAAAGTTTAACAGGCCCGTAGCCAAGGGGGGTTCGATGGGTTTAAGCGAACCCCCTGGCAAAAAATTCTTTCCAAATCATGCAATTTTCATCATTCTGAGCACTTTTTAAGTGATTTGGGCCATTTTTGGACCAAAATTGGCAAAAATTAACCTTCCTCGGAATTTTTCAAAAAATGAACCCCTCTTGGCAAATCCTTGCTACGGGCCTGTTTAAGGTGGCACACACTGATTTATGCAGTTTATAAAAAACAGTATTTGCTAAGTTCCCACAAAGGTGTTTAGTTTGTTTTGTATGTTGTTGTTAGAGTCCATATAAATGCCTCAGCCCAGACTGTCTTCATAATATATTGATAAATCATTCATATTTTCTGCATTTTCTAGGCTTCCATGGTTGAGATTTATAATGAAACAATCCAGGATCTGTTATCACCCACCCCTACCACTTTAGAACTCAGAGCTCAAGGGAACAAAATCAACCTCCCCAACCTGACCAAGAAGCTGGTAGAGTCAAAAGATGATATACAGAAAATCATGGACATGGGGGATAAGAATCGATCTGTTGCTTCAACAAAGATGAACTCAACGAGGTACAAAAACATTTTCATGAAACTTCATAAAATCTATTCATCTTGAAATTAGAATAAATGACAAAAGTGTGAATTGAAGTATTTTAATTACTAAAACTACAAAATTATATCCAAGGGAAAGAATAATTTAAAGTTGAATGAATTTAATTTCAGTTCAAGGTCACATTTACTATTCATGATCAGCTTAGAAGGACGAGATAAAGTCTCTGGTGCTGTTTCAAATGGTACATTGACACTTTGTGACCTGGCAGGGTCGGAGAGAATAGCAAAGACAGAGGCAACTGGTCAACGATTAGTTGAAGCGGCTGCCATCAATAAGTCTCTTTCTGCTCTTGGACAGGTATGTAGTTTTGTAGTATTGTCTGTTGTCATTATTTGAAAACTCTTAAATAATCAGTACCCTGATCTGAATCTAGACATATTCCCATCTGACTAATTCAAATGGAGTTACAGTTCTGATCTTCATGATGTTTGCAGTTTTAAATTGTTAAAAACCAAATTGTAAAATAATTGCAAAAAATGAACAATGTCAAAATTGTCTTACTCTGTATTTTGATTGGATGTATAGGCTTTGATCAAGAGCAAGCTGTAATTTAAAGAGCTATCTCATTTAACTGATTGCAAACAAATACTTGTTTCAGGTGTTTGCTGCTTTGAAGAGTAACCAGTTACATGTACCTTATCGCAACTCCAAGCTCACTCACCTGTTACAACCTTCTCTAGGAGGAGATGCAAAGGTATGTCGGAGGGAGGGGGGAATTTTCACAGACAGATCCAATTTTGATGAAGAAGCATAGATGATATACAAAGAGAAGAGTTGAAAATCATAAAGCAATTGCAGATTATCTCAAGATCTTTGACCATGGTATATTAAGCCCATTAGATGGAGCCAGAATAATAGAAAATATATGAAAAGCTATGGAAATAAACTTTCCAGTTTGTTGTCCAAAGAGACTTGGTCAATAATTAGTATCATATTTTACATTATGTTGAGGTTTTTTGAGGTAATTAATTATACAATTCGATTACAGTAATTGTAGAGGGCCTTGGCTGAGAGCATTAGTGCCCCCTCCCTCATGATTATTTTTATGTAAGCTCCTTTCATATTGAGATGATTGTTAATGAACTTTAAACTTCACAATTAATCCTGTATCCTGTATGTCACTTTGGATATGAGTATTTCTTATTTGAATTTCAGGCCTGTTTGTTCGTGAACATAAGTCCTGCAGAGTCAAACGTAACTGAATCTGTCAGCACCTTGCAGTTTGGCAGTGGCGCTAAACAAATCAGTCTAGGCCAAGCAAAACAGAATGTAAAGAAAGCACCATTGAAAAGTAAAAACTCAAATATTGGACCAGCAAACTGGGATCTTGATCAACTCTGATAACATGATTGGCACTCCTTAGAAAATATTGGAATATTCAAGAATCCACCAAGTTTCACTACATCTTGATCAACTCTGATGATATGTTGGTCATTCTCTCAAGGAAGTATTGGAATCTGCAAGAATTCACTAAGTGTCACTGTAGTATTCTACTAGGAATTTGGATTTTGTGTTATGGTAGTCTTGCTTCAAGACTGTACTTCCCCCTATGTACTTCACTTTCACCAATACAACTGGTGCAGTAGATAAGTGGGAAGGGTACAAGACTATGGGTGTGTCTATGATGGAAGTTCTAGACATTAGGCAGATAGATGGTGCAGTGATTGGTATGTTTACGAGGGGTGATCCAAAAGTCTTGGACGCTCCACTCTAACTTTGCTATTTCTTAATGAAATTACATGAAACTTGCAGAGAGTAAAGATCAACGTCTTAACAATTTTGTGTATAAATTTCACTAGAAAATAATTTATTTTAGGTACTTTTCTCGTCCAAGACTTTTGGATCACCCCTCGTACTTTCTCAGAGAACATAGAGTTAATAGAGGAATCACTGCGCCAACCCAGTGTTAACAAAAGCCTTACTTATAATTTAGAAACCTATGGGTACCTAAAATGTATGCTGCATTTTCAGTTATTTTTGTTCAAAGATATTATTTTTTAAATCAGTGTCACCTAAAAGTTACAAATAATTTAATACTGCTGACTGAAGTTTATACCATGTACACTGTAAATATGTCCTGAAATGGATAAATACTAAAGGGGCTAAGTTTTAACTTTAACTTTGTACCAAAAATGCACTTGTTACGCTAAAATTACACAAAATTATAAATGATAACTCCCATCATCAATAGATATTGATGCAAATTCTTCTTTGTAAATTTTGCAATTTGAAAATCATTTTTGTAGTACTGTAATGTATAGTTTAAGTAGGTAGAATTGTCTTTTGAATATTGCAATGAGAGGCATATAGGTCACCTCCTAAACATGCTTATTAAGGCATGTTTTTCAAGCTATATTATTTACAGAAAAGGTGGTTTGAGTCAATAAGTCAACTGGAGGTGCAAATTGCTGTCATTATTTTCTAAACATTTGGATATGTGAGGTCAAAGCCCTTTATGTAACATGCAGAAATATGCAAAACTTCGGCCAATGTAAAGTGCCTTTATGCAATTTATAAACCATGAGTACCAGTGAGCTATTAGCTGAAATTATGGCCGAGGGTCATCTGATATACATGTATAGCCCCACCTATCTATAATACATAGATTGACTCATGTACATAGTCATAAATATTTTTATTGCATAATTTGAGACTGCTGGCAGTATAATATTGTATTCTTTGCAAGAACTTTTTGTAAACAAGGGATTAAAACAAGCCAGTAAATAGTTATCAGTTACATCTGTACATATATGAAAATATTTTGCAATTATAACTTTTGACATGCTACAGTAATGAATGAGTAAGCAGCCGATTTCATAAATTATTTTTAGATATGCAATTCAAGAAATCAATGGCTTCTTGTTGGTATATAGATACTAGATAGTAGGTCACAACAATGTCATTTTTCAATTCTTGAAATAGTCATTGACATAACTGGAATACATTGAAATTATCAGAATTTGCATAATTCTTTAATCATTTTTACATGATGTAAGACTCAATATCAACTTGTACTTTGCATTTTTTAAATAATGCAATTTATTTATGAGATTTTTGAAGCAGTATTCACTGCATAACTGTTGTTGAATATGAATTAACCCAGTCCAGTGCTACCATCTATTGACATTCATGTCCCATATATGAATGGGGGTGTCAACATTTTGTATCTTCTTGGTTAAGATCAAATGTAGTTGGAATACATTAGACCTAAATGGTTGTTACTAAATGGAAAATGAGGTAAATTACATGTACAGCAGGACCTGTGTAAGTGGAACACCATTGGGACCTCAGAAAGTGTTCTTCTTGTGAGGTATTCCACTTATAGAGATTCATTAACATGAAGTCAGTTGGTCACAATACTTATAAAAACCCATTCAACTTGTGAGTTGTTCCACTTCGAGAGCTGTTCCTATGAGCAGTTTCTTCTGTACTTCAGTTTTAGGTTTATATTCGTTATTCTGTTTATAATTTATTACAAAGCATAAATTATGTATATACTTTATATTGAAAGATAAATCTCATGATAACTTAATATACATTTATGCAAAGTTGACATGTGGTTGTTTACACATTATAAGTTTTATTGTTATGCATAATGCAAATTGTTTATTGACTGTTATTTTGACCAATGTTTTATTTTGCTATAACATGACATGGCAATGCATTTGCCACAAAAAAAGCATATTTTAAACCAACGCTTTATTTTTATAGATCGATCTGTGATAACTGAATGTGATATTCAAGATGTATGCTCAGTGGTATAAAACATACAATGTTATGCCTTAGTGAAAAGTAATCAATACTCACGGGTGTTAAAACACGAATATACCATGAGCACATGCTTTGAGGATCCGCGTTGTTTGAACCTACCGCCGAGCACACTTATACATTAAGACCCGTTACACAGTCATGATACCGCCGAGCAAGCTCATTGCATCATCGGGTCTGCTTTACCCCCGTGAATACTTGTTAATCTTTTCAACTTTGTTTCTTTGTAGATATTGTTTTTATGTCACCACCATAACCATAAGTGGTGACATATTGTTATAGTCTCCTACATGTTTGTGGTGGCAGGTTGGTGTTTGATGTCTGTAACAAATGGCAGGTGGTGACATTTTGCATGTTAATGTCTTGTCTCTGTTGTAGTAAACACTGGAATTATTCTCCTTTGTGTCAGTTCTTTACAAAATGGCCTTTACATGAAATACAGTTCTTTCAATTTATTTTACAACACAATATTTTGTTAATGAATACTACTATTATATTATATTTATTATGCATTAACTTTGAATTGAATAATGAAGAATCCTGTGTCATTAATTTAAAAACTCTGTACATTTATTTACAATTAGAGGAATAGGTTAGAACATGCATGAATCCTTTTAAATCCAAAGAATGATACAGGTTTTTTATTGCGATTCAAATACACTCACTCCTTTATAAAAAATAACATTCTTTATGAAATCATAATGCACTGAGATGACATCACTCTTTTACCAATAAATGTCACTGCTCAGTTCATTATAAAATCATAATGCACTGTGGAATAATTAGTCTTGTTTCAAGACTAAGGGCCTGGCTCTCTATCTAAACACCAGTTAAAAGAGTAGATAGTCCAGGGTCTTCAAGCAAGACTGGAATTATGTTTCTGCTCAGTAGACAATATACTTTGAATAAATGCACTGAAATATTCAAAGCTGATTGGCGGAGACATACTTAGCATATTTGAATGAAAAATGAAACATACAAGTTACTTTCTGGTTTTAAAGAAGAAAGTGATCTTGGTGCTCTCTTTCACTCACCAATTCAGTTACAATTTGACCACTCCCTAGCAATGAGATGCATGACTTCAGCGTTTCATTCAGTTCGTCAAATATTGCAATATTGGAACTGTCGTTATTTTTACAGTTTCCTTAATAAAAATACAGTACAATATCTCAAGTGTATAAACAAATATTTTATTCTCTAAAGCAAAGTTTATTATAAATATACAACATAAATCATTTATACAAAATACATGCATCTAAATAATTCAGATAACTGCAATATAAACAGATACAAGCAATATAGCTGTGTTGCTCTGGTCTGAATTATCAGAATAAAAATATCAGATACTGTACTCCAACTAGTATTTGACGCTATTATATTTTGCGTTTATAAATAAAAATATTGGAATTTTGTGGCTATTTTATTTCGTGAATTTTCCAAAACTTGCAACAAGTGTGAAATATAGTATCTACTAGTAGCACACGAAAATTACCAGGAGTACAGTAGATCTACAATATATTGAAGACATCAGCTCATTGGTTTAAATGATAAAATATCACATGCTTATGGAAAATACAATGGGTTTAAATAACAAAATACAGATGTTTCTAAAACTATCAGCTGTGAATGATTTAAGTAGTATTAATAATACAGATGTTTCTAAAACTATCAGCTGTGAATGGCTAATAATGAAATATCATCTGTAATTTGTTGAAAAAATAAAATATCATATGTTATCAAAATATCAGCTGTGATTTGTTTATCCCTAACTACCGTGTATAAATGGTATAGTAGTTTTAGAAGATTTCTCCATTTATGTATAAAACACAAAATATTGCACATGGCTTTGACAGCAACAATAAAGACTTGATGAGAGCTTACACATTGAGGGACAAAATCAATATCTCGGCATAAACGTAATTAATTTATTTTGGGGGAAGGAGCAAAAATAAAAAATATTTTGTAAGCATGAATCTTTGGGGAAAAATTAGGAACATTACATTTCATTTGGTGTCAATTAAAATATTGAAGTGGTCCCTTTAAATGAAACAACTGTTTATCAGTCTATATGCTGTGAGCAAGTTCTTTCAGGAATTTTCATGTATCTCAATGGCAGTTGAATGACTCCAGGCCATGCTGTTCCTTCACTATTGTGATGGCATCAATAACCTTACCTCCCTGAAAGTACAATAGAAAATATGGCATATACTTTAGTCCCAAACAAAAATGATTGATGTAGAATGCTTGAACTATGAGGCCCTTAAAACAAAGGCTGTAAAATATAAGTTTAAAAGAAATTCTGGGACCCCAATGTTTTTTCTTATTTTCTCTGATGTAAAAATAATTGATGTTGATGAAAATGGACCACAAATAATCTTGACTTGTATTTCGAGTCTCATTGATAATATATCAGCTGTTAAGTATGTTGGAGAAAGAGGTACACAAGAGCTTGAAGCAAGACTATAAAAATCTAATTCAAACCAATGCAAAATATTAACAATGCTTAGGCCATGTAAACCAATAAGTAAAAATTGTTCAAACCTTATCATCAGAGACTTGCTCTATATGGAGATGTGTGTGGTTGGTGACTTCCATCCTGGTGTAGCCATAGTCCCTAGTGTGGAAGGCACTCCAGGGAAACACATTGGGCCGGAACTCTGTCTGACCCTCTTGACAACCCTGAAGAAAGTTCAACGTACTAGATGCACTCAATGTACTAAACTACCAGATATAAAAGTTATATGTGTATGTATGCATAACTACGCAAATGACTAACCAATACTTTCACAAAAAAAGATTATCAGGAGCAATGTTCAGATGCTTTAGGTCTGTGCACCCAATGTGTAATCTGAGCTACAACACAATGCTTATCATTACTGAAACCTAAACACAAAGTTGATCCCCCTGCCATAATGATACTCTGAAGGTTTAATTTCACCCTTCGTAAAACCTGGGAGTGATTGAAAAGTTGTTTAGTCACTAATTTATAATTTACTTCAATGATCTTTTATCAGTATATTCTACAGCATCTTAAAAGTCTTTCACCATATGCGCATCGAACTTTTGCTTTTCTTTATGCACCATCAAAAAGTTTGTTTGAGACCCCCACATATGAAGAGATGGAGATTTTCACAAAATGAAATAATTGGGCTGTCATATTCCCTGCCCTGGGAGCAATAATAGCTGGTCAAATAAAGTCAAAAGTCATGTTACAGGGAATATACATGTCAAATTCCTGACCCTCCACACATTAGGGGGTCTTAAGCAAACCTTTAAATGGTGCATTAACTTGTACTTACAGCAGATCCTGTGATAATATGGACTGGGGCCCCTGGATTAAGGTATGGGTCATGCTTACTCCCATTGCAAACCTAAAAATAACAGTACCAAAGGAAGATGAGTAAAGATAAGGAAACTGTCTAAACATACTGGAGAACAGCTAATTGCTTTAAATTTTACAATTCAGATTTGATGGTCTTGCCACTTGCCACAGAGAGAACCTTAGTGTTGTATGCTGGGAAAATGTTTACCTTAGCATTGTATTCTGGGAAAATTCTAACCTTAGTGATGTACACTGGGAAAATTCTTACCTTGGTGTTGTACACTGGGAAAAGTCTTTCATAGGAATGTTCATGAGCATAAAATTGAAGGTCCACACCATACTTGTAGAACAACTTCTCAAAACTTTCTCCATTCAAGCCATTTCGTATCTAAACAGAAATTTAATTGCATAGTGTTATTTTAGTTATCACTAATTTGCTTAGGGTATGCTTAGCTACATAATACTGTGACTCAGGACTAGAAAAAACAGCAACTCCATGTTGAAGCAAACCCATTGAACAAAACACTCAACATTGTAAAAGGTTCCATGATAGAAATCACCAGTAGATTTTTCCCATCCATACTTTAATACACTGTACTTACAATATTGTCTTTATAGTCTCCACATAAGGTGTTGTCAGGGTTTGAGCAGTACATCGGTTTGTGACCAAACACAATGATCCAGGGGCGTATCTTACGATTCTCAGCTGATGCTGCCACCTATAGAACAGTTAAATTAAAATACATGTAAGAACCTTTAATAAATAGATTGTTTATTTAATGTCGCTATAAAAATACATTGGTCAGTAAATTCGTTGAGATTTTCAACAAGATATTCAATTTATTTCATTCATCCTCATTCATACAGTAACACAAAATGGGTTTCGAATTCTACAAAGAAGCGTAACTTGTAACTTACACAAACAGCACAATGTAACATTTATCCCAAAATTATGGGAAATTAGAAAGTTACAAAATTGGCTGAGACACACTCAGCATATTGGATTTCTCCTAAACAAAAAAAATGAATACTAAAAATCCTTATTCATTTTATAACTCACCTCTAAGTCCCGCTGGAGCCATTTATATTGCTCCTGGATTTGCTTGGTACCATAGTTCGTATAAAAGTACACCTCAGTAGATATTGCAACAATATGGGCCAGTCCTACATTGAAGCTGGTAACACACATAATATTTAATAAATTGAAAGCACATGGTATTGAGAAATGAAGGATTTCAAACATTGAAGCTAATATAAAAGTTAACGCCTCAGAAGTTGATAGTTAGAACTAATCCGTAAGCAAGATAATGATCCTTATTGGGGGGTTATATTACAATTATGATGAGATTATTTCTTAATTATTTCTCAATTTCATCATCCTGCATATCTTAGTTTAGATTCTGATATAATTAAGAACATTGATATATAGTTTTCAGCTGCCATACTGAATTTAATGTATCAAGATTTTCAAAATCTTCAATTTTATTTTGTGTTGATATTCATTATAAACGCTTTTTGCTATTACCTGTACCAAAGGTTCTCTCCATCTCCACCAGGCATCTTGAACCTCTGTTTGTAGTTTGAAAAATTGCTGAAATAATTAAATGTAAATACAATGGATATTACAAGTCCATTTCATTTAATGCTAGTGTTAGGGGAGCTATGGTAACTTTTGGCTGGGTTGATATTAACATGCATCCTAACTTTTTGGAGGTATGGTTTTCCTCATCTTGATAAGAATTGATTTAACAATTGGTTGAATTATTCATTCAACAATATGGATATGTCACAACTTGAACAAATAAAAGACCAGGCAAATATTTCTAATAGATGGCTTGAATAACAACAACTGAGTTCCAAGCCTCATGGCTGGTGCATATGTGGCATCCCTTCACACTCATGATTAAATAACTATGGATGTGCAATGCTAGCCCTTTACACTCCATGAAGTTGAAATAAAAGTACACATACAAGTAATAAACAAATACTGGATGACCATGAGTTGGATATCCCAGAATACCTATCCGAGGAAAAAATACTAGGCGAGGCGAAGCCGAGATCTTGCTGCCACCTATGACAATAGACCCTGCAGCTCTTAACCAATCAGATTTGAGTATTTTAATGAGGTGCATAATAATACTTACTACTTCTCTTCATGGTTCCCCACACAGGTCATGTATGGTACATAGGCAGCTATGGTTTCTATCTGTTGCATGAATTCATCTCCAACTCTAGCATTATCCTATGAAAAATGTGCATGTGTTTTTAGCCTTCATCCTAAGGCCCCTGACATGAAATATCTGTTTAGTGTAAATCCTTCTTGAAAATACATTTTATTTTGCTCTCAATTCCTTAAATGTAAGGAGGCTGCATAAATGACAATTAGTGATTGCAAAATATGTGCATTATTTAATAAACTTATTATGAGTTGTGAAACTTAAATAAGATAGAGAAAAAAATATTATATTGAATTAAAGAGAGACCCGATAAATTTTTTTTTGAGCTTTACCATGTATTCGCGAATGCAACTAACGCCTGTCGGCTACCAGATTAACCTACAATTTTATGAGCAACTCATTTAGATATGAATAGTACCTGCCACTATTCCATTCATACTTAAGTGAGTTGGTCATAAAAAAGTAGGTTAATCCGGTAGCTGGTAGCCGTTAGTTGCATTCATGAATACAAACATAGCTTTTATTTACATGTATATTTATATGATTACTTACTGAGTCCATATCATATGCAAAGTCTCCTGAAATCAACATTTATAGATTAAATCATAGCATGAAATAACAAATAGAAACCTTCAGGATTGCAAAATTAGCAGAAAACACAGAATGTTAAATATAGGAATTCAAAGTGAAGACATTATATTACAATTTATTTATACTAGTATAATAGGACTGAAATGGGAATGATATCATCAAGTTTTCTAGTCACAATTTTCATTTTATATAAACTGAGATATTAAAATCTGCCAGGTAATCATACGCTAGTACAGGGTAGCTTCATAAATATGACAAATGAGAAGGCTAAAGTTTAAAAAATCTGTTTGAGCTTACCCACATGTAAAATAGCATCAAAATGTTCCAGCTGAGTTTCCTCCTGAAGACGTCCCATAGAGACTGCATTTTTATTACCCATATCACCATAGACTGCAAACCTCGCTGGCCAATCACTACCAGCTGGTGAAGTTCTGAACCAATAGATGGCGCTCCATCCAAGGTCACTTCCACAGTGATACACTATGACAGATAAAACACAATATGACAGGTAAAACATGATATGACAAATCAAGCACAATATGACAGTAGAAACATTTATGTTAGACACTTTGAACTGATATTTTGCACTCAGGCATAGGCACTTGAAGTAAGTTCCAGTGGAAAGGGGTTCAGTTTATTGATTCAGCAACTATCAAAAAAGAATAATAAAATACCTGAATAATATTCAAAATGGCACATATAAATGATACAAGATTTCTCAGGATAATTAATATCTTACTGTATTTTGTTCCTGGTTTTAGGGATCTCAGTGTAACTGTGTGTATATACAGTAGTCTGCCTTCAGGACCACCATCTTTGAAGACAGTGGTTCCACCTGATGCTTCCATCATCCCTCCACCATTTTCGGTTTCATACTGTACTATTGACTCCATGGTGGCGTTGAATGTCACCCATGTAACCTGCATCCCATCAGCCTCAGCTATGACATAATAAAAAACAACATATTGAAGTAACAAAATACAGATGTAACAAATATATCTAGAGCCGCAGTATTTGTCATAATATCACACAGGTAATCAAAAAATGCAACCCATACGTAACAATGTCTTTAACTTCCATGCATATTGTGAAAACTTTTGGGATAGGCCTATTTGGCACAATTGAACTTATTATTGACAAAGTTATTGCACACATATTTGATCAAATTTTGGGCCAACTTGTAATGTTATTATTTTTATCGCAAAAAGATAAGACCAGTTGGAATCATGTATGTGAGGTCTTGTTGACATTTGAATTAAACAATCAAAAGGAGTCACATGAGCCTTAACTGTTAATACTGTAACTTAAACAAGATTCTTCTTGGCATTGTCAATTTTTGGGATTTGTTTATCAGGTTGATCCTTTGGGAAATAGAGTACATTGTATTTAGTATATATACAGCCTTGGTTCATGTACAGTAGTCTCTTGGCATGTGGACTTTCTTCATATGAGTACTGTACATAAATAAAGCTTAGGATCTTAATTGCTTATCACAGTAGAGAATTGACAATATTAACCTATTTTTGAAAATTCACATATTTCAACTTGGGCTTTCTAAAGAAAGGCCCGTGACTTTAATAACAATTTAATGGCATTTTATCCCATGTTAAACCATATCCATATCCTATTTTTATGTGAAGACAATTCTTACTTGAATATGAGAGATGAATCTGCTGTGGTTGATAGTAAACTTCTCCCTTGACCAGCATGGTATTGGTGACCACAGCGAGGGCCAACATAATCCCAAACATTATCCTTGACATTGTCTTCGCTCCTTCTGCCCCTATGTATCTACAATGTTGAAGTTATACCTTTTGTTGATTGGTACAAGTCAATTTCATATGTTGATCCACTGTTAGATAAAATGACTATATTGCATACAGGGTGGGCCAAAAATGTTATTGGTTTATTTATTAATTGTTCTAATGTAATATTCCTTCTTTTTCATAAAAGTTTTTTCCTTAAATGAAATCTCTCGCTTAAATGCTATATTCGATCTTGCAGGAGCTAATTTTTCAAACAGAAATGACAAAGTAGGAGGAAATGTCACAATAAGGAAAAAGTGGAACCGTACATAGGGAAGCAGAAATTGTGATTTTATTTTATTTGTTTTTACTACAACTCAATGTAGAATAATGTTACTGTATGGGTGGTATAAAGAACATAAATTATGAATTAGAGATGTCTGAATTAATAATAACAGTGAATCGATGTCAAGATACTACTGTTGGAAAATGTATCAAGAAATATAGGATTAGGAAAAATAATACAAGAACACAAATGTGTACAAAATGTCCCCACCAAGTGGTGATCCCATGAAATGGTTATCCTGAAAATGAGTAGACAAGACTTTACCAACACAATTTGAGGACAGAATATCCAAAGTGGCCACCTTAAAATTTACCCAGAATGCCAAAAATTTAGTCAGTTCTAGATTTTCATACTAAGAACCACCCCTGAAAATTTGAAATTGATCCGTCACACAGTTAACCAGAAAACATGTAAACAAGACTTTACAGACAAGATTTCAGGATGGAAAATCCAAAATGGCTGCCTTGACATTTACCAAGAATGTCAAAAACTAATCTGTTTGTAGATTTTCATACTAAGAATCATCCCTGAAAATATGAAATTGATCTACCAAACGGTTCACCTGAAAACGGGTAGACAAGACTTAACAGACAAGATTTTAGGACAGAAAATCCAAAATGGCTGCCTTAACATTTACGCAGAATGCAAAAAAAGTAATCAGATGTAGATTTTCATACAAAGAATCATCCCTGAAAATTTGAAATTGATCTATCAAACCGTTTACCTAAAAACGCGTAGACAAGACTTTACAGGCAAGATTTTAAGACGGAAAATCCAAAATGGCTGCCTTGACATTTGCCCAGAATGCAAAAAAACTAATCAGTTCTAGATTTTCATACTAAGAATCATTCCTGAAAATTTGAAATTGATCTACCAAACAGTTCACCTGAAAACAAGTAGACAAGACTTTACAGACAAGATTTTAGGACGGAAAATCCAAAATGGCTGCCTTGACATTTACCCAGAATGCCAAAAAACTAATGAGATCTAGATTTTTATACTAAGAATCATCCCTGAAAATTTGAAATTGATCCATCAAATGGTTCACCTGAAAACGCGCAGACAAGACTTCACAGACAAGATTTTAGGACCGAAAAAATCCAAAATGGCCGACAATAAAAAAGTCCTTATGAGTTTTTGCTGATTTCTTTTTACAAAATTATCACATATAACTACTGTTAACAATAAAGTAGGCTTTTACAGCAAAGTACATCTGAAATTATTTATAAAGCTACTAAATAGTTAAAGTATGAAAACTCAAAAACACCATTCAATATGATACAAAGTATTATCGCACGCTAACTTTTCTTAAGACATTCAAAATGGCTGACATGACTGAGCTAGCAGGTCCAAAACCTAATCAGATCTAGAATGAAGTGAGCTGAACAAGATGTTAAAGTTTTAAAAGCAACTGTGAAGCAGTTTTTCTTAAAGTTTGCAGACAAGGATTTTAGCATTTGACTTCAAAATGGCCGACAGGAAGTAGGTTTCGAGTTAAATTTTTTTCATCCACATCTATAGGCACTCATAAGTTATTCCTGAAAATTAGAAGGTGATACCTGTAGCGGTTTTGGAGAAAACTGCCGGACGTACGGACGGACAGACAGACAACCAGACAGACAGACAGACGGACGGACGGACGCGCCTAGGACGACAATATGGCCCCACACTATGTGGTGGGGACATAAAAAGTGTTAAAGCACAACATCAGAGGATTTGGTGAAAAGCTTTGAAATGCAGTTTCTATTAGTTCTAGACTTTACTTATCAAAATCCTATTGGCAAATGATAGAATGGTGTTTCAATTGCAAATATACAATTCTCGTTCAAGGACATATGAAATTGGTTTTCTCAACCTCCACCTTTAAAAATGTGGCTTTCTGCAAATAGAAAACATCTCTGACCAATGATACTATGATTCATTTGACCAGAACAGGCCACGTGAGGCCCAATGAAAAGTCAATACGGGGCCCAAAATAGATATGCTTATCAAACAGCTACCATGTTCAGTAGAGTGAAACAGTTGCCACATTTCTGATAAGACCTATGTGACATGTCAAAATATATTCATAAAAGCAATGCCTTAAAATCATAGATAATCCCCATCTTAACCAAGGCACCTAAATATGAATGTTTTTTTCCTATATAATATTGAACTGTGGTCCTTTGATTAACTCATTTCTTAAGTTCAATCAATCGATCCTCCTGACTCGTACTGTAAGGTTCCTGGACTATAGCCCTGCATGCAAGCGTCCCTATACATGTACATTGTCTGTATGATTACAATATAGGAGAATTTGACACAAAAATAACATAAATAAATTCCTGAGTATTTAAGGAGTATTTTTATGGAGTTGAATCTCAAATCGTATGGGGTTTATAGGCAGAACGAGGATACATAATCTTCGTTTTTAGTAGCAATGTTTGTGTGTTATTTCACTCATTTCAACCGTCAAAATTCCTCCATCAGTTGGTACATCTAGGCTGCAGCTCCACACCCAGAAGTTATTATGAGGATTCCCCTTCCAACAAGAGGTGTGATCTTTCTGATGAAAAAGGAAAATTGGCTTGTTCTGCTGATTAATCCATACAATTGGGAATTCAACTACATACAGTAAAAGTAATGGAGTGCTTGCAGGACTAATAGTCCTGGCACTGCATGGATAACCCCTCCCTATTGTTTATGGCTGATCTTGACTTTTCAGCCAGGCCCCCTGTACCTCCTCTCTAGGATGGGCCCCAGATTTGCCCCTCATCACATAAACTCAGCAGCACATTGGCCCAGGAACATGTATGATTATTCATGCAAAATCGAAGTTGGACAAAGTCTTAATCATTAAATTTGAAATCAAATATTCACCATTTTTCCACATCACAATTTGAATTGCGAAGTTTGGTCTTACTACCTCACCAAAAATTCCAAAACACATGAAGTGATCAATGTATAAGTTCACATCTTCTGGATCACTAACTTAGAATTTACACCAAGTTACTAATGTCAGACGTTACAACATTTCTTCCAGTTTTTGAATATCACCATTTTTCTTAGAGCCGTTTGTTTTAATTGTAGACGAAATCCTGACGATACCATTCAATATCTCATCTAGGAGCGCAGCCAGTTCCATTTCAATTCATGAAATATAACTTTATTAACTATATTAAATTTATTGAACCCGACTAGAAATTTTACAATAGTTCACTGTGTTCCAGATGGAATTCTAGCCAAGATTTGGCTAAAAAAGCAAACTTGTAGCTGTGGAGTTCCAATTTTTTTTTAAGGTTCAGCTGGAAAGTAACATTTTGGTAAAAAATTCCTATACCTGCACATGTTATTTTCTGGTACAAAATTAAGTATGAAGGCATGTGTCAATTTCCTTGCTTTTTTCAGGAAAGTATCATTACACTGTCTTCTTTTAGAATATCTGGAAACAGGTCAATGGTAACTCCTGTGTTGTCTGGAAACTTTGAAAGAAAATTTGGAAAAATAGAAAATGTGGAGTTCCCATTGAACGCCTACCAGATATTCTAAAAGAAGACAATGTAATGATACTTTCCTGAAAAAAGCAAGGAAATTGACACATGCCTTCATACTTTATTTTGTACCAGAAAATAACATGTGCAGGTATAGCAATTTTTTACCAAAATGTTACTTTCCAGCTGTACCTTAAGAATATCTAGTAGGAGTTCAATGGGAACTCCAGGAAATTCTGATATTTCACAATTTCTTTTTTTCCAAATTTTCTTTCAAAGTTTCCAGACAACACAGGAGCTACCATTGACATGTTTCCAGGTTTACTAAAAGTAGACAGTGTAATGATACTTTCCTGAAAAAAGCAAGGAAATACACACATGCCTTCATACTTAATTTTGTACCAGAAAATAACATGTGCAGGTATAGCAATTTTTTACCAAAATGTTACTTTCCAGCTGAACCTTAAAAACAATTTTTGTCCTTCTTGATTTCCAAGACTGCGCCCTGACCTTTGGTATATTCTGGTAGTAGAAATTAACCTCGGAGTCGGAAACAGTAGCACACGTACCCAATAGTATATTCGATAAATACACGGTAAAGTTGTTTAATGATCAAAATAATAAACAAACGTAAACAAAAACAACTTACCCAATCTCAGAGTGAACCGAAAGTTAACTGCCACTCGTTAGGAAATCTATGTAAACAGAAATGATTAGCCAATATTATTCATTCGTATACGTAAGACCAAGCGAGTGACACATTGATCTATTCGATAGTGTTGCAAGACAGGTACCCGATGTATAGAGATTTTATAAAAATACATCATTCTGATCAACCTCAAGTGAAAACATTAGATAATTCAAATTCTAAGAACTTGTTGACAACCCGGAAGTCGTTGAATTTGTCAAACTTGAAAATGTCTGCAAAGCAAGACGGGCTGTCCCTTCTCAAGGAAACACTTGCAGACGACGAGGAATCTAAAAGACATGTGTTTGTTGTAATGGGAGCATCGGTGAGCATAGACATTATAGATATAACAAAAAATATATTTTTGTTTGTTGATTTTCTGGACTGTGTAAATCTTCCTTATAAAACAGAGGCAAAAGACTCTTAGACTTTACAAAATACTTTGCATGAAAATCCAAGTTGTTGGAATTTCTATGTCACGCTTTATTGTTTCAATTCCATTTTCTCTCAATCAGAGGACAAAGTTTATCTGTTTTGAAAAATCAACCACTGACAAGATGGGCAAATTACCATGTCTACAGCTTTATTACATACAAACTTTCACTGTTGCATGACAATCCCTATGTAGTGCAGGCCTGTCAACTGTTCCGCAATTTGCACATTTGTCACGCATTTGCTGAAGAAATTGAAGTCGCATAGAATGCAAAAACATAAAAAACGAACGCTGAAAAAATCGAACGCAGTTTGTTTGGAAATTTCAGGTGAATTGCGTATACTGTACGCCCGGTATTATTCGCGTGCGATTAACTTCCGCGCTTTTCGCGATGGTGTCAAAATCGCGAAAAATTATCGTCGCGAAATTGCCAATTAAATCCCCGGGAATTTGTTTTTACCCGGGGCTCTGGTGCATTTCGTCAACTTCTGATCCCTCCATTCCTACATCTGTAAGAAGAACTACAACATGCATTTCGTTTTGTGTAAAATGTTTCGTCTAGTGTTCTTGGGCGATAATTGGATGATTTCCACCAACATGTAATACAAAATACGAATTCAAACTGCTTTTTCGTATTAAAATAAGACCGAAATTAACGATGCGATAATAGAAGTTGATATGCAGCTTGCCGATGATAAAGATCCCAGTTATTGTAAATCTGATCCAACTATGACATCAGGTTAGTACAATTACTGTACATCTACTAGTAATTTAGCTTGAGAATTCGCGAAATTTAATAGCCGCGAAACCGTGTTTTCGCAAAATTCGCGAAATTAAAGCTCGCGAATAATACCGGGCGTACAGTATGTCACGCATTTGCTTCGAAGATTTTTCGAAGATATATCATGAGATTTTGTGGGTTATGGGGGATATATATCTTTTATTGACTGTAGAATGTCATATGTGGAAGTGTACGTGTATCTTTATCATTAAATCAGAGCATCTTTTGTTCACTAGATTTTAACATGGGCCTTTCTTCATCTGTCTTACAGACATCGAAAATTCATATTTATTAATTTTTCAACATAAAATATGAAATTCGAACCTTATGGTAGCATTGCAATGCATAATTCTGCTAATTAGGGACATGTTTACGTCCAATGTTTGCAGTAGAGAAAAATGTGATGAGTAAATCGAGTAAGACCTATCTAAATTATGAGTTTCAGAAAAGTTTTTTTATTTAAATGAAAAAAAGGTTATTGAGAATTTTTGGCACCATAATGGTATTCACGACCTTCTTTTCTCACAGTCGTAAAAGGAGGGTTTCAGAATGAGTCTGCGCATTCTTTATTTATCAAACTGTTATATGGTATATTTTATGATACAGTTATATAGTTGTTGAATCCCTGATAAGGTCCTTACAAATACTTGTAAATGTCTGCAGCATTACCAAATCATCTTACAGCCTCTCTGGTCAACTTTGTTTCTCGATATTTAGAGAATTTGTGTATTTTTCCTTTACATGTATTTTGATTAGTAATTTTGCCTTTTTATAGTAAGATAAGAATTCCAGTTGCCTGGTAATTTTTCAGAAATCTTGCTAAACAAACTTAATCTTCATGATCCAAAGTGGGTTTAGTCTATATATACTTATGTACTAATAATACTACATGTATTTCTCATATGACTTACAAAGATACAGCCATCTTTACCCCATGCAAGATATTGCCATCTTTCATCCTAAAAAGTCACACGTGCAAGATGAGATTTACTTGTGACATCACTGGTTTATAAACATCAACAACATGGCAACGGGTACAGCGTTGTTATGCGTATCCATGCTCATTCTACAAAACTTAGCTGTGACGTCATAACAATGTAGCTTTGTTGCCACACGTATCCATGTATTTTCTACAATATTGTTATGACGTCATAACAATTGAAAATGAAGTTCCATTAATTTCAAGCTTATTTTCACTCAGTTTTATCATAAAAAGGTGAAAGTATGGCATAATACAGAGTCATATGAGAAAAACTTTCTTGTACTCGTACCTGTGCAATATCGTCCATTCTTAACTCGCTTTGATAATGTTTCTTTATCTCGTCTACGACTCGATAAAGAAGAATTATCAAAGCTCATCAAGAATGAACAATCTTGCACAGGTACTCATATAAGAACCTCTATATCTATATTTATAAGATACTCATATTATGGCAAACTGTTGTAAAATATAAGAGATTAACTTAAATAAATGCTATGTCACGCATATACAAAAGATGAAGTACCTTTATAAATGCTTTATCATGATCAGTGAAGTCCTTTAAATAACTACAAGTGGGCTAAACATTACATATGGTGATGGTCTTAACCATCAGTGAAGTAACCTTCGTGAGAGCTCAACCTTTCATCTACACTCTTTAAATAAGAAAATCACATGACATTTTTCTACCAATAGCAAACATTTATTTCACATTCAAAGTCAAATAAACGAATGCTACATTTTTTGTATGTTTAAGATTTTAAAGGCCTATCAACATCAAAACAGTAAATTCATAACATTGTCAGAAAGTAGAGTGACAAAATTGATGGGGATTTAGGTTACCTATCAATATCTGATAATGATATTAGGGTACATTGACATTTGTGTGACTTGTTGTTTTTGGCATCTTTAGATGCATTGTTATTTTAGAAATTCAGCTGTTAAGCAATTATGAATAAACTAAATATGACATTTATTCCAAAATTTTGAATGTTCTGAATTCTGTGCAATGTATATATGATACCATGTAAAAATTCAAATTCCTTTCTTGCTATATATATGAAAGTGTTCTTATCTTATATTGTTCTGGACATGTTTATTGGAAATTGATAGTTAATATCAGTTATTGTATACATAGATGTAATTTCATATGTAATTGATATTGGCTTTCTCATGAAGCTGCTCTTGATATTGTTGACAATATATCAGCTGTATTATATTATCTGTATTATTAAGGTATAGTCCAGGTCAATAAAATATATAAGTGTCGAAACCACTCGAAGGCGTAATTGTTCATCTTAGAGGATACAAAATGAAAAATATAGCTGACTATTTTGTGTTGTCTGTATATGAGACATTTGCACTTTCTTTTTTAGAGGGGAAGTGTTAAAAAACCAATTTCAAAAAATTGTATGACCTTGTAAACTCTTAAATATGAAAGTATCTTTGATGATTAGTTGAAATGATTAATCCTTATCTCTTCATTTCAGGGTGATTTGGCAAAGAAAAAGATTTATCCGACTTTATGGTAAGTCTAGATGATTGTAATTAGGTCATGTAGTACTATTATTAGACTCAAGCATAGCCATGGTGAGGCAGAAGAGGCTCTTGCCTCGTTGCTTTTTAACATCCTTTGAGAAATATTCCTCTAGCAATGATGAGTTGTAAATGAATTGTATAACTTTCTCATTACGTAGGGATTATCATCATGTTCTGCTATTGCCAGGCAAGCAAGGCAAGGTTTGGAAATATTTTTCACTTCGTCGCTTTTTTTTCTTTGCTCTGTGACTGTTATATATTAAAAAGAAATTCAAGTCACATAAGTAACTTTTGACAACAATATTTTTGTTTTTGTTTATTTACTTTCGCAAATTAAGAAAAATGAAATATGTTTATATACATCATATATATTAAAATATGATACTAAATATTAATCATTTTCTCTGATTTGAAATTTGATAAGCACTGATATAGTTTTTTTGAGTTTTTTAGATTAATACTGAATGAGTATTTATACTTGATGAATAAGAATATGCTGGGGAATACACACTAATTGTTAATACACCTTTTTAATAACATCAAAATCATTTCAGGTAATAGTATGTCCCTTTTTTGAGTCATGGGGAATGTGAATGGAGAATATGACAAGGATATAATAATTGTCTTATGTACAAAATATTCTTCCAAATTTTGTATGATTTAAAATAAACTGAGGAGAATCCGAGTGTCTTGGTCATGACACATGTAAGAGAGACATTGCCATGGTGATATAGATAAATGTAAGAGCAGAGTGTCATTGAAAGTTGAATATTTATAGTCCAAGAGGACTTGTTGACAAGTTTGTTTGCTTGTCTGTCATAACTGAGAAAATTACGATATTGCTCTCTTTGGTATATGTCTAAAGACACAGTCTTTCTCTTAAAAGCCCATGGTATCTATAAGATAGCAAAGATAACTGGTGCTGTACATGCTGTAGCCTTAGCAGTCTAAACAGTTTTCAATTAGTCAGGCATGTCTGCTTTGATTCTCTGAAGCAAAAGATCAGCGAGCGGAAGGGAAGCTCCATCCAGGTCTCTGATTTCTATAACCTCAACCATTGCTCTCTGCTCTGGGTTGAATGTCTCATGGATGACATTTTGTAGAGTTTCCTTGAAAATCTTGACTTGTTCAAAGCGATCATCTGCTTTGAAAGATGGCAGTTCAGGGTTGTCTTCCATTTCTTTCAATGGTTGAATTGCTGTTGCATATTCAACAAGGCACTGGTATTTCTGGAAATATAAGTTAAAACCTGACACTTTATATTCTAGGGTCCGCCACGGGGTAATTGAAGTGATATTGTACTCATTATTTGCTCAATATACGCTAATAGAGAAGATTGACATCCTTATACTGTTCTCAATTGAATATTTCCTTGTAAGTCTTAAGAATTGAATTAGATATGATTGATGCCTATTTGTACATAAATGTAAAAGTTATTTATGTGCTATAGTCAAATGCAGTGCACTATTTCTAACCAAATAGGTTATGCACAAGTGCCAATGGGAATGTACCAAAAATGGTTACAGAACAAAGCAAGAAAAAGAAAACACCTATTAGTACACCAGGAATACAAACCCCAAATATCCCAAATCATAATCCAATATGAAAAGAAACAGCAGCCCAATTTACACTACACTTATCAAATATTGACGTTTTAGCTAAAGCGTTTTAGAAAAATTAAGTTGAGTTTACATTACCATTTTCAAGACGTCTTAGGAAATAAAATCGAGTTTACACCTGTTTTCCTAAAACGTCTTAGGGATATGTAGGTATACATGTAAAAGGCAGTTCAGTACTAGTTGAAGGCCGGTTCAGTTAATATAGCTGTTCCTTTCCCGCTTCTATACTTTGTACCCGACTTTGTAATAAAGAATGCATCGGTTTCAGAAAAATATGTCCTAAAGCCGGCCAGCATTGTTAAAAGCATGAAAGAGAGCAGGAAGATTTTATGCATAAATTAGGATTATGATAAATCGCCAGGCAAATAAGTTCTTCTCAATAATTTTGGGATGATATTGGGAACAAGGGATAGGACATGCGACATATGTAAATGGAAGATTTCAAATGTTTCGTTCGGCGCAACGCAAAAAAACGGGCTAAGAGCTCTTAGCTAAAACCAATGGATTTACACTTGCTTGTAAAACGTTTTAACGCTAAGACGTCTTGGCTATGACTAGGGTCCTAAAACGTTTTAGCTAAGCGCTCTTAGCCGAGAGCTCTTGGGTAAATCTGGATTTACATTACATTTGTAAAATGTTTAACGCGAAAACGTTTTAGCTAAGACGTCTTAGCACGCTAGTGTAAATCCACCAAGTGTCTAATACCCCTCTCCCCTACCATTCAAGTACCAATATCTCAATTCGAGATCATAACAACAAGGGAGATTTCATTCATACTGAAGTCATTACAACAACACATGTTGAAGAATAAATTCAAAATTGATAGCCAATACTCAAAACATCAAAAAATAGTTGTAGATACAAGAATAGTATTGTTCCTTACATCTGCACCATCCTGAATGGTCCGTATCATGTTCTTGTAAGGCCTTGGTGTCCCTCCTCTCGCCACCAATGTCTCTAACTTGTCATTGTTCTTGTCTAACAATGTTATACGATTATCAGCATCAGCGATGTTGCCAGGCAGAATACCTGATTCAGGTACCAGGATGAAGATTTTACGAGGCATGTATTTAATGCCCTTGTTTCCATGGGAGGCAACGTGTTTATCAATGCGACCTTTCAAATCTGGAAATCAATCAGATATAGCATTGAGTCACTGCTTCCCCCTGCTGCCAGTATCTTTGGAAGGAGGTACATGTTTAATGGCTCAATTAACTATTTTGTTCTTTCTTCTAACATTACATAATGTAGGACCGATTGCTTCTCTACTTTCCTCATTTGATATTTTACATCATATTTTTGAAAAGTATTTTGACTAAACCCAAATGGTATTCATGTACGTATGTGATACATACCAAGTGCCTTTTCACCCTCAGGTCCTTGTGGAGGCACAATGATGTTAAGATAGGAGTAGAAGTATGCCCATGCCATGCCAAACCCAACATCATTACCCAACAGGTCAACCTCTAATGGAGTATTATCTAGAAATAAAATACTTTGAATCCTAATATATGTTTACTGTTTAGTATGTGTATTATTCCAATACTGCTCTCTTTATTTACATGTAGTTGTTATATCAGCACCACATGTGATGACATATTGTTAAAGTCTCCAACTTTTTTGTGGAAGCGGTTTGGTATTTGGGGGTCAGTGGGTGGCAGTTGACATCTGTAACAAATGGCAGCAGGTGGAATTTTGCATGTTAATGGCTTGTTCAAATCTATTCTCATCTTTATTTAAATTTTTTAAGAAATGGGTGATCCATAGTTTCTATGATGTTTTATCTATTAATCATAATAAGAAACATACCCGTTAGAGCAAAAATAAGTTTTCTGTTTCTAACATTAGGCTCCTCTTCATAGTCTATATCTGTGGCCCAGTGGAGAAACTTTGGCATTTCTTTCCTTTCGACACCATTTCTAAGCACAACTACATATCGCTCATTCATTTCAATCATTTTTGTGATGGCTTGCTTTGCCTCATACAGTGATCCCCCTTTTTTCAAGAAATCTTCTGTTACAAGAAGAATCATTCTTTGAGACCTGTTCATTAATTTAGGTAATTCTTGCAACACTATGGCACCTCCTGTAAAGTCATCCTTGCTGGCTATTTGAAATCCACTGTTTGACAACATATTTCTGATATCTGACGCCATTCCTTCATCTACTTCACCAGCATATGTTAGGAATGCATGGTATGACATATCATTTCTCAAACATGGAGCAGCCTAAAATATTGTAAAAACATTACCAATCAGAGCATTCAAATGACCAAATGTTGTCAACTGGTTTCAATTACAAAAATGCAACGATTTGTTGTAGTATTTGATGCCGAATGCTCAACCTTGAATCATAGAAATAGCACTATTACAAAACAATATGCTATGACTCCTTGTGACATAATTGACATTTGAATGATTGAAATGTAGCTTTGTGTGCATGTACAAGTATGGTTGCTTACCTGGTACCCAACAGGAACATCTACCTTGCCATCATTTGATGTATCAACTTCCATCTCAGTTTCTCTTGCAACATCCTCCTTAACACAATCATCTTCATCTTTCTTGATTTTCTGAAGTAGAATATCACAGAGGTCTCCATCACCTGTGATATGAATCAGCTCTACCATTGCTTGTTGCTCATCAGTGAATGTGTTCCTGATGATGTTCTTCAGCATTTGATAGAAAATCTTAATCTGCACCTCACGATCAATAGCTAAGAAGGTTGTCAATCTCACATTGTCTTCCATTTCCTTTAGCGGCTGTAGAACAGTTGCATATTCCACAATGCACTGGTATACCTGGGAATTAATGACATCAAAGAATTACTATACTAGAATAGTAGTACATGTAGAAATGAACAGATATTTTAACTAAATTCAGTACAAAGTAAAAAGCCTCTATCTGATCAACTCTCAATGTGAATGGTTTTTGGTTCATTTTTCAATCTGCCATAGATCTATCATTACCATGTTAAAACCTTGGACAATCTGGACACTTTTGGACAGTCCCAGTGCTGTTTGGATTAGACAAGTTTTTGTACATTTACAGTAGTAATGACACAATTTCTTCTACCCAAGACAAAAACATACCTTTGAACCATCCTCTATGGTATAGATTGTATTCAAATATGGCCTTTCAGTTCCTCCTCTCATCACTGTTGTTTTCAGTTTGTCACTTTTCTTGTCACGTACATTGACTCTATCATTAACATCGGCAATGCTGCTTGGTAGTATTCCAGACTCTGGTACCAGGATGTAGATTTTACGAGGCATGTATGTGATTTGCTGTTTTTCACGAGTTGCTAGGTACTTTTCTATACGCCCTTTCATATCTAAAGAGAAACATAAACACACATTCAAACATGGCCATGCTGTATCAGAATCTCTCATCCAATCAGGTTGCAGTATAGCCATTCTATAATTCTCGACTGTTCAATATGGAATCTGCACGTGCATGGGAATCTGTGTATTGTGTTGTACAATGTATCGTGAAGTCACATTCAAGGCAAGGCCAATGACAAATTTTGATGCAAAAATGACTGCAAGCTGGTTATTTCAGTCCCTAATTCTTTGGACAATGTTTCATGTTTGAATTGGAATTGATAATGATAGGCCATTCAATACGGTGAAATTCTATACTCCTTGGACAGAATGTCAATATAAATACACCCACCTTTGGTTCATGCTTTATATGATATTCTGTCCAACTCATGCTAAATTTCACTATATTGAATGACCTATTATTATTTATTCCTTAAACAAAACATAATGGAAGATATATGTTAAACATTTCAAATCAAACCTTTAAACATAATTATTTCAAATGTACCTAGCCTTCCCCCCTCAGGTCCTTGTGGAGGTACAATGATGTTAAGATAGGAGTAAAAGTAACTCCAAGCCATGCCAAACCCAACATCATTCCCATTTAAGCCAATTTCCAAAGGTTGTGATTCTGAAAATAGAAGACACTTTCAGGCACTCAGTTTTAGTACAGTACGTTGATTTAAAGAAACAAGTAAATCACAACCTAACTGAAGATATTAGTACAATAACGTCATTTCTAAGGGCAATATAGTGAAATATTAGACCGAGGGCCGAAGGCCCAAGGTCCAATATTTCACTATGTTGCTCGCAGAAATGACGTTATTAGTTTATTACCACCGTTAACGACCAGGGCTGAAATAGCAAGAAAATCTTACGCACTGAACGATATCTAATTTCCCAGGGAAAAATTGCTGGTCCAGAATATATTCTAGACCGGTCCATATGGACCACCACTATGACGTCACACATTTCTCAGTTCGATATAGTAAAATGAATGCCTTCTAAACTAGCACTAAAACCCCTAGAAATGGCAATGTGGTAATAATATGAAATAGACTGACCTGCTCAGTTCATGTGTGACTAAAATACCTGTAGGCTACAAGTGAAATTGGTTCCAGTAATTGAGGTTTTAAAAAGTTGTGACAACTTTTCTATTTTTTTTTTATGTTTTGGCAAATGCAAGCAAACAAGGTTATTTCATTAAGCTTTTTGGAGATGTCCAAAATTTGCATATATGTATCGACCAAGATGTTCAGATTTTGACCAAAGTGTTTACAATTTGTAGTAGGAAGGTGTTCAACATTTGTCAGTCACTCATTTTAGATGTTCCCAGCTTGACAGACACGATACTAGCTGTGAAACTTTGTCTCCATTTCCAAAGGATAAGGTCACCATTTAACTGAAATGATCAGTTATATTCTGTAGTAATGTCAACAAACCCAGTGCCGTAGAACGGATCACTTGGATAGGATGTTATAAAATTACCTCTTATGCAGTATTTTACTTTATCAATCCACGGAACCTTTCTGTCATTGTAATCTATGTCTTGAACCCAGCGAAGTGAAGGTGGAACCCTCTCTCTTGGTACACCATTACGCAGTACAATTACATACTGAATCTTTTCATTGAGCATTCGTCTTATGCCTTCATTAGCTTCATATCTAGGAAAACTTTTTTCAAGTGAGTTCTCTGTTAGGAGGAATACCATGCGGAGTGACTCATCAATTTTAGTTGCGATGTTTCTCAGAACTGTAAACCTAGCATCAAAATCCTCTTTGTAGATCATCACCTGGTACTTTTCAGCTTCTAATGTTTCTTTTACTGTTTTGGCCAAGTCCTCATCTTCGGAAGCATGTGCCAGATACACATTATACTTTATTTGAAGGGGTATTCCAACTGTTTTTGCAGTTCTAGACATGGTAGCTAAGCCTACAATAACAAAAATAATATGATGGTGGCATCAATTATCAATTACTTCATTGATATATTGATTGGGTAAAATTGTATTGAAAATCTCATTTCATTTGAATATTCAGTAGCATACGTTTTTATACTTTTAAAAGTAGGTCACTAAAACTTACATTTTGTACTATGAAGAAAAATTTTAACCTTTAAGTATACCTAGATACATTTGTGTTATGTACTCTTTGGGCAAAATTGAAAGATGTAGATCTTGTATGAAATGAAGTATGAATTATTGAAATGCAGAAATACCAATTCTGTAAAAATTAGTTTCATTTTGAATTAAGATTGGTCTTAGATCTAGTTTTATGAATGACACCATAAGAATGTCATTCTTGATTATTTAATCAATATCAATGTTCATGTAAAGTAGAATAATGATAAAATTATACTCAATTATACCCAAATACTTACCTTTTGTTAGAATAGTATAATAATATACTAAGCTAAAAAATGAATTTTTTGTCTAAAATGGGGAATCCCCTGTATGATTGTTTGAAGTGGGGAATCTGCCGTATTATTCATGATAACACTATTGCTGAATTCCTCATATTGGAATTTGCACTTAAAAAGAAGTTCTAAATAATATTACATATCAATGGTTAATGTAAAGCAACATAGATAGTTGTATAGGTATTTATTGAGTAAAACTACAGGGATAAAGTCACTGTCATTCATTGTTGCAATTTGAGTGTCACGTGAGACTAAAATATGTAAGGACGAACATGATTACTGCAAGAGTACACGTTTATGTTAATTTTTGAGAGCAATAACTATATCATTATATTTTATTTTGCTGAGTGGTAGGCTGAAAGTGGCATGTGTGTATGTCATTATACATTACAGAACAATTGCCCATTTAGGAGGGGTTCTCTGGGTCTCGCTTTTAGTGTTGATGTTACATTTCAAAACATACCTATTATGTATCCATGTATTGCTTACCTTAATGGTAGTACACAAAATACATTTATACAACACAAAACCTGGGCAATATGTCGTATATGTATATGTTGAAAGGCAGTTCATACTTTGTTTGATAACCTCTTATTTGTCATAGACTTTTTCAAAGAATATGGGACTAGGATTAAGAAAACTTTCATTATGAGAGTTTTGTTCTGTTTGTAGCTGAAGCATTATTTCTTTGGTTCTTAATGGATTTTTGGGCTTATTTGGCGCGTTCTTAGCGATTTTAGGATCAAAATATATGATTAATTTCAATTTAAACTTTTTGTCTTGACCCTCAATAGTACACGGCTGCGCATTCTGTGTATATGTAGCCACGCCCATGCATTATTACCATTTACCAATGTTGGTTATGTATTTTTATTACAGGTGGTTATACAGAGATGGGCTCCTGCCAGCGCAGACATATTTTGTGGGGTATGCTAGGTCAAAACTTACCATGGAGGATGTCAGGAAGAAATGTACCCCTTGGTTGAAGGTATGTAATGATATATGGTTATATTCTGTAGGGATTGTGTATATGTAGTAAAACCTGTCTGATACAAATGCTATTGAGATTGGCAAAAATTGTTTGGCTAAGCAGGTGTCCACATTTCGAGGTCTCTTTTTATGGGAGTCAATGCATCTTCGTTCACTCAGCTCCCGTCGGTCGATGAACGCAGTGAAGACCGAGCGCGCGAAGATGGAGTCAATGGGAGATGGAACTGAGAAAGTGTTCACATTGAGCTGTGTACAGATAAGAGAGGTTTTCAGGCTTTGTGGAATATCGCTTGTAATATAAAATGTGTGGGTATACTTCTCAATAAAATGACATTTTTGTTTTTTGTTCTGTTATATCACACCATATGATCCTTGACATTATTATGTCATGTGTTGAAACATTAATACATATATTTAAAACTATCCAAGTTTTATTCCCATAATAAAATTAACATTCAGTATACCAGGTGTTCCAAAATTATGTACCCAAATGAAACGAGAATAGCTCTTTTCCTTTATCGAAATTGGGTGATGGTGCTGAAAGATTTTAAAGAAGCTTTTGTTTCAAACCAAAATGACTTACTCGGTGAAACTTTAATGGTTATGATAGTTGAATTGTCAGTCAAATGACCAAATTTTCAGAATATTTCTTCACTCAAAAAAATTATTTAACTTTTTGAACACCAAATATGGCAAAATGGGGGATGGTACTAAATCAAGCTCTTCTCGAACACTAAATAGAGTTAACAAATGATCTGATCTGTATGTTTGTTTAATTATCCTTAATTAATACACCTTAATCACTCACAGAGTTACTTCATGTTTGTCATGGCACAATTTTTTGGGACACCCTGTATAAATATAAATCAATTGTTACAACAATAACCAATCGGATACAACATTTAAAATGTAACTAAGTTTGAAATAAATAATACCAAAAGCAAAATAATGATTTAACCACAATAGGGCTATGTACTTCTAACCTTCATACACTCATATAAGCTTCAGAATCACTTTCGTCAGTGAAGCAAGTCTTAAAGACTAGGCTTGTTCAGATTGAGATCCTTCCAAATTTCTTCCATCATATAAGCAGTTGCATTGTCTGAATACAGATGAGTAAAGATTGGATTGTAAGTGTGTATCAATTCCTTCAATTTGGTCTTGTTGTATGACTTCCCCAACTGCCTGTCCTCGTTGTCCCTTTCCCGCCAACCTGATTCACGCATTGGGATGTCAAGCATTGCCAGTAGAATGCCAATATAAGAATCATCAGAGAATGTCATGGGAGTTTTGCATACAAGTTTGTATAAATCAGTGGCAACATCGACACTAACAACAATTGCAAATCCGAGCAAATAGTCTGGTATGTAGGGATAAGCAGTCCAGTTCAATGAAGGTTCTGAGAAAATTCCGTTTTTCCCCTTTGTCACTACTTTTCCAATATTTGTATTAATTCCCCCAAATGCCAACTTCTTCACTTCCCGTATCGGTTGTAGAGTTTTTATCAAATTTGGCATATGAACAACAACATCATCTGTTAAACATAGAACTAGAGATGCTTTTTGACACATTTCTAAAACCCATTTTAGACCTTGAAATCTTTTCTTTGTCATACCACGATATGAATCATCAGTATCAATTTGCAAGATATCTCCATAGAGATCAGCCTCTCTTTGAATACGGCTCTGTATCGAGGCTGTTTCTGTCCGTCCAATCAAGAAGACAAGTAGATGTGAATATCCATATACATTCTGGAATATTCCTAAAGTTTTTCTCATCGCCATACGTGATTCATAAGCTGACCAAGATGATGCTATCATACTTATGATGTCTGCTGAATTGTACTCATCTCTAGTTGGACAGATTATCTCACCTATAGAGTCTAAATAGGTGTTGTTGTATTTGGAGAACTCAAAGAAAGGTTGTGGTATCTTTTGCTCCATATAGTTTTGTTTTTCGACAATTTTTGGAAAACCTTTAGGCCAGTTTGCATTCACATCATGACAGAAATGTCTCCGCCTGATATCTTTCAGTTGTGGTATATTTTTCATTTGTGAGCGTCCAAAGTTAAGATTATGTTGTGTTACATTGCTTCGAGGCATTTTGTACTTAATCATGAGTACAAAACAAGATATGATGCAGAGCGAAAAAGCAAGGCATTTCCTCTGCCTCATTATTGATCTAATGTTGATTGCCATTTGAAATATGTATGAGATTTGTTGGTGGTGTGATTTGGGTGTCGTATTTGGTACTGATTTGAGAGGTCAAACACCCACCAGTTCAAACAGTGGTGATGTTTACTATAATTTAAGTTTTGCTGTTGACGGCCTGCCAGTAAAGGTATGCCTTTTCTTGCTCGCTGAGTTTGCCAGGTTATGTAACTAGCTCTGTTGTATGAAGAACCTGAAAGCGATATAAATTCCAAATCATTTAAATGGTCAGTGTCTGTAAATTTAATTCTAAAATAGATGTCATGGGCAAAAGACCAAGCGCTATTCAAAAAAGAATATCTAATATGGCCACACAATTCAAAATGGCGACCATTTTGTGTACAAAATGTAATCTTTAATAATTTAAATATTAGTCAACAAATTTTGTTGAAATTTTATATGCCGATGCCGATGCCTTAGGAACATAAAACTGTAAACTCTCCAAATACAATCCATATCATTTTTGTAAAAATATGCTGTTACTCTATTCTGATGTTGCAAATAAGCCATTCTTGGCAAAAAAGTTTGCCATACATGAACTTCCCTGGAATTTTTACTTCTTTTATATATGGACGGTTATTTTGATGACTTCCTAATTGGAGTCCTATGTTATTTCAGGACACATACAGTAAAACTTGTATATATGAGCACCTGGCTAAATTGAACACCTTCCAATCTGAACACATTTTTCAGTCACGTCTTTTCCTCCCCCTGACTCCCATTTAAGAAACCTTGACATGTGAACACCTCCCAATCTGAACAATGAACATTGAAAAATCAACCTGTCTAATCTGAACACTTCAAAAAATATCCCATGTTTCTAACAAAATTGCTCTAATATATAGTAAAAAGTTAAACGAATAAAGAATTATATATCAATATAAAAGCATGAGTGTATGTACTAACCCATACACATAATGCACGAAGACGAAGCCTGAGTGCACTATCAGAATGGGTTAGTGCATACACATCTTGTGAGAAGATCTGTTTTGTAAAATATATAAAAAAACGAGAAAATTCAGTAAAAAATTTTGTGCATAAATGCACTCTTTGTGCAAAACTGGAAAATATAGACAATGTGGGGAAGGAGTGATTCTTGTTTGAAAAATAATATGTGACTCAATTGAGGAATGCAGAAAACTTCCCATCATGCACCCTGACCTTAAAGTTTCCGAGAAGACAGAATATTGTGAATATTATGAATGGGTCACTTGGATACAGTATGAACATAAAATTTCAAATAGAACCTTAAGGTTCAGCTGGAAAGTAACATTTTGGTAAGAAATTGCTATACCTGCATATGTTATTTTCTGGTACAAAATTGAGTATGAAGGCATGTGTGTATTTCCTTGCTTTTTTCAAGAAAGTATCATTACATTGTCTAGTTTTAGTAAACCAAAATTTGAAAAAATAGAAAGTGTGAAATATCAGAATTTCCTGGAGTTCCCATTGACCTCTTACCAGATATACTAAAAGAAGACAATGTAATGGTACTTTATTGAAAAAAGCAAGGAAATTATGCCTTCATACTTTATAGTGTACCAGAAAATAACATGTGCAGGTATAACAATTTTTTACCAAAATGTTATTTTCCAGCTGTACCTCAACTCTTAACAAGAAAATTCACTGTATTCACTGTAAATGTAACTATAAAAACTCAAAAGTATATTGTTGAAATAAAGTCAGAACTCTTTGAAGACAGTTTGTCAGGGTTTCAAACTGCGTGCATAGTATGCGCGCAGTTTGGATACCGCACTGTGAAGTATACATGCTGAGCCAAATTTTCAAAAACCAAAAAATCATAACAACAATCAAAAATACCTTTAGCTTGTCTCTATCCCGCGCTACTCCTTTTATTTCCAAAAACAAATATTATATTTCCCCGTTGTATTCTGGCTGTAATTTCTTGATAAATGTCCTTTGCCAAACTGAAAAACTAAACAAATTGAGTGCAGACTGGCTTATGATTGCAGCAACAAAATCATACCATAGCAATACTATGGTGATTAGCTATACTGTACATGTAATATAAAACTTGGCACAGCAACAGCTTTTTTCACCACATGCACACACGTAAATGGTATAAGGCCAAGAAAAAGTATTGTTATTACTTGTCTGTATTGTTTGGCATGAGACACACTTGGCTGATTTTGTTTCGAAATGGTTATATTTGTTCTTTTTAAAAATTGATAAAACAAAACTACATATGCCAGTTATGAAAATAAATGTGTGATAATTTCTCTCTTCAATATATTACAATAATTACTTAATAGTATATTGAATGGTTCGTTATATATTGCATATGACTGATATCACATGTCTGTAAGCATCTAAGCAATTTAATTTGATTGGTAAGTCAGGCCCGTAGCCAGGATTTGCCAAGGGGGGGGGGGGGGTTCAGTTTTCAAAAATTTCCAGGGGGGTTCACATTTGACAATTTTGGCCCAAATATGGCTAAAATCACAAGAGAAGTGCTCAAAATGGTGAAAAACTGCATGATTTTGGAAGAATTTTTGGCCAGGGGGGGGGGGTTGCCCGAACCCTGCGAACCCCCCCCCCTGGCTACGGGCCTGGTAAGTTGTGATGATGTATATTTTGTATCACATGTCCTTCATTTTAAGAAATATGATTGACTGTATCACTATGATGTGATATGACTGGCTTATGACTGTGAAATCTGAAATCTGGTTGATATCAAAAAGGGCTTAAATCCTTAAATATATACAAGTATAACTATGGCTACTAAAATTAATCCCAATCTGGAGATAAGTAGAACAGGCCTTTGATCAATCAGTTGACCTACTTTCATTAAAAGACCAATGTGATAAAATCATCATCACACGTTTCATCTTATGTGATACAGGAAATGTTCCCCTCGGTATTCATGTATCAAGACTCTAGGTTAATTCTGGATGTCACCTTTTGTGGAATATTTCCTTTACCACATGCTGAAACATACAATAGCAATAATGGATATTATTATATCACTGTCATATTCCTCACTCTCTGATTGGTCTTTTTTCTACATCTTACTAAAAATAACAAGCATTATTATATCACTATCTAGCTAGCGACAGTATGCTTGGTCAAAACCGGGTCACATGTCGTGGGATATCTGGCGATATTCAATGGCAATGCTAATCAGATAAGACAACCGTGAGATATCTAGCGATATCCCACGCTCCCGGGAATTTTCAAAGAATTTGTTTTCGTTCAGTGTAAATAATTAAGTTCAGTGTAAGTCAAAATGGCAGACGAACCGAGTAGATTCAATGTATTTCAATGTTAACCTATGACTTAATAATATTAGGGATGTTTAGCTAGACAGTGATATAAGACAGTACATTGATCCTCCAGATTTCATTAATATCACTTGTGAAAGATGCACAGGTATTCACCTCAATAGAATTAGATATTTGTAGAATATCACTGCTAAATTGAAAAATTACATCATTTTGCCATCTATGCATAGAATTGACATTTTCATTTTCCAGACCTGGTCAACTCTCAATTTTCTTGAATTTTAGCTAACTGGCTTAAGTGACCAGAAACGAGACTTTTTTTCTTGGCCTAAAGTTTTGAATTGAAAGCATTTCACCTTGCACTTTGCATTGATGTCAAACCACTTCGTATGTCTTCAATAGACATATTATTTAATTTACCCTTATTATATAACTGACCTTCATATGTTAGTTTGCTAGATTTGTTAACATGAATTCTGTCACGCACTACGAGACAGAATAATATTAGTATGAGGAGCAATATAAGGACAGTGTATAACCTATACAGCAGTCACGGTCACTGCATTGGTTCCTGCAGTAATCACTGAACCCACCAACTGTGAAAATGTGATCTATGGAATGACAATAGGGAGGTTAAAATAGATGTTTTTTAAAACTTGTACAGTGATATATATAATTATGGTCCTCTTTGGATTAGTTCTCCAATTTGTACTGTTTATTTGGCAGATTCAGTGTAAAGGTATATGGAAATTTATTGTAATTAGTATCCCTGGGGTGGAAATATTACATTTAGTATGAAAAGAATATACATTACCAAGTTTGTGGCAGTGCTTGGTGGTTGGTGTTTGGAGATTGGTGTTTGGCATCTGTAACAAACGGCAAATGGTGACATTTTTGCATGTTATGCCTTGCTTGAATTTTGTATCTTTATAATTTATCTAAAACCAAGTAGACATCAAATCTTCCTTGTAATTCAATTTTCTAATGAGCTAAAATTTGTCTTAGATCACATGACCTCATTTCAAAAATCTGCCACAAGTTAATTTGAATTTTTGACCTACCAGATGTTTGAAAATCAAGGACCTGGTAGGTCAAAAATTCAAATTAACGGTCGAAGTTAGTATCGCGTGAATAAACAAAATAAGTAATTATCCAAAATTAGTAATTATCAAAAATAAGTCACTTAAGTCGAATCTTAATGGTGACACTATTCAAAAATTAGCACTCAAATAAAGTATGAAGACATGGGTTTACTTTAGTCTACTTCATTTCGAGAAATCATCTGTGTGGTATCTTGTGAAGGGTGAAGTAGATATGAATATTTAAGGATTTAAGCCCTGGAGTCATCGCATTGTGGAATGACCATTGAATGACCATCTGACTTTAGATTTGAGATTTCTTTCCTAAGGTCAAAAGGGGTCAAAAAGGTCTTCTTTTCAACTTGCTTCAAATTGACCATTTTTTTTCAAATCATCTAGAAGTTCTCTTAAGTTCAAAGCTGACTATAGATTTGAGATTTGACCTTCTCAAGGCCAAAAAGGATTTGACCTTCAATGACATTTTCAAGGTCAAAAAGGGGCAAATTCTTTTTTCAAAATCATCTATGAATTCTCAGATGTTCTAATCTGAATTTAGATTTGAGATTTTACTTTCAACAACCTAAAAACAATTTTAAAGGAAAAATTGACCTACATTTCTAAGATTGCAGGGGGTACTGTAATATTATTTCATAACATAAAAGATATCTGATTTTTAGAGCACATGTCGCTAGTACAGAGATGATTTTTATGCTATGGACACCCTATATTGTTGATGCAGCTGCTAAAATTATCTAATTGCTTGATATAAATAAACATCAAAACAAAAACATCAATACAGGAGGACAAATTAAAAAATAAATTCTTAACTTTCAGGTACAAGATGATGAAAAAGAAAAATTTGAGGCATTCATGAAATTAAACTCTTACATCTCGGGGACATATGATCAGGCTGCATCGTTTATGCAACTTAACAAAGAAATACTGAGACTAGAAGGAGGCAAGGCAGCAAATCGACTGTTCTATTTGGCCCTACCACCTTCGGTGTATAAATCTGTTACTTTGAATCTAAAGGCAACATGCATGGCAACAAAGTAAGAAACCACTTATGTATTCTATTAAAACGATAATTTGACTTTTAAGAGATAACAATTGTATAATCTAACAATTGTATAATCTCCATTATGATGTATTATTGTAATAAGTTTTTATAGGTAGACAATAAGCTTAGGTAATATAATACTAAATATTTCTTTCAAACATTTAAGTTTGAATTTACCGTAAAGATATACATGTACATGTAGGTGAAATAGAATCCTTTAGAATGTTTGTAATGAATATTAATGCTATATGTATATATGTTATTTATGAATGATGAAGTAAAAACTTACATTTCAGTGATGCTTGGACTCGTGTTATTGTGGAGAAACCATTTGGGAAAGATTACGACTCATCAGAAGATTTAGCCAATCACCTGTCTGCATTATTCCAGGAAGACCAGCTCTATAGAATTGACCATTATTTGGGAAAAGAAATGGTGCAGAATCTTGTGGTTCTCAGGTTTGTGATAGAAAAACAGGAATAAAATGGTTACAGAAATAAAGGGTCAGTGGGACAAAAATAGTGATGGCTGAGTGAGTTGAATGCAAAGTGAGCTAAAATATCATCTGGGGGTCATTAACAGAAACTTCATGAAATTACAAATTCTTAGATTAATTGTTGTAACCATGGATGTAATAATGTCACAGTTAGAGAACAATGGACTTTACGAATTCTTCACTTTACGAAGTTTCTGTTAATGACCCCCTTGACATCACATTATATGAATTCTATTGATTGGGAATGGAGATCGAACTTTAGCCAATTGTCTTAGATTTGATATTGTTTATTCAGCTTGACAAAATAATATTCATATCTGTATTTATATTACATCATATGTAAATCATTCTGTATCAGCACTTCCATATCATATTTGTGTTCATAATAATGAAAAGTATCCTTTTTTAGGTTTGGTAACCGTATCTTTGGTCCAATATGGAATCGCGATAACATTGCAGCAGTGACAATCTCATTTAAAGAACCATTTGGCACACAAGGTCGTGGCGGCTATTTTGACGAATTTGGCATCATCCGTGATGTCATGCAGAACCACCTACTTCAAATTCTCTGCCTTACAGCTATGGAAAAACCCGCAAGTACACGGGCTGAGGACATTCGAGATGAAAAAGTCAAAGTTCTACGAGTTATAAAACCAGTGAACTTGGATGATGTTGTTCTAGGACAATATGTAGGGAACCCCCAGGGGGAGGGGGATGCCAAAGAGGGATATTTAGATGATCCTACAGTCCCGAAAGGTGATTATGGCTATTTATAGATATTCAATTAATTACATTTACATAAATGCTACTCATCGAAATATTATAATTATTGTAGTATTATCGGTTAAATTGTTAACAAAACAAATTATGCCTGTGTGTCATATTAATGCAAAATTGGAACAAAAGGAAATTCACGTTGTTTTGAACTGATACCACAGTGTCATTGTATGGAGCATATCCTTGACATTCCATAACATCAAAAAGGAATATACCACCTCCGTTGAATCAGCATCTGTAAATTATCTGAGTAAAGTTAGAGATTAAAAATGAATAAATAAACTAAACTGTCACCAAAGTTTTTAAACTTTGGCAGTTATTGAACTGTGTATTTTAAATTTATAAAGTTTCAATAAAAAGAAAAAAAACGAATTCAGATTTAAAAAGTTTGTTAAACTTTATTTTGTTGCAGATTCTGTGACTCCAACATATGTCCTGGCAGTGTTGTACATCAGAAATGAGAGATGGGATGGTGTGCCATTTATACTCAGATGTGGGAAAGGTAGGTACCTTTAAATTATTGCATGAATTAGTACATGTACTTCTTAGTTACCCTATTATTTTATGGGTGTGAGCTATGTCTATGTGTTTTAATTATCCCAACGAACGAAGTTCGTTAGGGATATAGTGAAGCCCTCCGTCCGTCCGTCCGTCCGTCCGTCCGTCCGTCCGTCCGTCCGTCCGTCCGTCCGTCCGTCCGTCCGTCCGTCTGTCCGTTAGTCCGTCAGTCAGTCAGTCAGTCAGTCAGTCAGTCAGTCAGTAGAGTCCGTCCGTAATTAATATTATTGTTTGAAATTTTGGTAGTGTATTCACAACATTTATCTCTTTCAGATATATTCCGTGTTTTTCATCCTGACCCCCAGGGGCCATGTATGGGGGGACAGGAAAACAGAAATTTTCGCTAATTTTTAGATCTTTCTGAAGTAAAGCTTTATTATACTCAAATGAAAGGCAATTAAGAGTAGATTGCAAATATTGTATCTTTTTTCTGATTCGAGCCTCGTAAAATTCAAAATGGCTGTCTAATGTACGATTTCGCAATAATTTTTCGATCCCTTCAAAGTATGGCTATATTATACTCAAATTGAAGGAATTTTGGAGTAGATCACAATTATGGTATTATTTTTCAGATTTGTACCTCAGAAAATTCAAAATGGCTGCTTTGCAGGAATTAGCAATTCTAAAATCTAATTTTTTCATTTTCAACCAAAGTAATGAGTATAATTGATTGGAATTCGGTAATTGATATTTTGTTCGTTGGGATTTGCTACTCCGCGGAGTTGCCATTATTTGCATAATGGAAACCTTGTGACTTTGCATATCAATAGTTTTTATATCAATTATAAAGATTATGCATGATATGCTGTTTCACATATTTATACTTTTTTCCCATATTTATTTTTTCACATTTTCTTATTCCACATTTCCCCGTTTCACATTGCAGCTTTAAATGAGAGGAAGGCTTAGGTAAGGGTGCAGTTCAGAGATGTCCTGGGGGATATTTTCCATATTTTTGTTTCACATTTTCTTATTTCACATTTCCCCGTTCTACATTGCAGCCTTAAATGAGAGGAAGGCTTGATAAGGTTGCAGTTCAGAGATGTCCCGGTTGATATTTCCCATAATTAGTGTTTCACATTTCCCTATTTCACATTGCAGCCTTAAATGAGAGGAAGGCTGAGGTAAGGGTGCAGTTCAGAGATGTCCTGGGTGATATTTTCCATATTTATTGTTTCACATTTTCTAATTTCACATTTCCCTGTTTTACATTGCAGCTTTAAATGAGAGGAAGGCTGAGTTAAGGTTGCTGTTCAGAGATGTCCCGGTAACCGGGTTGATATTTCCCATAATTAGTGTTTCACATTTCCCTGTTTCACATTGCAGCCTTAAATGAGAGGAAGGCTGAGGTAAGGGTGCAGTTCAGAGATGTCCCAGGTGATATTTTTAATGAGGGAGAAATCCAGCGCAATGAGCTTGTTCTCAGAGTGCAACCAGGTGAGGCTGTTTACATGAAGATGATGACAAAGAAGCCAGGAATGAACATAAGACCAGAGGAGACAGAACTAGATCTGACATACAATAGCAGATACACAGTAAGTATTACTAATCTAGTAATGTGTGATGCCACTGGCGTCAGAAAGGGGGTTGCGTTGGGTGAGAACGCACCACTCTCTGAAACTTCCCAGATATTTATTTTGATGATATTCCTGTGAAACTTTAAAAATGCTGTTTTTTTATCAGAAAACAATTATATATAAACACTCAGATTGCACCAAATAAGATAAGCTGCCTTCGACCATGCAATCACTTACTGCGCCACCTATATTTTCTGGAAAATGTTTTAAAAGCTCTGAGAACTATGAGAGGTCAATGTAACCTCCTAGTGTCATGTAGCTTGCAAATATTGTTAGTCATTTTGACAATGATGTTTGAACTTTGCATTATTCATTGTTCTCTCTCTTGCACATCGGGCAAACCCCTCCCACCTGGCCAAAAATTCTTTCAAAATTATGCAGTTTTTCACCATTTTGAACACTTCTCAAATGAATTTAGCCATATTTGGGCCAAAATTGTCAAATGTGAAACCCCCTGGAAATTTTTGAAAACTGACCCCCCCCTTTGCAAATCCTGGCTTTGGGCCTGACATCTATGCAATCCATGCACTTCATATTTTCTATTTTCAACAAATGAATCCATGAATCTTTGGTCAAAACCGAACTGGTTTAATTGTAGGATGTTAAAATGCCTGATGCATATGAGCGCCTTATCCTAGATGTGTTTTGCGGGAGTCAGATGCATTTTGTGCGTACAGATGAATTACGTGAAGCTTGGAGAATCTTCACACCACTACTGCACAGAATTGAACGGGAACATGTTAAACCTTACAATTATGTATATGGCAGGTATGTACTGTATATTACTGGAGTTGTTATTTGAGAAATATCAAATTAGAGAGCAACAAGGTACAGTAAAGGGACACTGAGAGCAGAAATGTTACTATCTTGAATAAAATCCCTGTGCTGTCCCTTCCCCTCAACTATTCTAAAAGTTCAGTGTAAGGTTGGAAATGTGAAAGAAAAATGTGAAAAATGTGAAAGGAAGACAATGAAGAGACTTGATTCAAGTTTATAACTTAAAGGCAAAAATCATACCAGAAGTTCTCATTAATAAGACAATATCAATATATTTTCTATTTTGACTCTTTTTACTGTCCCATTGTATATACATGTATATAATAATAAATCATAACCTCTTGATCAATTAAGATGTTGTACTTTAGCATTGATAGTTGTAGTGTATTGCATGTAATTTAGTCATTGTGTGTACACTTCTTTATTCTCACTAAGCAATGGGTCACACTTGTTCATCATATATAGTCTAACACTAATTATGTCACCACCACAAGTGTTGACATATTTTCATGGTCTCCAGCTTTTTTGGACAGTGTTTGGTGTTTGGCATCCGGTGTCTGTAACAAATGGTAGGTGGGGACATATTGCATGTTAATGCCTTGTATAATTTTTTTCAACAGCATGTGAATATTTTGTTTTTCATTTTAGTGTATCTGTTTTACATGTATGTTATGTGTTATTTATAGTCGAGGTCCCGAGGCTGCTGACGAGTTGCAAGTAAAGAGGGGGTTCAAGTATACCGGCACTTATAAATGGTCTAAAGTTTAAATGTATGTTAAATCCAGTAAATGTTTCCACTTGTAATGTACTATGCCATACTGTACTGTGTTGTACTGTACTCTACTGCATTGGACTGCACTGTACTGCACTCTACTGTACTGTACTGTGCTGTACTGTACTATATTGTCACTGTTCACCAAAGGATGGGGATTTTATATACTTTCTTGTTTTTGCACTGTTCTTGTAAGTTTTATGTTTAGTTATGGAATTATTTTTTAACAGTTACATGCTACTGCTGCAGCTGCCTCTGTATATGAAGCCATTTATATATGAATCCTAACTGACCTTTTAGGACCACCCATTGACCCATTTCAGTGATCTCACTAGGATTATCCTCAGCATTCTATCAACTCTAGTTATGAAATGACAAATACTGTACTGTATGATCAAAGATATACTATATTTGGATTAAGCTGTTTCTTTAATGCTGAGGAGATCACTGCATTCCTGCTTGATTCTAGATCCACTTAAAGCCTTCCTAAGCAATGATGTCCAAATAAGTTGGTGTTACTAAACTTGTTCATCAGTGTCACAATATAGGGTAGCGAATTTTTGGGTTGTTATTTTGTGCTACTTTTTAACTTGGACGAAAAATCTCTACCCTATATCATGGCATATATCAACTTATTAACCCAAACATTTTTAGCTTTTCACACCTTTAAGTTTGCATATTTAGAATTTTAGTTATGTAGCGTAGTTTGGTCGAGAAAACCCTCTGAACCTGCATGTAGCATATCTTTTCTTAGCATAGATGTGTAGCATAGAATCTGGTGGATGAGATATTGTATTTTACCTATGACCATATAGAGATTTAGATAAAAAAATCTTTCCACAACCAAACCATTCTTTGATTGGATTTATATAAGAAAGTCTATCCACCACCAAATCATTCTTTGATTGACCTTTTAGCTGTGTAGTTAGTGACTCCTTGTTCCCTTAGCCTTTCTACATGTACACCCCCTCCAAATATTTGGTAACCGGATGTTTTCATTCGATAGCATATCAAATTCTATCAATGTTTGAATGTTACTTTTGTTCCTTAATTATAAAAGTTTGGAAATATACCCAAAAATTGGTTATCTTTTTGATTTGTTGAAACTTTTTGATCCAAAAGGGGAGGTGCAGTTACCAAACTCATGAAGGGAGTGTACATCTTTTATGTTAAGGTGGGCTGAATGAAATGGCCATTGGACATGTATTATGTAGAATTAATATTCCACTCGGCCTACCTTAAACCACAATCATATACATGTACAACAAATGTATAACATCATTAATAAAAGTACACCGTTGCTCAAATATATGGAAAATTAGCCAGTATTTTATTTAAAGTATAACTAAAAAAAAAATTTTATTTGTTTAGAAGTCTGCAAAAATAATGTAATGAAAATGTCAAATTTCAGAATTTTATGCCAGCAAACTTTTCTGTAGAACATAATCATTTACAAGAAATTTAAGAGATAGTCTGATTCTAGTGAATTGATCACTGAAATGTTTTTAATTAAAATACCTCATTCACTGGAATAACACTGAAGATTGTCCTGTAGTAAATCAATGGTAAATGGACTAACTTCCCAGAGTTATGAGCAACGGTGTACAACTTAGGTATAACAGTACTATAAACACTTGTATATACAGTAAAACCTGTGTAAGTGAAACACTTTTAGTACCTCTAAAGTGTTCCACTTACAGAGGTTCATACAACATTAAGTCAGTTGGTCGGAATCTGAAAAGTGTTCCACTTACAGAGGTATTTCGCTTACACGTTTTACTGTATATGTATATTGTATACATATATAAGATGAATACATGTAGCCATATTAAAAGAATAGATAAATAAAGGTTCACTTGTATCTACTGATATAGTGACATACATTACCTAGCTATAGTTTTACTTCAGTCTTGGAAAAGACATGGCATAGCATGATCCCGGATGGACCCAGAAATATAAGAAATCTTTTCCGCTTCCTTTGTATCTCATGTTTTAATGCTAAATTCTACACTTAATTGATTTTGTTTTTTGGGTGGTTGGTAAAGGGTGTTTTGTTGTGTAATAAGTGTTGAATATTTTTATTAAAAAGAATCTAACTTAAAAAAGTTCAATTTATAAGGTTTAATGGGTCTATCAGATAATGAAATCAATTATGTGTTCATTTAGTGAAAAACTTTTGAAACGACCCTTTGTATGTAATTGAGGCTGTTAACACTTCAAAATTTTGTTTTTTCAGTCGAGGTCCCAATGAGGCAGATGACATGAGCAGGAAACACGGATTCAAGTATTCTGGGACTTACATCTGGAGAGAACCATCATATACTCTTCCTTTGTCATCACTATAGCAATACACAGATTATATCATGATCACGACAAGTGCTCTACTCATTCTCATTGTCCCCACAAGAATAATAAGTTTATATAAGGACAAATGCTTTACTCTAACAGTCCCCACAGCATGGTCAGTCATAGAATTGGCCAATGAATTTGAATTCTGTAACTAAAGATTGAATACTCCTATTAAAGGGATGTTTTTTGAAGTTTTTTTGGAAAGGTAAAATATAACTGACATTTTGGTATAAACATACCATATTAGCAAAGTAAAGTGTGTAGTACAACATAAAACAGGAAACAATGAAATTGAGTACTTTTTGGTTTCACAATCATGAAGCTATTCCTATTTTACAAAATATTCCCTCAAAGACCATTTACATAAATCCAAATAAAAAATTACAATCTTAAAACAAAAGAGCTAATCAATACCTAGATTTGCTAATATTAACTTTTACACTAACTAGGGAATGCTTCATGATTGTGAATGCACCATGGAGACTGTTGCCATGGAGACTGATTATACAAACTTTGATCAATTACTGTAATAACTTTATCAACAGATTTATGAAGTCTATAAACTCATAAATTATTTTGATATATTTCATATTTTTCTACTTAATATATATGAGAGCATTAAAACTGTAGCAGTAAGATATTTATGAAAATCGGAATTTAATTCTGACAAAAAGTTTATCCAGCTTGGCACATGTGGCATCCATTAACATATTGGGGAGGTTAAGCTTACACATAAAATTGAAAGGAAAATGTATGTGTTGAGCACACATATGATTACATACACAGTTGTCTCACTAAATACCCATTCAGCTTCAGTGATTATGTTAAGAATGGGATATCTGTTCTATATCTCAGTCAAATACATTCTGCATGTATGAGGTTGATACATTTTTAACAAGCTCCTCTAGTACCTAAAACAAACATGACATACATCACTTTCTTCAGAACATGTTCTACTGTGCATCGAAACCAAAATACCAGCATACTTTTCAAGTCATGAGATAATCATTCCCATAGACACCTACATGTATTTTCAAATTTCCTGTTCTAAACTTGGAAACACTGAAGTTGAACAGGTATTGAAGTGGTACAAAAGTATACACATTCCTATATTGACTTCCTATATTCATGTACACACCTAAATCTTTCCATTCACGTTTACATTGTGAAAGACAGTGCCAGCTTATCCTCTCATTATGTCACCGACATACTGTTACAGCCTCCAACTTTTAAATGGGCAGTGTTTGGTGGGCAGTATTTGGTGTCTGTAACAAATGGCAGGTGGTGACACTTTACATGTTAATGCCTTGTTGTAGATGGTGTGTGAATATAATGGAATTTTCACTTCAATTGTATTGAAATTGTAACGTGACTAGACAAGAGTTACACACAATGTATCTGCATTTGCCCATCTGATATGTCTGGATTTAACAGGAATTTAACATGAAGGCACTTTTAAGCATTAGGGAATAACATGTGCAATGGATTTTCTTGTGAGCACCTTATGTGCCTAAAAGTATGTTACTATAGCAACCAATGAGAAAACACAAAGGACAGGTTGATTTCAACATAGGAAGAAACTTGTTCATTACAACGGCTTCAATATTTGTATATTATGTAATAGATGAATTAAACACAATATTGAGATTATTGCAAAATGATTTGTGTAAAATATGACAATCTATTATATGTATTAATAATAAATGCTAAGCATTCTAACCAAACATGTATGTAGTCTGTTCTCTTGAGGTAGTGGTGGGGGGTACAAGTCAAATTTTTGTACAGGGGGTGCCGCTGTGACTCGAAATATCTACCCACATCTAGGGATTTTTTCTCTAAAAATGGACCCACATCTAGGGGTTTTCTTTCAAAAATAGAACCACTTCAAGGTAATTTTAAAAAAACAAGACCCACTTCCAGCGATTTTTTAGTGGCATGTCCCCACCCTATGCAGACAGAGCCTGTGGGAAATATTGGGTGCGGCGCAAATGAGCGGAGGGTGCGGAGCTAACGGTCATTTTTGAATTTAAAATTGGGATATTTCTGAAACTAAGCCGTTTTGGGACTTCAAATATACCAAGATATGTGTATTTGACACCAAATATCAATAAAATTGTGAAAATAGTAGTGCAATTCATTTTATAGCGACGCAGTATGCCTTAAACATTTCCCAGACCTATATATTTTGAGACTATCCTTTTAATACTGCGTCCCCAGCATTCATAAAAAATGGTGTTCAAGATACACTACCCATGCAAATTATTTTTGCATCTTGGAAGCCAGGCAGTATCTGTGTGATTTTATAAAAATTCGGAAATGTTCTTCAGATATGAGCCCCTCTAAATATTGGGTGCGGAGCTACGTTTATGGAGCTGCTCCGCACCCAATATTTAGAGGGGCTCATATCTGAAGAACATTTCCGAATTTTTATAAAATCACACAGATACTGCCTGGCTTCCAAGATGCAAAAATAATTTGTATAGATAGTGCACCTTGAACACCATTTTTATGAATGCTGGGGACTCAGTATTAAAAGGATAATTTCAAAATATATAGGTCTGGGAAAGGTTTAAGGCACACTGCGTCGCTATAGAATGAATTGCGCTACTATTTTCACAATTGTATTGATATTTGGTGTCAAATACACATATCTTGGTATATTTGAAGTCCCAAAACGGCTTAGTTTCAGAAATATCCCAAATTTAAATTCAAAAATAACCGTTAGCTCCGCACCCTCCGCTCATTTGCTCCGCACCCAATATTTCCCACAGGCTCTGTCTGCATAGGGTGGTCCCCATATAGCAAATATATGGGAGTAGGTCAAAGAAGCAGGATGGGGGGTTAAAGGTAACAGACTAACAGGAATATCAATTAGTTCAATGTTTTAATGATGAACTGCAGTACAGGTTTATTATAACAATTTGATCAAATGAATTTTATGGATTCCAATAAAGAAATTCTGGGAGTTGTCATCTTCGGACTGAATATAAGTGAACTTACTATTATGATCTTGGTGCATTTTGAAAGACTAGGACACTCGGATATGATGTAACAGTAGGCATGTAAATAAAAGCAATGACATTTCATGTGTATCTATGACACTTAGTATTAAGAATGTAATATTGTGGACACTAGAAGTAAAGTTATAGTGTCAAGCACTTGGGCATGGCAGGCTATCTAATATATTATTAAATATTGTACAAAACACAATGTTAGCAATTCATTTTCTTTTTTATTACCTTTTTATTAAATACTTTTTTTCATACTGCAATTTATTTGTCACAATCACCTTGAACATAAATGATCAGCTCAAAGTGGAACTGATATGATGAACTCAAAGTGGAGCTGAAATGATCAGCTCAAAGTGGAACTGATATGATCAGCTCAAAGTGGAGCTGAAATGATCAGCTCAAAGTGGAACTGATATGATCAGCTCAAAGTGGAGCTGAAATGATCAGCTCAAAGTGGAACTGAAATGATCAACTCAAAGTGGAGCTGAAATGATCAGCTCAAAGTGGAACTGATATGATCAGCTCAAAGTGGAGCTGAAATGATCAGCTCTAAGTGGAACTGAAATGATCAGCTCAAAGTGGAACTGATATGATTAACTCGAAGTGGAACTGAAATGATTAACTCAAAGTAGAGTTGAAACGATCAGCTCAAAGTCGAACTGAAATGATTAACTCAAAGTGGAGTTGAAATAATTAACTCAAAGCGGAGTTGAAATAATCAATTTAATGTGGAACTGATACAGACAAGCACCACTTTTAAATACAAACAAAAAAGAAAACAGCAATACTGATGCAAAGAGAGGAAAGCTTAACTTGAACATAATTAAAAGCCATTTTGGTTGTGAATTTAGATATAAAATAAAGTTGATGATGAAATTATCATAAACCAGTTCTAGAGAGAAAATTACCTGAATGAAATTTTCAATGAACTTTGGAATTGTCTCTCGGATATTATTCTAAGCCCACATAATGTAGAAATTCCACTATGACCTTTTATACGAACACAGTCCAATTAATAGATGAGATTCATACTGTGCTAATGTCTACATTTACAAATTACAAGATTCCAAAATAAAACTGAACTTCAAAATCTTTGAACACTGATATAAATACCAAGTCTGGTGTAATATTAATTCATTAGAAGTAGTGGTATTTTTAATTTTAATTGATGTTTTCAATATTTACAACAATTTCCATTTCAAAATTATCATACTTTTCCAAACATGCTTCATTTAAAGCCCTTCTTATATACATTCTGTACACATTTTAAAATAAAATACTTTGGATTCAAAATTATATACACCATATATATCTCATCTTTACCACATACCTTACCAGATAGCAGACATTTTAAGGGTCAAGGTCAAGATATCTATATACACCCCCATAAATTGTAATATTCATATTTGGATAGAACTGAATAAATGTACAATAGGAGTTTATTGACTTCTATAATTTTCTAAAGAAAAATTAGTACCGTGGGTACTGGGCTCACATGGTGTTGCTCAAAAGTGAAAATAAAAAAGACGGGTATAATTTTTTGCAGATTTTTTGTGACAAAATTATTTCATACAACTACTCTTTACAAAGACATGGCTTTTTACAATGCAGGACACCTGAACTTATTTGTAAAGCTAGGAAATGGGCCAAAAGTGAATTTCCCAGACAAAAATGGTGGCCATTTTGAAATTAAGCGAGATTTTGAAGCAGGAGTCACAGGTTTTTTTTCTTTATTGATGTTGAACAAAATTATTTTAACAGAGGTTTAAAACTTGCCACTTTTTTGGACTGACAGATGGTCGAATCAATGATAACTAAAATGGCTGAAAATAAAAAAAACTGATATAATATTTTGCCGATTTTTTGTAACAAAATTATTTCATACAACTACTCTTCACAGTGACATGGCTTTTTACAATGCAAGACAGCTGGAATTATTTGTAAAGCTAGGAAATGGGCCAAAAGTGAATTTCGCGAGACAAGAATGGTGACCATTTTGAAAATAGGCGAGCTTTTGAACCAAGAGTCATAGGAGATTTTTTTGTATTGATGTTGAACAAAATTAACTAAAAACAGGAATCCTATCGACAGAGGGTTTAAGGCAAATGGTCCAAAAGTGGATTTTGCGAGACAGATGGACAAATCAATGTTAACTAAAATGGCTGAAAATAAAAAAAAATGGATATAATTTTTTGCTGATTTTTCGTAACAAAATTATTTCATACATCTACTCTTTACATTGACATGGATTTTTACAATGTAGGACACTTGAAATTATTTGTAAAGCTAGGAAATAGGTCAAAAGTGAATTTCGCGAGACAAAAATGGCGGCCATTTTGAAAATAGGCGAGCTTTTGAGCCAGGAGTCCTAGGGGAGTTTTCTGTATTGATGTTGACAGAAATAACCTAAAACAGGAATCCTATCGACAGAGGTTTTAAAACGTGCCACTGTTGTTGACGGAAAAGTGGATTTCACAAGCCAGATGGACAAATCAATGTTAACTAAAATGGCTGAAAATAAAAAAATAGATATAATTTTTCGCTGATTTTATGTAACAAAATTATTTCATATATCTACTCTTTATATTGACACAGATTTTTACAATGTAGGACACCTGAAATTATTTGTAAAGCTAGGAAATGGGTCAAAAGTGAATTTCGCAAGACAAAAATGGCGGCCATTTTGGAAATAGGCGAGCTTTTGAACCAGGAGTCATAGGGGAGTTTTCTGTATTGATGTTGAACAGAAATAACTTAAAACAGGAATCCTATCGACAGAGGTTTTAAAACGTGCCAGTCAAAAGTGAATTTCGCGAGACAAAAATGGCGGCCATTTTGAAAATAGGCGAGCTTTTGAACCAGGAGTCATAGGGGAGTTTTCTAACAGGAATCCTATCGACAGAGGTTTTAAAACGTGCCACTATTGTTGACGGACAGACAGACAGACAGACAGACGGACGGACAGACAGACGGACAAGTGAGCGATTGCAAAAGCTCACCATGTGAGCTAAAAATTACTTTTAATTTGATGAAAATCAACAAATCCTAAATTCAATTTTAGAGGGAGGGATAGTTTCAATCTGAGGTGAAATCAATTATGAGCTGGAAATATAAAGATTGACCTTGACTCATATACCAAAATACAGAAACTGATCCAATGTTTCAAAATTCAACATTATTAACTTTTGACTGACTATTATACTGTATTGGAAATACTTTTAATATCACTCAGAGTCTTTGAAATTCACAAAATACTATTGCATTCTATCAAGCTCATTTTGAATTATATTTAAAGAAAACAAGAAGGACTTCAGCTGACCAATAGAAAAATACAGGGGGTTAATACTAGACTACTATTCAGGTTAAGAGATGTGTTTGACAAGTTTATAAAATTCTTTGATAAACAGCATGGAATATTCTGGAAATCAAGTACACTTTCAGCTATCAGAATTAAAAAATTGAAATCTCACTACCACCATCACAATTGTATTAGATAGAAAAATGAGCTGCAATGTTCATGTGAAAAGAGCTGTTAATACACTATAATGTGAAAAGAGCTGTTTTGACACTCCAATAAAGAAAGATGTTTCACACAAAGTCAATCCATCAACATTCCACATTCATTTCACAATTTCTTTTGGCATGTTATCATTTTATAATACCTTTCCTTGTACAGAATATATAAATAGCTTAATTCTATATACAACAATACATGTACAATATGTGTACCTTTACTAGATACATTTGCTATATTTGGGCTGGCACCAAGATATTGAGGAAAACTCAGACATTGATTAAGCAATTTAATGCAATCCTCGGATTGTACTTTCATTTCAAGCTAACACAATATACGAGCATGGATTGAAATGGCATTCAGAGCAGATCAGTATTATCACATGTAATTGGTTGAAAATATTGCAAGTCTGCTAGCATGCATTCATCAATCATCAATCAATCAATATACAAGACTACACACAAGCGATAATACCACTATGAAACACTTCCATTTGAAGCCATACTCTTAATCTCCCAAGTTTGTCCCGATTTTTTGATCAGTCCAACTCACAGCCCAAAGAATATGGCCAACTGGCATATATAAATGAATGGAGTCCACCTCAGTTTGAGGCATTTCTGGGGCTGTGTGTTAGACTGTTCATAACATTCCTATGAGTTTAACTCTTCCGATGCACAGCCCAATAGCACAAATACTGATTAGCAAGGAATAGTTAAAGTTTGTCTAATTTAGCTAAGTTTTCATATTACACAAGGCAGTTTCTTCCACTGCAGACCTTTCAACCTCAAAAAATATTTTTAACCCAAGATCAAAGAACTTCTATTACTATAAATGGTATTAAACTATATATGTCAACATGAATTTTGAAACTAGTAGACCAAATTCAACACCTGCAGAAATAAAAAATATGTATAATTTTGAAAAAGTTTCACAATTTTGGAAATTTTTGATTATTAAAATCCTGTCACAAGAGGTTGACAGGTGTCCACTAGAAGATACTTGTACAAAAATACTCTTAACTTCAGTTACACTACCATCAACATACACAAATGTAGCTTTTCCAAAAAAATGTTTCCCTAATACAAAACATCTTTGACTAGTCGTATAGTCCCCATGTCATACCATATCAATGGGTCAGCTCCTTGGAACAAATAGCCCCATCTTAACATTACACTATGAATAAGGATTCAACTACACCCCCTCCCCCTCTGTGTTAAGGTTCAAGACTTGCCTCTGTTAAATCAAATATCAAGTGTTTATCTGCTATTACTGTGCATTGCAAAACAAATATCATACAAATCTGTCTTTTAGTCAGTGATGATTATACCATTTTGAAGTCTCTTTTACTATTGATCAATACGAATATGTATGACTTTGAAAAACATTTTTTGAAGTTTAAATTGGAATAAATATCTTATCGGCAAAATATGAACAGGCTAAATACAATCATTTATATGTATACTGTCATAAGTCATTAAGTATTTTCATCTACAAATCTGAATTGATTAAGATATATTTGTGCTACTAGGTGTCTTGTATATGGACTGATGAAGTTAATTGTCCTGATATAGGCTGCTGTTGTACTTGTTGTTGCTGCTGTACTTGTTGTTGTTGCTGCTGTACTTGTTGTTGTTGCTGCTGTACTTGTTGTTGTTGCTGCTGTACTTGTTGCTGCTGTGCTTGTTGTACTTGCTGATGAGGCAATGTACCATTCACAGATTGTTGCTGAATATTTCCAGTGTTTAATGCTTGTTGGGGAATATTTCCAGTGTTCAGCGGTTGTTTTGGGATATTTCCTGGATTCAATGGTTGTTGGGGGATATTTCCAGTGTTCATAGGTTGTTGTGGGATATTTCCAGTGTTCATAGGCTGTTGTGGGATATTTCCAGTGTTCATAGGCTGTTGTGGGATATTTCCAGTGTTCATAGGCTGTTGTGGGATATTTCCAGTGTTCATAGGCTGTTGTGGGATATTTCCAGTGTTCATAGGCTGTTGTGGGATATTTCCAGTGTTCATAGGCTGTTGTGGGATATTTCCAGTGTTCATGGGTTGTTGAGGGATATTTCCAGTGTTCATAGGCTGTTGTGGGATGCCTGTTGAGTTTATCGGCTGCTGCAAAGACTGCTGTGAAGCTGCTAACTGAGGCATGAACGGAAATTGTTGCTGCATGTTCATCCATGGCTGGCCTTGAAGTGGTAACTGCATACTTCCACCTGGCAACTGCATGTTTCCACTTGGCATTTGCATGCTACTGCTAGGCATTGGCACATTCCCACTTGGCATTGGCATATTTCCACCAGGAAGCATGTTTAGGCCACTTGTGCTACCTTGCATACGTGGCGGGAGCATGAAGGGCATGAACTGGTTGTAGCCTGGAGGCAAGGCTTGGGAAAACTGATTTGATATACTAGCTGGTGGAGCACTATGTAGGGGTTGATTACTATGGGAGAAATACCCATGTACAGACATACCATGTGGTTGGTTACTGGGAAGCTGACCCATTGATATGGTATGATATGGGTTATAAGGCTGGAAACCAGGCTGGTGCTGTAGTTGGCTTTGCTGGTGTTGAAGCGGGTTAAATACCTGATTGACGCTAGCCCCCATTGATAGCTTCCTCTGCGGCTTGGGTGATGTCTGGGGGGTGACGGTATTAGACATCTGATGATGCTCTACTATCGGTTTACCATTATGGTCACTCTTTAAGCTATGAGTCCGCTTCACTAAATGTTCACCATTATGAGGCATATCCACGCCATGGTAGTTTAACTGAGCATTTGAATCAAGATCTTGTCCTGGTCTTTGTTCATTTCCAGCCTGTCCAGTGTGCATTATACTACCACTGTTCTCGTGATAAGGGACAGGGGCACCATTTTGATTCCCAGGTAGCGAAGCCTGGGCTGTATTTACAGGTTTGGGGGCAGGGAGGTTTGAAGTGACTGGTTGTTGTAATAATGTTGGTGGCTCAGTGGCGCCACCTTTAGCACCTCCTTTAATGTCCCGGGATTGCTCCTGGGAGTCAATATTACTTGATAGTTCATTTAAATTCCTGGAAGATATAGACCTTGTCCTTGGATCGACCTGCTGAGTAGCACTGGTAATGGTTTGTTCACTTATGGTGTGGTCAATCTTCTTGTCTTTAAACTCAAGGAGTTCTTGTTTGTGCTTCTCTAATACATGTTGTATCTCAGCCTCATGCCTGTAATAAATACAGAGTTTATATTATAGTCTATGTTTAGTTCATATACTCTTACATAGTTTATAAATATACGTGATATGTTCAGCTATTTTCTTTAACAACTTGGAAGTAGGTAAGCCTCCGAGCATTCCTTACCATCCAAATATAAAACTGTTAATTAAATAAACTGTTAATTAATTGGATGATCTTTTACAAGCAAATTCTCTTTTACATGATAACAATTGCATCGTTTTTGTACTTATGAAGCCCTGCTCACCCTCACTGCTTAGTGAAAAATTCTATCCAAGATTATTAAATCTGATAATTATTGAACTAACCTCGACATGATTGACTTGAGTTCTCCATCTTTCTTCACCATTTCTACAGGAATTCCAACCTCACTAACCATACCTATTTCATTGGCCAATGACTGACTTGTTTGTGCAGAAGTACTTTCAGCCTGAAATGGAAGCTACATGTCCAACAAATTGTTTTAACTCTACAAACCATAAATCCTATTTATAGATACCCCTCATTGACCCCAAAAACAATATGAATTTACCCTTAATATTGAAAAAAGTACATACATAACCTGAATTCCTGACTAAATCAGACACCATTATTGACACAGTGTACATCTACCGGTATATGCTTTTTGATAAATATGACCTCATTTATGACACGTGTCGAGATAATTAATAATGATCAAATGAGAAAAACCACATGGCGCAACTCAAATAATTAATTTACTCTCTTCATTTTTATATGTATATAAGATGCCATACACTATAGTGAACTGAAATGAAGTTATTGCCATGCTTTGCGTTCACAAATTGAAAAGCTACTTCATATCAAAATGAAGGAATTATCCAAGTGCCAAACAACATTGTTCTCATTTACAAATGCTGAACATAACTATAAATATAAGATGCAAAGAATTAAATACGCACATTTGTAACCAACTACATCCAAAACAATATGTGCACATACACAATACTCAATGTAATTAATAATTTTCAAATATAATCAATTAACATTTATTAAAATAAAAGGCCACAAGTGAGCAATGCAAAATGTGCGAAAAATTATGATTTAAAATATCTTGCAGATTTGAAGGTCATACAACCACAAATTAGATTATCAATGAAATATTTTGGGCAACAAAATCCATGCTACAAGATCCAAACAAACTGTATAAATATAAGTCCTGCACCAGACACCATCTTATGAGGATTTAAATACTCCAAGCTTGTAAACAGAAAACACATGCTTAACATTTGCAACTCATGCATTACAAAAGTTAAAGTGCAGTCATACATAAAATGCATTAAAGCTGTGTATAACATACCAATGTAAAGCAATTGCTATGTGCAATACACAATTGCTTCACAGGTAATTTTAGATTTAAGTGTAACATGCAAATATCTAACATACCATAGTTCGAGTAATATCAGCGACTTCTTGATTGCAACAAGATTGCCTCGTTTCACCGTCACCATGGCCCATGCTAGCCCTTCTTGGGCCATCATTAATATACTCTATGACCCTATCATTAGCTAGCGTGCTTCTACGTTCTAGCCTAGCAAGTCTAAGTGCCCGCTGAAGCTCTAGTCTACTGGGAGTCAGGGTGCTATCTCCATTGGTTGGGTATAGCAATGGGGGGTATTGATATTGTATAGATTGTGATCTATTACTATAGCTTGGAGGCTTGGATTGATAGCTAATTGACTTGGAGCGTGATCTTTGTGTGCTAGCGGGGTTGCAACAAGGGAACATCAAATGTTGTCTAGGGGTGTGAAGCAAGCAAAGCTTAGCATTAGGACTACAAATTGAACTCCGTGAACAAACTGGACAATCTGATGGTGTATTAGGAGGTATAAATGGCGAGGTTTGATATGAAGCAATAGGCACTGAATACAACAAAGGATTCTGATTGTAACTATCGTGCAATGCAGAAAGAAGCAGGTAATCATCACGATGTGTTATTGTGTTCAAAGATTGTGACAAATGCATCAAATCTAATGCCCTAGCGGCCAAATTCATACCAACGAGTGGATCATTCTGGCTTTCGGGGATAACATTGGGGGAGCTGGGGTAGGACTGAGACAATCTATGTGGACCAGGCGGTACTTTTGTTTCATGAATTGAATTTTGCAAACATGGTGAATATGGCAAACGTGGTGAATAAGGCACACTTTCGTGCAAAAAGAGCTCACTAGGCCTAGAATTAACACTGCTAGTAACAGCTACTGTGCTAGACACTCCAGCCATGCCATTATATGCATTGGCATACAAGTTCTCAGCACATGAAGCATACATTCTAGAACTAAAAAAGTTATTAGTAATACTCACTGCATTCACACTGTTAGTCTGGTCTTGGTTGTTAGATGCTACACTTGTGCTGAATACTCCGCTAACCGCTGGCATTAGTACAGGGGGCCCTAGGGACCGGGGGCCACTCAAGAGGGGCAAGGGAACCACTGGGACCCCCATGGGGGAAGAGACCATGGATGACATGGTGCTAAGAGTTGGCAAGAGATTTGGCATGACGTTGATGGGGGCACAAAGTGGGCCTTGGGATCCAACGATGGTCTGGGATGAGACGGCTGCCTGCGTCATAATCATATTGTTGGCACCCTGGACAGCAGGGGAGCTGGCCGTTATTGCATTCAATGTCACATCTTTGGGTTTATCCACAGGTGCTTCAGAAGCTTCCTTATCCTCTTTAGGCTTTACGTTCTCTCCCGTTGGAGCTTTGTCCTTCACAGGATCTTTCACTTCCTTTTCAACTGGAGTATCATTAACTTTACTGTCTTTAGCAGTTTCAATTGAACCATCAATCTTAGGTTCTTCAGATTTGGGACTTTCAGCTGCCTTTTTGGTAATTTCATCACTTTGTATTGTGATGTGGAACCGACCCTTTTTCTTTGACACAGGCCCTGGGGAGGCCAAGTCTCCTGCTTTCTCAGCAGGCCCATTATCACCTTTTGAGTCAATACTACCATCCTTTACTTCAACGTCTTTATCTTTGGAATCTGCAGCACTATCTGTTTTTTCATCAACTGTTGATGCACCTGCAACAGATGGAGTAACAGTTGCTATTGTTTTCAATGGATCTTCCGTAACAGGACTCACAGTGAATTTCTTCTTCTTTACAGGTTTCACTTCAGGTTGCTGGTCAACCTTAGACTCACTGGTAGATTCACTTGTAGTCTTTTCCTTTGGTGAATCAGCATTTGTAGTGTCAGGTGTTTGACTAGGTTTTCCTACTGCTACTTCATCTTTTGGAGTTTCATCTGGCTTTACAGCAGATTCACTTGCAGTCACTACATCTGCAGGAGTTTTTACTTTAATCGGATCAGCTTTTGGAACTTGGGGGTCTACATTTGAAACTTGAGTATCAGGTTTAGGAGCATGAGAGTCAGGTTTAGATGTTGGCGGCACTGGACTGACAGGTTTCTGGGTGGCGTGTGGACTTTGTGAAGCACTAGCACTCTCGAGTTGAGCAGCAGCAGGGTGTTGCACATTGGTGTATATAAGTTCACTTTGTGGTCCACTAGGGCCATGTGGTGTAGTAGCATGCAAAGTGGCAGCAATCTCTTTCCTTTTACCAGTTCCATGTAGCTTGGACAGAGCTTTCTCCAGGTCACCCAAATCTGATGGCTTTTTAGCAACCTTTGATGGTGTGCCTTGCCCAGTTGCAGGGGCCTCATTTGCATGGCTCCCAATTGCTTGACTAGTAGGGATTCCTCCTTGGACCATGCTCATTGAACTAATTGGTGGCTTTCCAATACTTTGATACATTGGTTGCTGTCCTGGTTGGATGGTATGCTCTGGGCTTTCCTTCCTAGGGGAGACCATCATATATGGAGCCATACCAGGGGTGATTAGTCCTTGTTGTAAGTAGTTAGCATACATCTGGGCTGGAGTGACACCAGGGAATGGCTGTTGGCCACCGAACATCTGGGACATTGCCATCTGTTGCTGCATTTGCTGTAGATTTAACTGCTGGGGTGGCTGAAGACCCATTTGCTGCATATAGGCCTGCATCATCATCATCTGCTTTTGGTACAAGTCTTGCTCTATCTGTTGCCTGGTTTGGTTTAACTCTTGTGCTAACATTTGCTGAATACGTTGCTGCATTTGCTGCTCCATTAGCTGTTGCATTTGTTGGAATTGTTGTTGTAAAGGTAATCCACTCTGTTGATTTAGGGAACTCTGAGAAGCCTGACTCATCATCTGTTGATATTGTTGCTGTTGTTGCTGCTGAACAGCTGCTTGATATGCCATCTGTTGAGCTTGTTGAGACATTTGTTGCTGCTGCACAGATGCCTGCTGAGCCTGTTGTTGTTGCTGTTGTTGTAAGGCTTGGGCTGCTAGGTGTTGCTGGGACAATGACTGTGGAATACCAGGCTGTTGTAGAGCCTGCTGGGATTGAGTCGGCATTTGACCAGGTGGAGGAGGGGATGTCCTTGATGTATCCTGGGTACCATCCTCCTGTCCAACATTGGCTCTTCCAGGCTGTGGGGTTCCTGGTGGATATGGAGTAGCCTTTCCATCAGGGGCCAGTCCTTTACCTAGAGCCTGTTTCACACTACTCAACTCTCCTAGTTTCTGCTTCAAGTCCTCTAGGTCAGTTGCAACTGCCTTTGCCTTGGTGTAAGTTAAACTATTAGTGTTACTATCAGTGGATGTAGTCCTTTGTATTGGTTTAATGTCATCACCAGCTTGGGCATCACGTGGGGATGTAGACCCAGTGGTTGATGTATGACTAGTCTGACGTGCTGTTGTTGGACGATGTATTAAGTCCTCCTGATTCGTTCCTATCTGTCTCTGCACTGGAGGAGGCAAGCTCCCTTCATGCTTCTCTCTCTCAGCATTCTCCAACAGAGGTGCTGCAAGGACTGAGTCATCAAGGGCAGATTCTGCTACAGGGCTCACTAGGAACTTCTTGTGTGGGCTGGCTACCACTGTGGCAGAAGATATTGGAGGCTTCACAGGGGAGAATGTCACCTCAGTGGGCACATTGGGTGGTGTAGGAGTGTGCTCTTGTATGATAGCCTCGCTGTTTGTCTTCTGCAAGAGAAAGGGACAAATTTTAGTAGATAACATGCCTATGGAGAGGTGTTTCATTGTACTTCATTGTTACAAGCATTAATAATCAAAGTTTAATTTAAAATACATCCACCTGGTTTCAAAGGATGCTCGTTTAAATAGGACAATTTACTATAAAATAATCACAATAAAAAAAAGAACAAAAAATCAAACCTTGAGAGCAAGATCTTCCTCTACAACATCCTGTGATGGCTGACTAACTGTACGCCTTAAGGTGCTGGGACTTGTAACTGGAGTCTCACTAACTTTCTCCTTATCAGCCTGTTCCTTTGCCTTGGCCTGAGATAGCTCAACTGCCATGTCAGGATTGGCCTTCACCAGTGCCTGTACCTCCTTCACTTGCTCTATGAATAGATCTGTGTGAGCCTCGGGCAGAAGGTTCTCTTTAACCTTCAACAGAGAAGTATCATAAATCACTGAATGTACAAGTTTTTTTCCAATGTTATGACTCCCTGAAATAATTATGACTTCTGAAATTCCTGAAACAGTCAATATGATTAGATTTTGAAATATGAAAAACAACTTTAATAATTAATCACATATATTCTCTTACCAAGTTCTCAGCAATCTCAGTTGGGTCATCATCCTCACAGTCAAACTTGAATGTGACAGTCTTCTGTTTGGCTGTCTCTAGTTGGCACTCAACAATGTGCCCATTGTCCTCTTCTGTCTCCAGGCTCAGGATAACAAGGTGGGGATTCTTCTCAGGACGTCTTCGCTTGATCTTTGTGCCACGTTCCTTCTTCCTTGAGTCCTTCTTCTCAAGATCTGTACCAGTGTCACTGGAATAAAATAATAATAATTCACCGATGTAGATTTATTTTAGCCAATCAGTCATTGGTATTGTAGTGACTGGATAATACAACATATTAGTGGTGTCAAATAACCGCTTGAGCATTAACCGGTTAACCGGGGGTTTTTACCGGTTAAGGTCGGTTAACCGGCGGGAAATTTGAACTTATAATTTCAAATGAAATCTTCATCTTCGATCTTGAAAGTTGAAAAATTGGAAAAATGATATATCGGCGTTTATTTTTTACGTTCGTCAAGCTTTACGCTATTCTATGTAAGTAAGCGCGGGAAAGCAATGTGGCAGGGATTAAAGTTGCTGATTGGATGTTTGTAAGGAATTTTCGGACCTATCACATGTATGAGTAGCTCACATGAAACTGACGCTTGAAAAACAAACAGATTAAAATGCAAAGTAAGCGCGGGAAAGCAATGTGGCAGGGATTAAAGTTGCTGATTGGATGTTTGTAAGGAGTTATGGGACTTATGACATGTATGAGTAGCTTACGTGAAACTGACACCATAAAACCAAACGGATTAGCATGCAAAATAAGCGCGGGAAATAACAGAATTATCCACGGTCAACTAACCGCCCATAAAAACTCAGACCAGTCAAGGCATTATCGGCGGTTAACCGGTTAATACTTGACACCTCTACAACATATACTGGTATTTGCTAAACAATTTTTTTCTATTACTACTCATCTATTTCTTTGTGAAAGAGACACATTCCAATATGAAACTGAAAGAGCAGACAGGATGTACATACTACAGTATACTGCATAAACTCTCATAGGTACTTTCATAGGTTTTAAGAAATAGTTACCTATCCCTTTGTGAAAGAGATCCTTCATCCACAGGAGGTGTGGTTGTGTGAGGTTTATCCTGGTTGGCAAGAGCTGCACTGATATCCAATTGGTGCTGCTGGCCTGCTGTGTTGGCCTGCTGGGTCGGGACTTTGGCTTGTTGTTGTTGCACTTGTTGTCCCTGGGGCTGGCTGACTGGAGGAGGTTGCGCTTGGGAATGGGCTGGCTGTTGTGGCTGAACAGGTTGTTGCAACTGCCCCTGAGAAGTCTGTTGGTTGACCTGCCCTTGTTGAAGCTGTTGCTGTTGACCTTGCTGAATCATTTGACCTTGTTGCATTTGTTGACCCATTTGACCCTGTTGACCCATTTGGCCCTGTTGGACTTGAGTCTGTTGTGAAGGGACCTGTTAACAAATCAAACAATGTTGCAATGGACACTACAAAGGAACCTACCTGATTACACTCATGTATTCCTACAAACCTCATATATTCAACAACAAACAACAAAAACCAAAATTTGGTCTTCTCTTAATGACCATCTTTATCCTCAAAACAAAACATTCACTGTTGATTTATGCATGTGAATGAACTGCAATGAATGAAAAGAATACAAGAATTTTTTGCAAGAAATTAACGCAAATGCATTACATGCAAAATGTCATCACCTGCCATTAGCTACAGATGCCAAATGCCAAACAGCAGCCATAAATAGACACTACAACAATATGTCACCACTTCTGATGGCCACATAAAAATCAATGCTACCACAATACCATGAAGATAGTTACAAATAGTAATATTCAAACCTGTTGAGGTTGTTTCTGCTGCTGCTGCTGTTGTTGTAGAACGTGTGACTGTTGCTGTTGTTGAGACTGAGGGACTTCATTCTGTATAGGAACAGGCCCAAGCTACAACATTTGCACATATACTATAATCCTCAGATCAACATAAATTGTCAAAACTCAGAAAGTCAAAATCTCACTCAACTCTAGAAAGCTTTGCTAAAATAAGCTGAGAAGCTAATACGGATAAACAACATTGACTGCTAAATTATAACGGATAATTACAGATCAATAAAAAACATGCTTAGAGCTGAATTTCACGAGGGCACTATGTCCCAATATATAATTATGTTCATTTATTCTCAAGTACAGAACTAATGTGAAGGCAATCTCAGATATGAAACATTCTTAGTTTATTTGATTCTAGAAGCAAATGTTTCTTATATGAAGGGAATAAAGGAATTCATGATAATTGATTGTAATATGGGTATGAATTAAAGATGGGGTGTCATGATGACCATTCAAATGGTTAAAGCTGGGATCACATTCACTGGGTAAAGCCAGGGGTCTAAGATTGCCTTGAGGTAAGTATATGTACCTGGAACATGGGTGCTGAAGCAGGATAGATCTGAAAGGGTAAATTTTGAAATGTAACCCATTCACATACTATGCCATGTTTAAAATTTCACTAGCCATGCTTATTTGCTTCATTTCCTTTTGCAACATGAATGAGATGCAACATTTTCAATTGTCAAGTTTGATTTCCTGTAATTTCTATATAATTCAGTCTGAAATTTTGGATTACTAGCTACTACTTCATATCTTGAAATGTAGCAATTCAACAAGCGGTACTTGAACAATTAACGCATCGTTTGAACAAGCAATGCATCAAATGACCAAGAATTCAAAAGTCATGCTATAATAAATATAAATACCAGAACAACGGCAACGCCAAAGCGTAGCGAATCCCATCGAACATTTCTCAAAAGGGGCACCTTCCACCAAAAGTGTCATTAGACAGTGTGCCATGCTTATAATATTCACATACCAAATATGAACAAAATCGCTCTACTTCTTTTCAAGTTATAGTAAAATACGTTAAAATGGCGGCCATTTTGAAAAATGGCCGCCTTCTACCAAAAGTGTCATTAGACAATGTGCCATGCTTATACGTATTCACGTACCAAATATGAACAAAATCGCTCCACTACTTTTCGAGTTATAGTAAAATAAGTTAAAATGGCAGCCATATTTCAAAATGTCCGCCATTTTTCAAAATGGCCGCCTTCTACCAAAAGTGTCATTAGACAGTGTGCCATGCTTACAGTATTCACATACCCTTTATGAACAAAATCGCTCCACTACTTTTCGAGTTATAGTAAAATACGTTAAAATGGTAGCCATTTTGAAAAATGACCGCCCTCTACCAAAAGTGTCATTAGACAGTGTGCCATGCTTACACGTATTCACATACCAAATATGAACAAAATCGCTCCACTACTTTTCGAGTTTTAGTAAAATAAGTTAAAATGGCGGTCATTTTTCAAAATGTCCGCCATTTTCAAAATGTCTGCCATTTTTCAAAATGGCCGCCTTCTACCAAAAGTGTCATTAGACAGTGTGCCATGCTTATAGTATTCACATACCAAATATGAACAAAATCGCTCCACTACTTTTCGAGTTACAGCAAAAATCGTAAAATAACGAGAAAAGGCCGCCATTTTTCAAGATGGTTGCCATGTGCTTTTTTAATATCTACATTTCTAGCTTTATTAATATCCTATATAAATTTTTTTACATTTAAAACATATTGCTATTACAGTTTTACATATTGCACCTAAATTACTGTAAAATCGGCACTAAAATGGCCGCCATTTTTAAATGAGCGGCCATTTTGAAAATCGGCTTTCGAGCAGAACTTCTACCCCGATAGGGTATATGTATACAAAATATGAATAAAATCGGGCCAACGGTATTTGAGTTATTGCCCGGACGGACGGACGGACGGACGGACGGACGGACGGACGGACGTACGTACGGACGGACGGACGGAGGCGTTCCCTATATCCCTCCGAACTTCGTTCGATGGGATAATAACACTGAAGTTCAAATTGCAGAAAAATGGCAAGGGATATAAGCATGGCCAGAATAAATTTTCAATAAGGGTTCTAGTAGAAACTAATGAAATACGGAGGCTCCAACACTAGTATAGTAATAGTTTTGCATCAAGCCTCTGTTTCACCACATCCACAATGTTTCCACCTAACACAAACATTTGGTTGGGGACCCAACGTAAACATTTGGTTGAGGACCCAACACAAACATTCGAGGACCAAACACAAACATTCGGTTGATAAAAGATGAAGGGAAAAGTGGTTGAATAGAGTACAAAACTTGATGCAAAACATTTTCATTCTTGCAGCCTAATTTTTTGCCTTGATTTATAGAAACTGTTGATGATGTTTAAGTGTAAATCAGATATTTCAATTTGAAGCCTCTGGAAGCACTGCAGCTGCTATACACTCAAAACACATCATTCCAAGCACTGCAAACTGAAGGTAAAGCTGCATAAAAACAACACATTTGCTATAAATCTTTCAACAGTTATAACAAATTTAATCAATGTGGAACTAAATAACATGTGTTAGTTAACCATTTAAAACAAACACTAATGCAAGATACAAAATAAAGATCAATAGAACTGAACGTGTATGCTGAGCTTTTCTTACCTGTGTCTGTTGGAGCTGTTGAGGTGTCACAACCATACCATCTGAATACTGTCCGACATCACTATAGGCTCGCGAAAGGCCTAGAATATCAGAAATCATATAGATATGGAATATACACAGAGATCATACAGAAATCATATACAAAACAGTGATTTCCACAGGATTTCTCTCAAGTGGGGGCAAAATTCTCATTTTGACAATTCAAAATTGGTCAAAATCTGCCAATTTTTCATGATTTTTCAAGTGGGTGCAAATGGATTCTAAGGTGGGTGCAAGCCTATTTCCAAAATCTCAGGTGGGTGCTGTGCCCACTTGCTTTAATGCTGGGGAGATCACAGCAAAAAGGTATGATACAATGTTTAATTCTGAAATATAAATATATAAAATGCAGTTTACTTTATGAAGTTAAATCGCAATATTCAAACATTGCATTGCTTATAAAATGGCATCAACTAAAACTACTCCATAGCAGGTATATTGTGTGACGTCCAATCATAACATATCCAATGTAATACCTGACTGCGAGTCTGTATACTGCGATAGGTTCATTGCACTAGAGGACATCTGAAGACCCCCTGCTTGTAGGCCCCCTGTCTGTAGGCCCCCTGCTTGTAGTCCCCCTTGGCTCTCGTACTGCAGCTGTAGCTGACCTGAAGGATCCTGGAATGGTGGCAGTTGCATGCCTTGACTGCCTAGCTGACTCTGAATCTAAAGTACCACATACATACACAATACATGCCCCATAGTAAATGTATGATGATTTTATCCAAAAAGAAATTTTACCTAAATTTACCTGTACCGAGGGTCATACTGAGTGCAGTTCACTTATAGAATTCATTTTTGTTAACTTGAATATAGGGCAAACTATTTTTCATCTTTTAAATATTTCCATTTAATTAAAACAGCATTATTTTTTGGGTTTAACATTAAGCTTTATCAATGCTCTTTTGGAAAGTAATACACTCTGTTTCATTCATTATCATTGATTTAGAAAACAGGTTTGCAGATACATGTAGCAGGTTTTTATATGACCAAGTGTCATAAATATCAGAATGTCAAAACTATCTTAAAAATCCTTCATTTCTATTCCACAAGTTTTTCAACAATAAATAATAATCAGGATAGAAGTTTAAATTGTTTCATAGATATAAAATTATGAATAAGTACATAAACAAAGAGCATGCATAGAAGTAATACATAGATTCAGTTCTATTTAGTTAAGATAGTTCAATCAAAACAATCATCTATCTACTCTGACAAGAAAACAAGTGTTTTTTTAGTGCATATGCTGTTGATTTGAATATCTTATTTAAAACAGTTTCTATAAATGGGGTTTGATAGAAAATTTTCCTGGTCTTTAAAAATTCATATATAGGGGATGGGTAGGTAATGGTTAATTTATAAAAAGTGATGGGAACTTTACAAACGATCTCTTTCCTCCAATATTCAAACTAATTTACGAACCATGAACAATTTTATAACTCTGACATTTGCAAGGGGAATACTAGTTCAAAAAATTTTACATTGGAAACTAGAGTGCTACACAAATCTAGAGTTGAGTGATATAACACACCTCTATGTGATCATGTGGTAATATGGAGCCACGTCGTGATGTTACGGGCGAATCATATGGTGAACCTATCATCTGAGAGTAGTTCTCGAGGGCAGCAGCCACCTGGGACAAGTGCTCATGACTGGGACCCCCCAGGGCTGGTACGTGGGAGTTTGAACGATTCCTGGGTAGCCCCCCTTGGATCCCCATACCAATACTGCCAACAGTGTTAGCTGGCATATTGGCAAACTGGTTATAAGTAAGGGGAGGAGTTATAGTTCTCCCAGGGCCAGGGTAGCCCAAAACATGACCAGGATCACTATGACCCATCAGCGTAGATAGATCCCCAGGATTGCTAGGGACACGGTAGCCATGAGTACTGTCTGAGATGACACCTCCACCCCCAGCTGGCAAGTTGTAGAGTGCTCCCGACTGGCCACTTGCCACAATATTTGGTTGACTGACAAGCTGTGTACCAACAACCTACAGTATGATTAGTGAGAGGATGTCACATACACTCTAGCATCATAGGTTCAGAAATGACATCAGATATTCAGAACTGACATCAGTTTCAGATTTGATATGATTTACATACAGTAAAACCCATGGAAATCAAAATTCAAACATCTGTTTGGAGGCTTCCTCTTGAAAATATTTTTAATTATATTTTGTGAAATTCACTTTTCCCATGGGTAACAAAAAGGTATTGATACTGTACAATATGTACAAAACTTGACTCGAAAATGTGTTTGACTGCATAGGTTTTACTGACATCAAGTTCAGATTTGATATGATTTACAGTAGAACCCATGGAAATCAAAATACAAAAATCTGTTTGGAGGCTATCTCTTGAAAATATTTTTAATTATATTTTGTGGAATTCACTTTTCCCATGGGTATCAAAAGGTATTGATACTGTACTTAGCTGGGAAATGTGTTTGACTGCATAGGTTTTACTGTGACTTCAAATCTATCATATGATCATTCAACCATGGATGCCAGAGTGCACAATACAGGGATACTAGCAGGCTATTTTATAATTCTCTTAAAATCAAACAATAATCACATTTGGACACATGAACATTTCCCCCTAGATTTTGTTTCATGATTTCTGATTATATTTGCATACATGCACCATTTTATAACACTTCTCATGTTACATCAATGTGGCCATTCACCTCCTCTTCCAGCGTGAACAGCCCCATTTTCTTTTTAAATCGCCTCATTAAATGGTTATTTTTTCATCTCAATTCTCCTCTTTTAGATTCTATTAAGGAGTTAAGGAATGACCACAGTGACATGAAATACATGGTAAATCATGGAATTCAAACATAATGAAGATGATTGGGCCAATGATAAACTAGTATGAACTCACAAAAAGCTTCCACACAGTATATATACATTAAAAAAGAAGTATAATTTTGAATTTTGACAAAATCTAAGTTTGAGTCAGTTCATTCTTTTTTCTCAGTATACCAGAAAGTATGCTAAAATAAACACTGATTTATTACTGAAGCAAAATAAAGTGAAAATCCCTTAAAAAGCGATACCTAGATTCTCTATAAATATAGCCAACAAACACTCTTAAAGCCTAGATACATAGCAGATATAGGCATGTGTCTAACTCATGAAGCTTTAAGAGAACTATAAAATACCTTCTGCACTAAGAGCAACATTCAAATATAGAATACAGAATAGAGAGAGCGAGATTTAAGAATAAGCCAGTGATAATTTCTGATACAGCTTAATCTACAAAAAATTATTATCTAAAGCTAAAATATGTCTACCATAAAAGTTTGATGTATGATTACTTTAATAGGCAACAATTACTTAGTTAAAGGAAGTCATTGATAATTGATCAGAAACCACTGCTTGGCAGAAAGAGTCAAACATCTAAAGATTTTGATATATACAATATATATGCAGATTCATACAACAGAAAATAGTTTCAAGATCATACAACTTCTAGTAGTTCAATAGCAGTTTTTCTTTTATAAGAAACAATAAAGTTTTAACAAACTCTAAAATTTTAACAAGGTATTTATTTTTCAAAACTAATAAAGAAAATGACTAATTTATACAAAAATAAGATTTTGATTAAAGTTTAGAAGAAAAACTGTTAGAGGAAAGAGCTACATGCATACTAGGAAACCAAGAAATGAAAATTTATATGACACAAAGCTATAAAAGCCTACAAAGCAGGGTTAGAGATAACACTTAGCTAAGTTATTGCCGAGAAAGTTTTTTATTAATTGGATTGAGAATGAACATTCTTTGAAACATGTAAAACTACGAATTCGAAATTTAGAACTAGATTGTGAAGGGCAGTGAGTTAGTAAGATGATGAAAATCATAAGAACAAAACAACATGCAACTATTAAGACAAACAAAAATCACGTGCAATCTAAAATGCATGCAAATTCCTATATGAGGTACAATAGTGAAATATAACAAGACTTTTCAGTCAACCAAACGTTAATGTGATTGCTAATATATCTGACACTTCTAGCAATATTGTATTAGTCTTAAACATCACACCACACCTCACAACTTGGGCAAACTATGACAAAAATGAACAGAAAGTGACTGATTGTTAAACTCTTATATTAAGCTAAATGCTTTGGAATATGTTTGGAGTTACGCTTCCTACTTGTAACATTTAATTAATAAAAACTACTTAATTTTGAAATACAACAAACAATAAATGACTCAATTGCTAATCTATCTGGCAGAAACCACAAAACAAAGAGTATTTGGTGATGTTAAATAAAAAATAATAATATAAAAAACAAATCATTCAACAAATCAACCAGTCTTTAAATTATCATTCTCAAACCAAGAAGGTATCCATGTGCATATTTCATGAATTGTTTCTTAACAATAAATATAAAGTTAATCAATTATTAAATAACTTAGCAGGGGAATTTAATTAAAATGCAATGTAAATAAAAACTGAATTGATTATATAATAGTAAATAAAAAAAAAATTTAATATATTCTGTGCATATTCAACTCAAATTGTACAGCACTTACCATTTAGTACTTATTTTACTTATACTCTGCTTATATGACTGTATATCAATTGTATAAGTGAGATACAATAAGTCATATACCACTTATATGACTACCCAACTTTATGAGACTACCACTATGTTAGAACATACCTGAGCGTAGGTGGCTGGTTGATAGCCCTGAGAATACTGCTGGGCCACAAGAGGGTTAAACTGAGCAAATTGACTAAACTGCTGAAAACCAGGCATCTGAAATAAAACAACAAGGATTGCATGAAAATCTATCAAGTGAAACATCTCATGTGGAACACTTCCCAGTGATTTAAATGAATTTCTGTATGTGGAACACCTTCCAAGTGGAATTCTGCAGGAACTTTACTAAAAAAAGGTTTCGCTGTAGTAAAAAAAACTTCAGCTATTACTTGACTTCATTAATGAGGTAAGGGGTCAAATGTTTTTCTTGTATGGATTGAATGTTAAACATAGTACCCCACACAAGTTTTTGATAATAACTTTGACCCGTGATTTGAACACTCTATCCTTAACTATATGCTATTAAATTTAGCACACATGAACTAGAGGACATTTCCAACATTGGAAATTTTTTATTAAGCCATATGATTAATAATGGTTAAATGGCAGTAAGTTCAAAATGCTACACAGTTACCAGTGTTTTACCAAATTGCTACATTGTTTGAATGACTATGACGTTACAGCTGTACAGTACATTTACTTGTATAGAGTTAAGTTCATTAGAGTCTTCTGAGTACAGATATGAAAGGATTTGCAAGTGGTGAGGCTAACCCAAGTAAAACAGTATACTATTCATAAGTACCATAAATACAGGACTGCTTTGAGATGAAATTCAATAAGATGAATATTGATAAGATAATGAGATAAAAGTCAATAAAATTGTTAAAATGAACAATTCATAGAATGATTTTATGACGTCAATTTGGTGAAAACCCATTAATGACACCCTTGATTTGATTACTTGTAATTTTATTGTTATTGAAGTAAAATAAAAACAAAAAATTTCCAATGTTGGAAATTTCCTCTAGTTTATGTGTGCCAAATTTAATAACAAATAGTCAAGGATAGAGTGTTCAAATCACGGGTCAAAGTTATTATCAAAAACTTGTGTGGGGTACTATATAAGAACAGTGATCTCTACAGGATTTTTTCTCAAGTGGGTGGAAAATATCACGATAGACCTTTCCAGTAAATCCTGACCCCTATTTGTGAACCAAGGAAACTAGGGTATATTGGCTAGATTTATGATGTCATACTCTACAGCCAGCAACGTTTGTAAACAAAATTGAAGGAAGTTTCCTATTTCTGCACTGAAATTGTAAGAATGACATCATAACCAATAGATGGCATGATTTACTGGATTGGTCTATTCAGACAAAAATTGGTCAAAATGTGCCCATTTTTTATGACTTTTTCATTTTCAAGTGGGTGCAAATGGATTTTCAGGTGGGTGCAAGCCTATTTTCAAAATCTGAGGTGAGTGCTGTGCCCACTTGTTTTAATCCTGGGGAGATCACTGAAAAAAGATTGATAAATCAAATACATGAATGTGTAAGTTGCTTATCTCTATATATTTTTAGCTTGGACTCATTAGTATTTATAAAGCAACAAGATTTGTCTGATATATTTGAACTTCTACACTTTTGTCTAATTTTAAACATATAAATTAGGCCCAGGGGCTAGGCAGATGTAGCATGCTAATCTAATCATTCCCCAGACAATCCTTAAAATAATTGACATTTCTACAGACTTCATCCTCTACCCCAGGGAAGTATATAAATAATGCGAGACAATCAGATACATGCTTTTATAATAACATTGCCGGGTTCTAAGGCCATTGATTGAATTATTGGGTATCAATGTCATAAAGTTGGCTGGATGTTTTACTCATTATGTAATGCTTAATTTAGTAATGCTTCTACATCTTGAATGGAACTCTTCTAACACTTCCATGGACATGGAACTATACAGTAAAACCTGTCTAATCCGAACGCCTCTGGGACCAGCCAAAATTGTTTGAATTAGCAGGTGTTCACATTTCAAGATTTTTTCAAAATATAGGGCAATGGAAGACAACAAATTTGGGATTGAGAAAAAAGTGTTCACATTGAGAAGTTTTTGGATTAGAGAGGTGTTTGGATTTAAAGGTTACACTGTATTTAGAATTAGTATGCCCTGCCATGAGCCAGTCGATCATCTATGCTTTAGTGTTTTTGGTGCAAATCGAGTATTTCTGTTGTAACAAAAAATCGCAGGTGATAAAATATCCACAGAAAATCGTAACCATGTTTTTTCCAATTCAAAGGAACATTCATGCATATTTGATTGAACTGGTACTCTACTGGAAATGCACATCAGAACAAATATCAAAATACTATTCTATCGACTTATACCTAAGTTTAATAAAAAAAGAGATTCAAGATTAAAGGTATATTAATTATGGGGCACAAACCTGTGTATACTGCAACATGGCGGCTGGAAGATCTGAAGGAGGTATGCTCCCTGTACCACTATCACTAGATAACGTCCCTAAAATACCAATATGCATCATTTTACGGATACATAAAACAATATGTATATTAAAGAGACTATGGATAAATATGACGGCATAGATATTCAAGTGTTTGAAGCATCTACTAAACTAGCTGATTTCACGAATTGAATTTTTAAAAGTTGGCCAAAAGTGTGAAATAGCACAAAATTAGAACCATATTCCTCAAGCTTCAAAGGCCAAGTTAAAAACTGTATGGGAGGTAGCATTGCTTGAAATGACACAGATTATTTGGGTTTTTAAATTGTATGTATAATGGCACAACAGATTATTTGGATTGTTATATTGTATAATGAACATGGTTAATCACTAGAGACAGAATATTGGACATAGGCTCACTATAATTATAGTAGGGTTGGTTTTAACAATTTTGCATGACTACTCTTTTTTTCCTTTATTCATGCCGAACACAAACTACGTGAGTTATACTTGAATGAGGATTCAAGAGTCGAGAGAAATGAAAATGCAATCGTATAATTCAACGTGTTTACTTATAAGTGTAGACTTACAAAAAGTTTTTAAGACAAAAAGATGAAGAACTATAACAAGCATCATGCATTGGGTAAATTAAAGTTGAGAAAAATGAACTGTAAAGAACATCCTTAACCTGTAAAAGCAGATTCATAAATAGCAGTCTAGTGTCTCTGATTATGAGTTAAAGCAATAGGTGTAAATAGGACTATCTACATTTAATTAATGAAAACTACGATCCATAAAAGTTTGAATCCAATAGTTAATTGTTTTAATTATTTAAATTATTGTATTAGTAATAAAAATCACTTGAATTGGAAGCAATTAGTAATATTCTACTATACTGTGGTTAAAAGGTGCCAGTATTTTGTGACACCCAGTGAACTTACTATGAAGCTGGGCGGTTCTCTCATTAAATCCTTAAATTCAAACAGGTGAGCTATTTTCAAATGTTATGTTTCAGCATTGTGAAACAATATTTCAAACAAAGCTCAAATATAGCAGTTGTTAAATTATGTAGCAAGGGTTGAAGCACAACTGCATCATATCCTTTATTAAGATTATCAATATTGATATATTATTTGCTAGTTTTATTGTTTCAGCATCTAGTATAAGCTATGATAAATTGCATTTGGTTTGGGTAACATGGCAATATTTATGTGAGGTAATCAAGTAATATATTCATAACAAGTTTTTTGATTCAATTTGAAACTACGAGGGGTGATCCAAAAGTCTTGGACGCCCTGCTCTAATTTTGTTTGTTTTTGATAAAATTACTTTAAACTTTCCAATAATAAAGACCAACAACCTAACTACTTGGTGTATTAATTTCATGGAGAAATGATATAGTTTATGTAGATTTCTAGATAGTTTTTAATATATGGACCCTGCCACCCGGAACAGTATTCGCACATGGCAACTTTCAGCCTTAAATGTTGCCGCCATTTCACTTGTTTCGCAAGTCTTGACCACTATCTATTTTTGAATTTTGAATGTTAAACCATGTTAGTTTACTTCCTTCCTTCTACTCAACCAATTAATTGTGTTTTAGTTATAATGTCACATATGACAATGGCCGTATATGTCAAATTCTAAGAAAATGACATCAGACAAGCAACCCTCATTCTGGTATCATTTTTGCTGCAAGATGGCTGCTGAAATGCAGATCATGAAAGAAATCAAAGTGGAACAAAGAATAGTACAAGATATTTTCACTATTATTGACCTTGAGCAGCTACCATATGCACGATACAGTCTAGATATGGCTCCGTGTGATTTTCTTCCTTTTCTCCAGAAAAAAGGAGGGCTGAAAGGATTTTTTTTATTACTCATTGTATGAGGTTTAGAGTGGCACTCTAGCAGCATTTGTATCACATAAGCAATGGCGGTTTCATAAATGACTTCCATTCATTGGTAAAGCGGTATGAAAGATGAGTTCAAATTTGCGGAAAATATGTTGAAAAGTAGGTCTTAATATGTGAAGATGATGATGGCAGATGTCACTCAGACAGAAAATTGGAAATTCTCTCATATCATGACTGGTGTTAGGTTGTGCACCTGCACCTAAAGTATTTGCCATATTATAACAGTTGTGACGTGATTTGCTATATTTAAATACCGTTCCGGGTGGCAGGGACCCGGTATTAAAAAACATTTAGAAAAGTAGCTGAAATATATTATTTTCTGTTGTAACTTATACACAAAGTTGTTAAGATGTTGATCTTTACTCTCTGAAAGTTTCATGTAATTGTATTAGAAAATAGCAAAGTTAGAGCGAGGCGTCCAAGACTTTAAAAGACACATTTTGGTATAATTGGAACACTTGATCAAAATCAATAGAAATACATTATATGAATAAAAAAAGCAACATTTGATATCTATCAAATATCAACAAAAATGTGATTTCAAAATTGAGATTCTGGAGTTTCTGTTTAAAGGTCATTTAGCCTCTTAGGAAAGGCACACAGTTTAGCATACAGAAAACAACAGGTACATTTTAAGAGGAAAAAGTTCAATAACATACCTCCCAAAGGGATGTTATTCTGGCTGTCTGCCTGGGCTAAAGACTGCAAAGATTGTTGTGATGATGCTGAATGGAGTGAGGTGGTTGACACCGTTGATGTTATCTGTGTCGTGGTGCTGGACTGGGAGGGTTGTGGAGGTGGTTGCTGGGCAGATGTCGCCTGGACTGTTGTAGTTGTTGTAGTAGTTGCTGCAGGGACGGGAGCCTGGACTTGTTGTTGGCCCGTATCACTGTCAGATTTCTCTTCCTTCTTCTTGGCTTCACCAGCTGCTTTTCTCTCGCGACCTCGCTTCACTTGATTGAGTCGGTCTCGGATCTGCTTGGCCACAACCTTCACATCTTCCACCTGTAGGAACCCTGACTTCACCTTAAACAAATAATATGATAATTTACAAAGGCAAACATCATGTATGAGCACATTTTGGGAAGATCAGTCATTGAAAATGTTTTGCTTCAAATATGTATTTGTGAAACCAAACAAAAATGGCTTCATTGAAATATTACACTTTTAACAAGGCATTAACATGCAAAATGTCACCACCAGCCATTTGTTAGATGCTGAATGCCAAACACCAACTGACCCACTCTCCATAGAAAGGTTGGAGACCATAAATTTTGGTGGTGACATAAAAATAGTACTCTAATTCTAATTTCTTAATAGAGATGATCTATTAGTGTAACTATATTTACCATTTCTTGTGCCAAATGTTCTGGATTGTCTTTCTCTAAGTTGAAATCAAACTCAATTGCTTCATTTTCCTTATGTTTGTCTTTGCGTTTCTTTGGATCCGACACACGCAGCCTCAGTTTGATCATTGTGCTACTTGTGCTGCCCTCTGTCTCACCTAGTTGGCAGAATCGATTTTACATATACTGGTATATAACATAAGGGGGAAACATGGTTGGCAACCATATTTCATAAATTCATTATGACTTTATTACAAATGGAAAATCAATTTTCAATTCATTACCTTACAGTACAGCTATATAGTATTATGCTTAATGAATCTGAAAAAAAAACTAAATAGAAAAATTGAAAAAAACTAAAGCCAACATCTACTTAGAAATGTTTTGTTTTACATACATGTAATACAAGGATTTACACATCTGCCATTGCTAAACTTATGCTCACTAGTTTCAGTTGTGTTAGCTGCCTCAACAATTTCAACCTTCAGGCCACTTGTGTCTTCAGCAAAGAATTCCATAGACAGTAAGTCTTTGACAGTATATCTGGAAAACATTGACAGGAGACATTTTTAGTACATGTAACAGTAAATACATAGACAATAGGACTGGTGTAACTGGAAAATATTAACATTAAGTACATAGACAGTAGGTCTTTAACAGTATATCTGGAAAAGATTCACAGTAGACATTAGTACATGTAACAGTAAATACACAGACAATAGGACTGGTGTAACTGGAAAATATTAACATTAAGTACATAGACAGTAGGTCTTTAACAGTATATCTGGAAAAGATTCACAGTAGACATTAGTACATGTAACAGTAAATACATAGACAATAGGACTGGTGTAACTGGAAAATATTAACATTAAGTACATAGACAGTAGGTCTTTAACAGTATATCTGGAAAAGATTCACAGTAGACATTAGTACATGTAACAGTAAATACACAGACAATAGGACTGGTGTAACTGGAAAATATTATCATAAAATGCATAGACAGTAAGTCTTTAACAGTATATCCGGAACATATTGACAGTTGGTATTGTTAGCAATATATGCATAGACAATAGGTGTAAATTGAAATATGAACGTAAAAAATACATCAAAAGTATATCTATAGACAGTAGGTCTTCTCAGATGTTTCTGGAAAACATCATAGTAAATACAACAATAGGGAAAACATTAATTAAGATGATGATGAAACATTTGCATCCTTACATTGATGCCTCCCACCCATCCCAATATACCTGACAGGGGAATGAAATATCATATCAGATAAATTCCCTTTTATTTTAACATCAAGTATTCAGAATCATTTCAATTAATTACTAACTCGTTTAAATAATTATAAACTTATCTCTCATGAAACAGGCAATATATATTTCTATACACTGATAAATGACACTAAGTAAAATGGTTATTATTACCACCTTGCCGGGCCTGTTCTAGGGGCATCAGTGCTTGTTTAGAAGGCATTAATTTTACTATATCGACCTGAGCAATATGTGACGTCATAGTGGCGGGTCACAGTGGCAGGCCAATGATGCATTAACGCCCGGCAATTTTCCCCGGGAAATTAGATATTGTTCAGTGGTAGTAATACTAATAACGTCATTTCTGCGGGCAATATAGTGAAATATTGGAATTTGGGCCTTCGGGCTATATTTCACTATATTGCCATTCGAAATGACGTTATTGTACTATTGTTTTTTTCAATCTTGATTTCGAATAACTTGTACCAACTATCCATATTATTAAGATGACAACACATGCATAAAATCTCATAGAGGATATTTTTACAAGAATTATATAACAATACAGAGTAATCACCATGACAACAAGATATTAACATGATAAATATCACCACCTGTTGGCAATTAAAAAAAACAGAACCATTTTAGAGATGCCAATGCAAACAGCAGTCACAAAAACGGTGTTTATAACAAAATGCCACTACTTCTTGGTGGTGACATAAAAAAGTGGTTTACATAATATATTATTTTTATGATTTTCATCTAATATGAATATATTATATGAAATAAGCTAACTATTAGGTATGGGAAATTACAGGTTCATTTGCGATAATATCATCTCTTTATAGGTGTATACTAGATGCCAGGCACATAAATACCAGGGCATCAGTTGCATTGATTCCACATAGAGAGAATAGAAATGTGCAATGAATAAAATATACATGAATAAAACCCCAACAGACTATTCAATATTGTATAGAAGTGTCAGATGATTCCCATTATCAATGAAAAGTAAAATAAAAAATATAAACTCTATAAGTCTCTAGGGTCCCATCATGATAAACCATGAACCTTCTCAACCCTGAGATTACATGAACAGATATTTTGAGCACAGGAGTCAGTGTTTCTTATCCAAGGTCAGAAGATTGATTAGGACACGGAAATTAAGAATTCCAGCCACTCCTTCATTCACAAACTAATATGAATTGAGAAACAAGTATAAAATATATACACAGCACATATAAGTATAAATAGATTTCACTATGGTATTTGCGTGACAACCATGACATTTGTAGAATGGTTGGTATCAATGCTGCACCTATAACTGACAGAACAATGATTTCTACTGAATAGCATGATCAAAACGGCTTTTTCTACATCAATGCAATTCAATTTTTCACCAAACTGACAATCAATTACACTGTTATATCATTCCGAAGTTGATGCCTCATATTTCTCAATCTTACGATGTCAGACAAAACAGCTTGTAGCTAATACAGAAAAATGCATTATCGCATAGCTGCATTTAGCCTAATGGCTTTTTATGGTTTCTACGAAATAACATTTTTTTATTATAAAAGCAAATAAAATGCTCGATGATTTACCAGACCAAAGCTTCCTTTTATTCCGCTGCTATGTGATAAAAATAATGTCAATTTGACATTTCTTTATTCCGCATAGTTAATATTAGCGTAATAGAATCTTTGAGGATTCGTGAATTCGATTGAGTGGGAAATAATCGCGGCTTCTACATCGCTGATCATATTGAGTTGATAGGTTTGTTAAGTTATTGTGACAGAAAACAAACCATGTGATGATAAAAATATCGAATTGTGACGGTGTAAGTCATTGTTCATGATAAGTACCTTCAGTATGGGTACAAACGCTTAATCATAAGTCAGGTTTAAAGATATCGTTGCTTTAGATCCCGTCTCATGTTTCTACACATAATCTTGTTCATTACTTAGATAGGGAGGTGATAATAAAAAGGTAGTTCCACAAAATATGCAAAAATAATTTTTGAAGTCTTGCATTTTTTAATTTTCAAGAATCACTTTTCCACAATGTCTGTTTAATTAGTAAGCCTGTATAGGGGGGTCGCCTAGCAATTGATGAAACTGATTATTTGAAATCTAAATTACTATTTTTATGAAAAGGGATTTGAATAAGTTAGACTAAGTATGTTCTGAGTAACGTATACAAAAGTTAGACGTTAACTTGTGACATAATCTATACTAATCTGATACAATCGATATAAAATGAAAACAAAGGTGCAAAAAGGTGTGAGATCTAAATCTGATAAGTCTACCTACACAGCAGCAGAGTGAATTATAATTCAATATATAGAGTAGACATGCTTATATGCAGGAGTTTTATAGCTTCACAGTTCACAAATAAAGATGACTCATACGCAATCAATATATTAACAGTTACTTATAATGTTTGTATGGTAAACGTTTAGACAGACAGCTATGAATCATTGATGGATCCTTTATTTTCATCATGACCTGAACATGTGTCTAATCATGTTTACTTAATACTGAAATGAAATAGTCTGACATTAATCCCCTGGAATTCCTCCATATATTATTCTCCTTTAAGTAAGAGAGAATGGGGAAGGTGCAAGGGTTAGATACAAAACTTCAATAAAAAAGAACAAGATTTTATGATTCATGACGTGATATATGACCAAAAAATTTATTCATCTTATTTATTTATTTTACTTAATATGATAAACAGATAAGAAAAACAAATATTTGCATTCATGAATTTTAGTGGTCATACATACTCCAATATAGACAACTAAATCAATTGTTCTAGCTATTGTGACATAACTTATCATATTTGAATTTCTAATATTTTAGCATGTTAAAAAAATTCTATTGATATACATTGTTATTTTTCAATATTTTCCATTCTGTTTTGCAATAGAGGACGCACAGGAACACTGCGCTCTTATTCACTTCTATTACCATTATACACGCTACAATGATCAAACACAGGTTTAATGGGGTATATCTAGTTGTAAGTCAAATAATTCATTCCCCTGTCACATGCCAATGTAGAATTATTTTAAATCATTGTATTCTTAAAATAAGAGAGAGGGGAAAAATTATTTCCAGTATTTAGCTACGCTCCGCTGAAATTGACAATGAGCCTCATTTTATATTCTCAACCAAAATACTCGCTTTAATAACCTTTATAGTACATTTTTGCTCAATGTTGCATGCCATAAACAATGGTTTTCACCATCCCATGCATGTAGACATCAGACATATGATTTGTTTCATTAATAATTACACTATAGCTTCAGTTTAACATTATCAACATGAAGCAAATTGGTTATAGCAGCTTCAATGCAATTACAAAGATGCTCATTGGTATTGAACACTGCTATAAAAAAGAGTGTTAATCAAGGAGGATGGAACGCGTGGGATAACGATATCAATTCTGCTGATAGAAGGAGGTATAAGTGAAACATACATCAGCTACAGGACAAAATGAACACATTTTAGAATACGTTCTTTCCAAAGGATTCATAGACTTTGATTGTAGGGTTATCATCAGTTATTGCTTTCTCAACAGCTCTTCCTATTTCACCATATAGGATATCTACATTGTGAAGAGACAGTCTAATATATCATACTGACCATCAGAATAAACATACAATTTGTTGTTTTGACAAAATGACCATAAATGTATAAACACTTTGTTGATTTCCCCAGAATACTCACTAATTTCCCCCTGGACAAAGATTTGTTTTCATATATTTACAGAGCCGGAGTAAATTCGCCGCCTTGATCAAACAGAGGTTAACTTGATCACTTAATCCTACCTCACCATGCAGCATCCACATCCACAAGGTGCCAATATTTTATGTTATTTTCATAATTGTTCTTTCTTCCTTGCAAAGCAAAAGTATATTTCATCCTGATGATAAACAAATATTTTCAATTGCTCCCTCAACATGCCTCCCTGCAGCACCCACTACATGTGCCAATATTTTTAGTTATTCTCATAATCATTCTTTCTTTCTTACAAGACAAATGTCTATTTCATCCTGATGTTAAACAAATATCAATGGCCTCAACGGGACTCAATTTGGCAAGATTACAATACATCTGCAAGCCAGCTATTGGATTTCCCAGGGGTTTACATGGAAGTGGTCTGGCTTAATGATGTAACACCTAATATCATGGAAATGATACTATTTATTGAATGCATATGCCAATGTGCATGTACAACTATTTTACACCATTGTATGCAGATGCTAATGTGCATGTACAACTATTTTACACCATTGAATGCATATGCCAATTTGCATGTATAACTATTTTTACACCATTGAATGCATATGCCAATTTGCATGTACAACTATTTTACCACACTGTATGCAGATGCCAATGTGCATGTATAACTATTTTACCCCATTGTATGAATATGCCTGTCTACATGTACACCTATTTTACCAAATAATATACATATGCTAGTGTTCACCGCGTATACTTATTTTACCCAATGCTTAAAGGCTATATAGCACAACTGATCAAAATTCAATTGCAATTTTTATTATCTAAGAAAGAAATGATCTAAAGAAAATGTGGAGAATATTAATCAAATGGTTTGATTATTCAGAATGCAAGCCAAATAACACAATGATAGGATATGGAAGCCTAAGAACATAGTTCAATAATTAATAAAACTCCAAGAGAATTCAGTTCTTTTTTCACTGAGCCAACTCGCAATTTGCCTCTCAAACTCAAGTCAATGAGCGAGTCAATGAGAAATTATCACACCACCTAGCGAAAAGTAAGCTTAGTTCAACAATTCAATAAAGGGCTCGCAGACTAGCAAAGGGCGTGTTGACCTTATTGGATAAATAAAATATTTATGATATTTCTGTCTCATCAATTTTCCAATTTTCCAAGAGGGAAGTTATGGCTATTTACTATATTCCTCCCTAATTTTACTTAAAAATAATAAAACAAATGAGAATTATCTTGGGGAATGTAACCTAATTTCACCTTATCCTCTACTCTAAATGTTCACCAAGAAACTTTATTTTAGCTGTAAATCTATTGCCCATTCAAATCAGGATATTGTAGCTATTGTGCTCATATGATAATGTTTTACTAAGCTCTATATAATTAGGCATGGGCTTATTGAGCTCAACACAGCAGCAGGAAACTAATAATTACTTCCTAGTCTATAATCCATAATATTTCTATATATTTTTTATTGTATCTCATTACCAATATTTTTCTTTAGGATATTTTTCTCTGCACTACAAATTAATTATTTAACTTTTTTCTCATGGTTATTATCTAGCTATATAACATTTCAAATATCTTGAGCTAAAATGGCTTAATTTTTTGATTTTTGAAAAAAACAAGTTTGTAGTAACCAAAATGAGTAACCAACGACACAATAAAGTTACAGTTTAGGCATCCAGTCTGTAATATAACTTTCAAAGAATAATCAGAAAATAACAAACACCCTCCATTCAGTTCTAGAGAACATTGATTGTATAGAGGAACAGACCTTGTATGACCCTAGTGTTATTCAAAGGCTACATACCTTTCATCACGTTTACTGCGAGTGCACCCATCAATGATGTCCTTTATCTCACTATTTTCAATCTTATCAAAACTTTCTGGACGGATTCCCTGGAAATAATTTTCATTGAAGATATAAAACAGATGCAGTAGACCTTACTAATCTGAACAATATGAATGCCAGGAGTTCACAGAAAGGAAATGTTAATGGTAATTAATGGTTGTATATGAATTGTTTAAGAAATATAAACATTTTCCTCACAGAAATATTCAGATATTAGGTCAACCTTTTAAAATAACTTTCGATGCAGTTCAGATTGATTTTTCAGCTTAAAAATATATGAACCTAAGATTTTTTTAAAACTGAGGAAAAATCAAAAGAGTTAACTTACCGTAGTTACTCTACGATAAATCTGAGCTGGATTAAGACACTCCTTATATGGATATTCAGAAGTAGCCATCTCGAGCATACACATTCCAAACGCATACACGTCGACAGACTCATCGTAATGTTCCTCGTACATCTCGGGGGCCATGAACTCAGGTGTGCCTTAAAATAGACAAGAACGGAGTAGCGTTCATCCGGCCGGGAGCATCCTGTAGGGGAAAAATAATGGAGGGGAGGAATTAGTATTTGGTTTTCAATTTTGGGCTCCCTTTCGGCATCTGAAATAAACAGGGGGGTTAGATTAAATTATAAATACCTCCTTACCTTGCCTCTGTAGATCTCTATATATTTACCGTAAGCTGGTATATAGAGCTAGTGTTGAACTCTATAGAGCTAGTGTTGAGCTATATAGAGCTAGTGTTGAGCTATAGGGAGAAAACAGAACATTGTGCATTAGACATAGTACATGATTCTACCATGATCTAACTCAATGTCATGAAATGTTTTCAATTAAAAAAATCAAGTCATTTACACATTTATGAAAAAATGTATTAAGTAATACACATACTTATACTTTATCATGGTAGAAGTCTATAACATGTCGCTTCACAAATCGAAAACATTTGTAAAATAAATCACTTAAATAAGACATTATTGAGACATTATTGAAAACAACTTACACATTTCCCCTACTTGAAGAGCTGACATGACACTTACCTATTACACTCTTTGCAAATGACTTGTTTTTCAATGTGGCTAAACCCAGATCACCGATTTTAACAGAGCCTGTGGTCCCAGTAATGAAGATGTTATCACATTTCAGATCTCTATGTATTACAGGGGGAGTACGCGTATGTAGGAAGTAAAGACCCTTTAGAATCTGTCGGCACCAGTTCTTTGTCACCTTTAGGTTGATCTTCTTGAAGCGTTTGATATACCTAAAATAAAATGAGAGTATTTTATAAAACATTTATACACAAAACATACCTTGTATACTCTTTTAAAAAATTATCAAGTTTTGAATATACTCTTATTTGAGCGCATAACGATTACCTTCAAAATATCATTTCCATTAATTTAACTTAACATCAGTTCCAATAGATAAGTTCAGTTTAACCCAACCCATCAATATCAAGAATATACTTACGTTTTGAGCGTGCCCGACGTCATGAGTTCTGTTACCAGGACAATGACCTTGCGATTGCGAGGTGATAACTCCTCCCACGAGTCGTAGAAATGTACAATGTTTGGGTGCATGAGGCACTTGAGCATCTCGGCCTCTTCTTTGAATCTTTGCCGTTCGCTTTTGTTCCATTTCTTGTCCTGTAACATATAACATACACATAAAATAAATATCATTTATATTAATCAATCTAAATGAAGACATTCGAAACATCAAAATAAGAGGTGATGTGAAAAATAACTGAACTGTTTTAATTATTGTACTTGTCATGTTTGAAAAGAGAAATAAAAAAAATAAATAAAAAAAATTATGTTCAGTTGTTGAGGTAGACAACATGCAGACTAATGTAAGAGGTAACAATTTTGTGTTTTTCAAACAAGATTAATGCCATCATTAATAAGATATATGAATAAAAGGAGCAAGGACAAATCTATTATTGTAATAAAGAAGTGGTCAACCCCTACTATCTAGAAACCTATTACTTCCAGTAGGAACAATGAGATTAGTCTCTTTTGTAATTCTACCATTGTACCTTGCAAAACTACTTTCACCTAGCTGCGTTTATATAAAGGGTACATATGTAAAAGCCTGAAGAATTACAAATTCACTGATTCAATCAAAAAAACAGTCACCCCCTACTTTGAAAATTCCACCCCTCTACCTGCTGCAGTTACAAAGCTCTCAAGACATACATAGCCATACGTTTGAAAACTGAGGCAATGTTACTTAGAACTATGGCAAATAGTGTTTCAAAGAGTATAACAGGAGTAGAGGTAGACTTACAATCATATCAAGGCATATTAATGTTATAATGTTACATTCCCACATTACAATATCCTGGATCAAGAAGGAATATATTAATCCATTACCACTGCAATACATAAGTATTTCCAATTGCATGCTATCTCCTATTAACTTAGAATAATTACTTGAAACTGTTGGCTGAATGGAGATGATCAGGATATGCCTTTCTACCTTTAGTTAGTCATTTGGAAGATCGTAATATTGTGAACATTCTCGTTGTTACCATTTACGATTGCCTAACCCCAGCTTCATATATTACATATACAGTATTCGAATATTGGAATAATCTTTAAATCAGATATTTTTTCATTGCATATCTCCAATCAAAACATGTTATCCAGGAGGTGCACTTAATATCCAAAACCTCAGGAAAGCTACGTTTGAGATTAGTAAGATCAGCATCAAAACTCTAGAATCATCTGAAAATACGAGTTTGACTAAATACCATGTGACCCCCCCCCATCCCTACTATACACCACCCTACAAGTCTGGTCTTGAGGAAAATAAGGAGACTTGAACCAAGACAAATCTGTAAGATTCTTGTTACATTCTAGTAAACATCTGTTGATTGAGGAAACATCATCTCAGGACATGAGACGTATAAATCAAGACTTGCAGATTTTGTAATTCTGCTCAAGTAGTAAGCCTTCCCAACAATAAGAGAAAACATAAATCTAAAGATAACATGTTAGAGTTTACAATCTCAAATCGTCAATGTTCTCCACAGATATTATCCTCGTCTAGCTGTTACTTTATGTCAGTTAATGAAAACACAGAAAGTAATCCTATGCTAAGGGCTGATGTGAAAAAGTCAGTCCACCCCATAGTGGGGATAGAACCCACGAACCCTCTTTAACTAGAGAAAATATCAAAATTTTATATTCCTTTCTAAATTATTTTCAACTGGCTGCATGATTTTTTTTTCAATTTCTCATTGTTCATTTGTTTCAACGCTTGAGAGCACTGATAGGCAAGGTTTCTACTCAGCTCTGTGCTCGTCTAGTGAACAATTATGACAAATATGATTAGGTTCGTACAAGAAAATTGCTATTCAATTAGTCATTTTGACATGCACTGTCAAGGTACACTTGACATTCTAGCTGAATTATCATCAAATGCCAAATACATAAAATATAAGTGTCTGTGAGAAGATAAAATTACCTATTAATAAAGCATGAGAAAAACTTTAAGATACACTGAAGTTTGCATCTCTTAAGAGACCTTAACCACATACCAGATCCTGCCCTTTGTGGTACATGTAAATCTATTTGTATTAGAACCTTGTAATAAACCAAACAAGCAAACAGAGAGCCCTGATTCATTTTTCTAATCCCAACACAAACTGGAATCCTAGAGTATTATGTGTCTGTTTCAGGCAAGAGATCATAGATCAAGCTTAACTTACACTTCACTGAGTAATAATGAAGAAATTCAGTAAATTATACTCTATGTTTTGATGAAGAATATCAGGCAGTCAATGACTAATAGCTTGGTAGCATACAACCTTTACAATATAACATGGTGTTCAAAATTTGCTTTGACAAATATAACTGAAAATGGAGGATTAGAAAAAAGTTAGCTTGGGTCCATATTCTTAAGTGTTTATGGATATGGAATTTATTAGACAAACAGTTGAAATATACTGGAAAATGTATGATATGACCAAGACTTTGGTGATATTTTCAATCAAGGGTAGTCGTGAATATGCACTATAACATAACTGCTTGTTTGCCTGGCTCCCCGGATGACTAACTGGCGGCTGGAATATAATCTATAATAGTCTTAAAGGATATAATGGCATCGAGAGGTATTACGCTGAGCTACAGGATTCCAGGTATACTGGATTGCTTGATTCCAGGTCTCCCAAACAAAACTTACAATGAACGTAAACATTATAAATCATATACATTCTGAATTCTTAAACAGAGAAATTTTCTATAGAGATTTAAACTCTTTTTATCACAAAGCCAACACAAAGATAAAACTGAAATGAAGTGAAAAGACTTCTGATATTTAATAAATTTCTGAAAAAATGCAGAAATTCAGAATGATTTGATAGAACTCAATAACCTGCTACCTAAGATTAGAAACAGAAATATTTATAGCACAGAATTACGAAGAATGAATTACAGGATTTTCATTGATTGAAATCTACTTCAATTCAAACTTTAAACCATTTAAACCCTTTGAATAAACAAGTTAAAAGTAAAAATATTGAGACTATTTACATACCAGAATAGAACAAAAGTTTATTGTCTGTACAATATTTGAATTTATCGATATGAGTTCAAAAAAACAAATGATCAATTGACAATTTATCAAACCTTGCTTGAAAGGTTACACGAACATTTACACAAGTCTTTTTTTCAAACAATTTCAAGGTGTTTTTAGACTTCCTTATCTTGTTCAAATTTCTAAGCATTCATTGAGCAATCGAGACATATACACAAATACAACATATTATTGACTATTCAAACATTTTGAAATGTTTATTTCCTCTATAGCCTTTAATGGTATAAAAAAGTTCAGCCTATTTAACGCCCATGTTGATGTACTGTAGAAAATTAAAATTCAGCATATAAAAACAAAGCTGTAATATACACTGTCATTTAGTTGTGAGCAAGGGACTGAGTACAAAAAATCTTTGCAGAGATCAATAAATTATATCGATTGTTCAATTATCCTAAAACATAGGACATGGATTAACAAAGAAGAAATAATGAGGATGTATTGATCGTGAAATGACCTATCTAAAGCCTATGGATACATCATTTCTATATTTGTTATATCCCTTCATGTTAAATAACACAATGGTCATTCAGTCATCTTTTCTCTTCACATTTCTATTGCTATAAACTGTAAATAGCCCAGTATCCCATATAACCCAATATACATTTTATTTGATATTTGAAACTATATATCATATAACATGATCGCTGTATACTTTTTCTATTAAAGGTTGAACCCTGAATCTCCAAGATCATACAAGACATTAACACACAAAATGGCACAACCTGTCATTTGTTACATTCACTGTAAGAATTTGTTACAGATACCGAACACCAACTGGTATTACAGACGCCAAACAACCACCATCCACATAAAAATTGAAGACTAACAATATGTCACCACTTCTTGTGGTGGTGACATAAAAACTGTTGTCTATAGGAAGTAAGTGTTCTACTATACTACAATATAGGGTATGTTTCTTATTGAAATATTACTTAATACAGGTTGTCTGAAGGCTGTAATTTCTAACTGACAATTTACAAAGTCTAATTACATCCTTGTATTTATGTCCTAGCATAATGAAGTATTGATCTGAGTTTGTCTGCATGAGAATGTATAAAAAATATCAATTTATCATCATGATTATTTCAAACATTTCAAGTATAATATCAACAGATTCCTCTTATGTTTTTTTTCGATTACAACAGATGGGAAGATAAAGAAACAAAAATATTCATACCGTCCCTGTATCTCACACTTTTCAACTTTGATACAAAGCAATTTACTTTTTCATATCTTTGCCAATTTGGCCAAGATGGGTGCTTTCATAAAATGCAATAAAACCTATTTCGATATTACCAAAACCACCTTGAGGAAAGGGTAATGATACTTCATTATAACACCAGGGGTTCAAAATCAATACCACTGACTGGGTTTGCCTATACCTTCTCATGTCCCCACTAAAAGTCACTGTGCTCTTAGTGTTAATAATTACCCATATCAAAAAGTTACCACAATAAGATTTTACAGCTATGTTATTTTTGTGGATTATAAATCAATGACTTTTGTTTTTCTGGTGTAATATGAATCCAATCAGATAATGGCTGACTGCAGAGATATAGCTGTAAGATAGAATAACATTTATTCTTTCAATAACACGGGGTACCATCGAATAATTTTGGCAACGAACCGGAGAACGACATTTTACTAAGAAATGGCAATAATTTAGCACAATATATTTTTTAACTAGAGTTCTATTTTGATTTTGACAAAAGTAAGTATTCCATGCAATAACTATTTCATTCATGAGTTTGTAGGAATTCTGTTGGAACCCAGTTCTGATCAAGTACGAAGTTATTGAAATCGGCGCAGACGGACTTTACTCCGAAAGATGGTTTTTCGATTATAACTTTTCACAACATTTAAGTATAGACTTTTGAAAAAAGTACAGAATAGTCCTTATACTTTTGAATAATTCTGTTATTTCTGATTCACACGACTCTGATTTGTTTAATTTAAAAAAAGTTTTAAAAATATTACTTAGGAACGTAACCGGAGCTGGGAACGTAACCGGAGCAGATCAGTTGAATTATTTAATCAAAAAAAT